ATAACTCAATCAATTTGGATGATTTTGATAAAGTTGTTAAAATAATGAACCTAGAGGCTGATAAGGTAATATTAGTGGGGGATTTTAACATAAACATGCTACAAAATTCTACTATAAGAAACGAACTACTAAATATTCTTGAAATTTATGATTTAAATCAAATTGTCAAAGAGCCAACCAGAATAACGGATTCTTTACAAACTTTAATAGACCTCTTTATATGTAATATGGACATAATATGTGAAAATATTGAATTGATAGATCTGTTGAACTTAACAGATCATAAACTTTTAAGCTGTATGCTAAATATTGCAGTACCCATAAACCAACCTAAAACTTTAAGTGCTAGAGATTATCAAAATATAAACATAGTTGAATTTACACGTGATGCCTCTCTTATAAATTGGGACAGGATTTATCAGGAAGGGGATATAAATATTAAAGTGGAATACCTAAATAATGCATTGGTGTCGCTTCTAGATGTTTACGCACCATATAAAACTTTTACAGTGCGCAAGCCCAGGCACCCGTATATGACTTACAATATTATTCAGTTAATAAAGCTTAAAAAACAAGCATATAAACAGTTTAAAAAAACTAATACATTATCAAAATTTAACTATTATAAACAAATACGTAACTACCTATCTGGAGCTATCAAACAGGAAAAAAAAGCTTATATACATTATCAAATAAATAATAATAAAAACAACTCTAAAAAATTATGGAAATCTCTGGACCAACTTAATATCCATCGTCGTAATACTAATCTTGCAATACCAGAAACAATAAACGCGGAAGATCTCAATAAATACTTTGTAGAATCAGTGCCAGATTCTACTATAGATGATGACCTAATAAATTATTATTATTCAAATGCAAAGGCTAATTGTCCCAAATTTCACAAACTCCTAGAAGTTAATGAAACATCGGTTTTAAAAGCTTTTAAAAACATTTCCACCAATGCTGAGGGTGTGGATGGGATAAATCTCAAAGCATGGAAACTAGTTATATCTCACTGCATAGGACCGTTAACGCATATTATAAACATGTCTTTGCAAAATGGTGTAATACCACATATATGAAAGATTGCTAAAATAAAGCCATTGCCCAAGATATCAAAACCGGAAAACTATAAAGACTTAAGACCAATCAGCATTCTGCCAATAGCATCCAAGATCCTGGAAAAACTAGTCCATGAGCAAATAATTGAACATGCCAGTATGTATATTTTACCCACCATTCAATCAGGTTTTAGAAAGCATCACAGTACAAATACTGCTTTACTCAAGATCACAAATGATATTGTCAAAGCAATAGATAACTCAGAAGTGACCTTACTAACACTGCTCGATTTTAGTAAGGCTTTTGATGTTATAGATCACAATTTACTGTTGTCCAAGCTAAAATTCTACCAATTTCAAACAGCAGTTATTAAATGATTTAGTGAATATCTCAACAATCGGAGTCAATTTGTGGAAATTAATGGAAATATTTCTTCCTTGAAAAAAGTGTCCAGGGGTGTTCCTCAGGGAAGCATTCTTGGTCCCCTATTGTTCTGTATTTTTACAGCAGACATGTGCGAAACAATAAAACATTGTAAAATCCACCAATATGCGGACGATACACAAATATATAAATCCGTTAAACCAACATCCATAAATACAGCCATTCAATTAATAAATGAGGATCTCCACAACGTCGAAGAGTGGTCGACAAAAAATAGTCTTCTACTTAATCCAAGTAAAACTGTCAGCATCTGCATAGGCACTAAATCAAATAGAGCAAAAGCTATAACTACTAAAATCTGTGATATTAAAATTTCTCAATCTGTGATACAATTTCAAGACTATGTTAAAAACCTTGGTGTAATAATCGACTGTGATATGAACTTTGAAAAACATGTTAAAAATTTACTTAAAAATGCTTACATAAAATTAAAATCTATTTACAGCTTTAAGTCATTCTTGTGTAGTAATGTTAAGTGGAAACTATGTAATAGCATCATACTTAGTAATTTTAATTATTGTAGCAGTATTTATTTTTTTCATGCAACAAAAGCAACACAAAAATCCATTCAAAAGCTGCAAAATTGTTGTCTTCGTTATACCTATAATATTATATTTAGGATCCTGTAACTAGTCATTATGTAGATAAAAATGGGTGACGTTCACAATATCGAAATTCATTATATCGAATTCAAAATATCGAACACTTTTTATCGAAAATCAAAATATCGAAAATACAAAATGTCGAAAACCAAAATATCGAAAATTAAAATGTCGAAAATGATAATATCGAAAATTAAAATGTCGATTTGAAAATGTCGAATAATTAAAATTTCGAAAATTAAAATGTCGAAAATGATAATATCGAAAATTAAAATGTCGATTTGAAAATGTCGAATAATTAAAATTTCGAAAATTAAAATATCGATTTAAAAATATCGAAAATTAAAATGTATGATTAAAATCGAAGTGTATATGTACAGAGGCGCCTCTGTAGATAAAGTTACGGTTATGCACCGAATTATCTTGGCTCCCTGGCTCCAGAGATGCGCGTTTTATAGAAATGTACTCAAACTCAACAACACAACCCAACCGACCCCGCCCCATTGGCCCCCCCCCCGCCCCATTGAGCAAAAAACCCAACTAAAATGGGCAAATTTATGTTACGATAAAAATAAAACACTTTTTAATTACATAAATTAGCCCATTTTAGTTGGGTTTTTTGCTCAATGGGGCGGGGGGGGGCCAATGGGGCGGGGTCGGTTGGGTTGTGTTGTTGAGTTTGAGTACATTTCTATATCAGAGGCGCCTCTATACATATACACTTCGGATTAAAATAATATGTCGATTAATTGAAATATTTAAACAAAATATCAAATTCAAAATAAGAAAATATGGTTTAGTTTCACATTAAAATTCGATTAAATAAAATTTCGATATTATCATTTTCGACATTTTAATTTTCGACATTTTGTATTTTCGATATTTTTATTTTCGATAAAAAGTGTTCGATATTTTGAATTCGATAAAGTGAATTTCGATATTATGAACGTCGATATTTTTTTTCGATAAATTGAAAATTCGATTAAATAAAATTTCGATATTATCATTTTCGACATTTTAATTTTCGATATTTTGATTTTCGACATTTTGTATTTTCGATATTTTGATTTTCGATAAAAAGTGTTCGATATTTTGAATTCGATAAAGTGAATTTCGATATTATGAACGTCACCCGATAAAAATATACTGAAATGTGATAAACAATTTTTTTGTCAATATGCTGTCTTAGTGTTTGTTATAATTAAAGCTAATCTACCATTATATTTATTGAATTTGTTAGTACGTCGAAATCAGTGTCATAATGTTAATGTGCGTAATAATAGTTTTTTAACAATTCCCAGTCACAAAACTAGCAAATTTGAAAATAGTTTTGAGTATTTGGCTGCAAAAATTTTTAATGATTGTATAAACCTGTTTAACGAATGTAATACTCCCTTAGCATTAAAACATAAACTTAGGACTCAATTGTTACTGGAGCAAAGTTTGTTAACATAGCATGTATTGTATTTCTGGTTGGAGTGGTAGAACAGTTTAACTGAAATCTCACCTTTTGTATGTAATGTAATGTTATTTATATACAATAAAGATATTTATTATTATTATTATTATTATTATTAAATATCACTCATTTGTTCCTAACGGAAAAGGAATTTTGTACTTTTCCCAAAAATAAAAAATAGGTAAAATGTTCAATAAAAAGTTTACATGAAAAATGTGTATTATTATTGTGACACTTGCAATTGCATTAAATACCTAGTTGAACTTATTTACATTTAGGTGCACGTGTAATTTATTCAGAGTAAGAGCAACTTATTACTTTCTACATTTTTCTTTTTCGACTACAAAAACCAAAACATGGGTTTTAATTGCTATTAATTTGAACTATTGCAATAAAATCGATGAGTTTAAGGCAAAACGACAAAAATTTTAAATTTGTTAGAAGTCGATAGAGAATTAAATTCTCTATCGACCTTCTAAAAAAAAAATCAAAATTTGGCGCTTGTGCTGTTTTGACTTAAACCCATCGGAAAATACATTTATTTCTATATAAAAATAATTTTAAAAGTCGTATTGACCCTCTCCAATTAATCCACTAAGTAGTAGACCGAGCACCGCTGCAATAGGTATACTATAGTAGCTGCTCGCCGCACGGTCCCTACGCGCTTCAGCCCTTATTTTTTTCGACTTATTCTTGGGATCCCATCTTCATATTACATCAAAATTTAGGGAATTGAAAAAGCTTTCTTTTGATATTAATTTTTTAAAAATCCAATGTGTCGCATTTCGAGAAAAAAAAACAAATATATTTTTAAAATCGTTTTTTTATAACCAAAAATTTTTTCTCCCTTTCGAGACCATTTTTATCGTAAAGCGTGGAAAAAATTCTATACGATATGTTTATTATCAATTTAAAAAAAAATTATTATATACATGAATATTTCGACGACTTTTAAGCGCACGAGAAAAAAAATAAATTTTCAGGTCCCTGTATCTTTGCAATCCGCTAATCCTTTTTGCCCCCCATTTGGAAAATTAAGGTAGTCCAATAGGAGAATTATTTGGCAAAGTTTTGTTAAAATCGGAGACAACATCATTTTTAGGTGGGAACACTTGAGGTGTTTTGCCCCATATGGCACACCGCATTTTAATAAATGGCACAACACAAACAAAACAAGTTAACACAAGTTTAGCATAAACAGAACAAGTTAACACAACGCAAAAACAATAATTTAAACACTTAAAGTAATTTGAACGCAAAAAAACAAATTTAAAAAACGCAAAAACCAGAAGTTTAGCACTAGATATGTAAAACGCACGTTACATCCAACTTACCGATTTAAAACGAGTGACGTCTTTCCCGCTAAATTAGCCCCGCCCTACATGCGCACAATCCTATCTTAAGGTGTATGTATCTTGTTAAATACTCACTCTTTATCCTTGAGTAGGCCGTGGCAAGTGTCGCACACCCGCACGGCAAACTCGAATCCCATCGACGGTATGGTCAACCGGCCGGCGGAGCACCGTTCGCACACGGCCTTGCCGCAGTGCCGGCAGTGGTGCTGCCTGAGGCCGAGCTGGCGCTGGTCCATCATGGCGCGCAAGTTCCAGAAGAACGGCCGGCCGCACAGCTGACACAGATCGGACTCCACCCATTCGGGCGTCTCGTGGCGGCTCTGGTTCATGTCCCAGATGACTAGGACGCTGTCCTCGCCGGCGCTTATCAGTTTCTTCGAGCCGGTTAGGTACGCGAGCGAGGACACCTGACATAATAGGGATTTATCATCAGGCCAGGAAGTGAGTCTTTATGTGCTAGGTTTAAAGTCTTACAATGGGATAGGTAAATTTTTTCTGACCTATACTTTTTATGGTTTTATTCAAGGCGTTTTGTAATTTTAAACATTTCTGTGAAATCGGAATTTCAATTGAGCTTATCGTTTTCGAGATATTTACAAAAAAAAATCTCCTAATTACGTCACTAGGCTATTGACAACGTTGCCAGCTTTTTCTATGGTTGCCAGTGTGTTTAGTTTAAGATTCTTACGATAGATGGCGCCACGTTATAATATTTTAGTTTTAAAACCACTTGATCTATAATTTTAGTTGAGAAGAAGAAGAAGAATTGATTTTTTGACGTTTCTTTTTTTCGGGTTATGTTTTTTTTTAATTTAGATTATTGAAAATCAATGTTATTGTTATGTTATTTGTAATTGATATTAGATAAGGGATTTATTAATAACGGACTTCAAAGCAGAGGAATCTTGTGGAATGGTTGGTTACATTGAACATTGGAGCTTTTAAACAAATAAAGTAAGTACCTATAATTATAATCATATTTTGTCGTAAATGCATTTCAATAGTATAATGCCTAGTTCTTTATTTTCTTTTAGATATATCTTGAACTCTAAAATATCAAACAGTAATATGATACCTCGTAACAAGGAAGATAGGTACTTCATGAATTTGGTGACCATCTTTCACTCAACTGACAGTGACAGTATTTGTACATAACCTCTTCAAGTATTTTCTGACATAACCGAATGAAATCATTAACAAGACAACTTGACAACAGGGTAATTTTCAACCAATAGAAATCTTAGAATGTTGGTCACATGGCGAGGTTTGTGACGTCATAAATATTTATATTTATATAGTAAATTTAAAAGTAAACTACGTACACGTCATCAATCAGCTGATCGGGCACGGTTGTCAATGTGATGCTAAAATCCTTGCATCAAGGGAAAGTGGTAGTGCAACTACAGGGCGATAGATGGCGTTTACATGAATAATACCAAAATGTCAAAAGTCTGAGTTTTTATAACCTATATGATGCACCGCCAAAAGTATGTTTTTAGCCATTTTTAAAGACATTTTCTGATATAAAACCCAAAAATTTTGCCATCTAAAGTCAGTCTCTGGTATATATATTATTATTTCATGTATCCAACATATATTTTGTTAAATATTCTAATATATAATTAATATTAATCCTATTTACCTCTCTAACAGCTGTTAAAGGTAACAAAGGTCCATTATTATCCCGTTCTGCCTCAAAATAGCGTATTAAGGATGACACCAACTCTTGACTCCGACTATTTAAATGCTTCGGCATTTTAAATATAGGAAACACAAAAAAACGATATACAGTGCTTGCAAATCCAAGTCCGACCACACTGGAAAGGACCGCTGTTCAATACCCGCGTAAAAAGAACAAGGATAGAACGCCAAATAGAATTTGATTGGCCAGCCGGCAGGCTACGACAACGCATACCCATCGCGCACCTCGCAGCGTGCTTGACACGAGGAATCCTCGTCGAGGATATCAGAACGAGAACTGCAGTGGTGCCAGCAAGAGCCTCTTGCCAAGAGGTAGTAATTTTAGTAAAAAAGATTATTTAATTAAAAAATGTAGGTACACGTTGGAACAAAAAGTTCAGATTTTAATCTGGCATTTTGCTGGTAATTCTGAACGAGAAATTCAAAGATTATTTGCGGGAATGTTCGAGGCCAGACCAAACAGAGAAACAATTCGACGAACCGTTAATAATTGCTTGTTCGAACATTTAATTTAATTTTTCAGTTTATTTATTTTTAGAGTTTTATTAGACCAGGGTCGATAATTTTTGAAACCAAAAAAAATAAAAGTAGGATGAAACCCATTGGAAAAGGAGAAGAATATAATAAAAATAAAAGGAAAAATAAATTACGGGCGATCTGACTTTGGGAAGTGGGAGGGGGGTTTTAAGGGTAAAAAATGGTTTATCTCGATTTCCGGTAAAACTACAAGTCCTATGGAAAAAAGTTAAATGGCAAAGTTGTAGGTAATAAAAGGATCTACAACTTTTGTAATTACAATTTTTTTACATAACCTCCAAATTTATGGGAAAAATTCAAAAAACCAAGTTTTTGGTTTTTTATTTTTATCTTTTTCAAAAAAAAATTTTTTTCCACGAAATTTTGTGAAAACTTACCTTTTTATGTCCCAAATACACTGTAATTTATTTGATTTGAAATATTTATTATTTCGCCTTATTTTGACTTAATATCAAAAAAGCACCCTAATTTTCAATCGAAAATTCTCGCGTCAAAATATCAGCTTTTTTCAAAAAGTCGGTGTGCTTTTTGTTTGTTGAAATCTCTACTTTCTGATGGTGTAAAAAAATATACATTACTATGGTAAATGTTCTCAGAAAATGCAAAAAATATTATAATGAATAACGAAAAAAACTCGAATTCGAAAATTTATTTTAATCATTATGTACAATTTCATCAAAAAAATGTGATTGTTGCAATTTTTTTAGTTAAAAAGTTTATTTATTAAATTCTAATAACATTTATGTCAGAAAATCTCATAAAATATAAAAATACATGTAAATCATACTATTGAATTTAGATACTTCATTCTGATTACGATTGATTGAAAATTAGGGTGCTTTTTTGATATTAAGTCAAAATAAGGCGAAATAATAAATATTTCAAATCAAATAAATTACAGTGTATTTGGGACATATTTTTATTTTTAGTTATTTTTATTTGAGAAATCTTTTTTATTAAGAATACTATTTTTGTTGTTGCCCTAGTTCTCAAGGAAAAAAATCAAAACATTTTATTTTTAGGATTCGGGTATAAAATATTTAAAAAGAAAATTAAAATGTGCATCTCCACTCCAACGCAGTTTGCTTAACACTAAATCATTTAGTCTAAATGCAGCCAGAGACTCTGGCCCAGAGTTGACCTCGCTTACAATTCGCACGCATCCGGGGCTCTGGCCAATCAAATTCTATTTGGCGTTCTATCCTTGTTCTTTTCACGCGGGTATTGAACAGCCGTCCTTTCCAGTGCGGTCGGACTTGCATTTGCAAGCACTGTATAACAAACACAAAAACGGCAATGAAAACTTAAACGATATGAAATAACACAAACAACAAACAAAATAAACGAAATAATACACGAATTAAACGAAATATTCAAAAACACAACTGACAGCTTCGAAATTCTAAAACGTCAAATTCTTTTTTATGTGTCATTTAAATATGAAAAATTTGAATGTAAACATGACAACATCACAATTGTTGCCAACTTAATTTGGTTAAAATGCATTCAAATATTCAATTACAGACTTCGATTTAGTCATTTAGTGTTGGTACCAATGCGTAAAATTTTTGTTTTATTGATGACGTGTACGTAGTTTACTTTTAAATTTACTATATATAGTAAATTTAAAAGTAAACTACGTACACGTCATCAATGACATTTTGGTATTATTCATGTAAACGCCATCTATCGCCCTATAGTTGCACTACCACTTTCCCTTGATGCAAGGATTTTAGCATCACATTGACAACCGTGCCCGATCAGCTGATTGATGACGTGTACGTAGTTTACTTTTAAATTTACTATATATATATCTCGAAAACGGTAAACTCAATTGAAATTCTGATTTCACAGAAATGTTTAAAATTACAAAACGCCTTGAATAAAACCATAAAAAGTATAGGTCATAAAAAATTTAACTACCCTATTAAGCGAAGCATAAAAAGACACTTCTTGGCCGAAAGGCAACATTTTGTCTTCAATTTGTTAAACGATACATAAAACCTAAGATTAAGGGCCGGTTTATTATGGAACGCCGTTTTACTATTTAATAACATAGCGCAAATTGTTATGTTAAATAGTAAAAGAGCGCGCGACAACTTGATATTTATTTTATCTTTAATAGTCAGTGGCGTAGTTAGCCTCGAGGGGGCCCCGTATCACAAATCTGGTAGGGGCCCTTATACGGAAAAAGCTACTGGCAAAAAAATGTCTGGGTGTCACGCCCAAAATCTATTTTGGGCAAACAAAATGAATTTTTGAGGGTATCATTTTTTTGCATTTACAAACTTTTTATAATTAAATACATAATATATGTATACATAGCTTTTTATGAACAGGCAAATTTTAAAATTTGGTCTGGTTTTAGAAAGTTAACGTTCTTCAACATCTTTTAAAAGGTTTCTATTTTAAAATAAAGGCAAGTCATTTGAAATAATTGAAACTCTTAAAATTATTTCTAATTTGCTATTATTATAACATACAGCCAGTTCAGAATAAAACCGAATATATCTATATATATATATAGGGCGTGGCCTCGCCTCCCTCCAAGGCTCGTCACAGTAGCTTGTGTGATAAACGACAAGACGAAAGGTCGAGCAGGTAAGACGACGAAAAATTAAATGATAATAATGCAAAAAATCTCATTAGCGATGCAGTCTATTTGCTTAGCTACTGTGTCGCGCGTTGGAGGGGGGCGAGGCCACGCCCCATATATATATATAGATATATTCGGGTTTTCTATAAACGGGCTGTATGATAATAACACGCAAAGCATACTCATTATGCGGCGCAGAGCACAAAACAATATGGGCAGACTGCGCCGCAGAACACGCATAGTGCAAAGGTGCGGGCAGAAACAATTCGTAAGAGTTCACGGCCTCGTTGGAACAGGAGCTCCCTAGGGTATTCGGGAAAATTTTAATTTAATAAATCAAAGTATAAAGAATTAAATAATATTATTTATTTATTTAATTTCATGCCTGAATTTTTTTTAACATGTGGGTTATATGTTTTTTGCTTACGCATCTCAAAGCCAATCATTGATACGGCTGATACCGCGGTAGCTACGCCCCTGTTAATAGTTGTACTATATGTACAATTGTACTATATGGAAAAAGGTAAAGGTAAATATTGCATTCGACTTCGACGTTCGACTTTTAGCAATATATGTACGAATGTAGTAAAAAGTATGGCAAATCGTCACGGTTTCGTCACGTTGTGCTACCTGGGTAACCTGGCTAGGGGAAATCTATTGATTTAAGGATTTCAAGATGTTGTCTCTGGTAAGACGGTGTAGTGCGCGGAAGGTTTGCAAACCGTTGGCGGGAATAGGTGTTGTTCTATGGTTGGTTACTAACCCATAATAGCTGAAGGATTTTAAAATCATTGAAAAATAACAAAGACAACACCTTAAAATCATTAAATCTAGTGTTTTTGTTTCCCTAGACAGGTCTGCCATACTTTTTACAACATTCGTATATTGCCAAAAGTGGAATGCAATACTTCAAGTGTTTCAATAAGTATTTATACAATATCTGCAAGTCTCCAAAACTATTAGTGACATCTTTTAATGTAAATTAAACTCTTTGATTTTTTGTAATCTATGAAAATTGCAAAAAGTATTTTGACTTTTATATTCTTTAAATTAATAAAGTTTTTCAACACACGCGTGTTGCAGTAACTATTTATACAATAACCTGCAAGTCTACAAAAGTATTAGTGACACCTTTTAATGTGAATAGCTACATACAACTCTTAGACTTTTTACAATATACGATAATTGCCAAACTCTTTGAGTTTTTGCAATAAACGATAATGGCCAAAACTATGTATAATATTTAACTTTTCTCTATAAAAGCTTTACTTTTTTCCATATAGCACAAATAGTAAAACGACGTTCCATAGTTTATCAATCTCTTGTTAAGTTCCAGTTAGTCTATCTGCCAGTTAAATTCCATATCGATCGTTGTGAGAACAATGTTATCCATGGAAATTATCTGCCAGATAACTAACTGCAATTTTAACTGGACATTGATAAACTGGCCCTAATAGAAGTAGAAAGTGAGGTTAAATCGATCAGTGAGGTTAAATCGATCTGACAGGAGTCAATATTTTTTATAGGAATAAAGAAGTATAATGCATTTTTACGGTCTAGGCCTTAAATATCCTAACCCGATTGGTCTAAATAATTTTTAAGTGCCTCACGGTTGTTTTGAGTGCCAATTTTATTTAATTGTATTTTTGGTATCAGCGCAACCAAATTACCCTAAAAAAGTTGTTGGCCACCCTGTGGAAAAATTGTGTTATCCAAAACATGATTTTATTATAACTGCATTTATTTTTGTAAAATTTTAGACAAACACAGTATATTAAAAAATAATCAAAAGTTTTTAATTCAATAAAGTATGTACCTAAATAAAAATCTCAAAAATTATTAAGAAATAAAAAAACTGAAAAATACAAAATTATGTGCATGGCACTAAATTGTAAATATGTTTAAATTTATAATAGAATTTGTAAAAAAATATCATACGTTTATTTCTTTATTTCTTTATATCTTATAAGAAATGTAAGAAAAAAAAGAATATTTATTCCAAAATTTTATCTTAAAATTATTTACCATGCAAATGTCATGCAATGTGAGATAAATATTTTCTTAATATTCATTGATATTTATAATGTTTATTAATTAAGCTTTATATTATAATTTAACAGCATACCAAGTATCTGTTTTAGGTCATTTTTAAATTAAAACTGGAATAGTTATTTACCCAACTAGTGCGGAAAGTGCTACTTTTCCGCGCGTGTTGGGTACAATATTTTTTGTAAAAGCAAGAGAATCTCGCATTTTCTTTATCAGTTTCCATTTGTAGAAAAAAATTCCACAAGCCTGCGGAAAGTTGCTACTTTCTGTAGGCATTTACTTTCCGCTCTGTCGAGCCTGCGGAAAGTAATCGTGCAAAAAAGTGCAACTTTCCGCACGGTTATTTAGTACTGCCTATTGTTTTACAATTGTTGAAAAGGGACTTTTTCATGTGAGAGTTCATTAGTACAAGCTTGAAAAATACTTTTCTCACAAGTGAAGCACAATGCTATTTCTACGACGAAGTAAAAAAGTAAACAAAGTAATGTTGTTTTAGAATTTAAAGCAAATTATTATTTGACCTTTTACCTGACATCTGACGGATTTAATCTCACTTTTTACAAATCTAAACCTTCACATAGACCTGTCACATTAGCAATAAATGTTTTGTTTATTTAAATTACTCATAATTAAATTGTTTTTTAAAACAATGTTAATTAATCATTAATCAAGTAATTTTTTAAAATTTTATTTTATTATTGCTTATTATATTTTTTATATTAAATTTGTAATATAAAAATTATAAAATATATGAGGACCCTAGAAGCCAAGGGATACAAGTGATATTTAAAACAAATGTAGTAAATGGTACATTTTACTTGGTATCCAAGGGATATAACTGAATTCTAAGCTAAGACATCTTAAAAAACAAAGACATAAAACAAGAAACAATTTTGGGTCCAAAGTTTTTTTTACTTTAAACATGATTATCTCAAAACAAAACAAAATGTGGCTTCTAAGGTTCTCATATATAATTTATAATTATTAATTATAATTACCTAGAGGTATTTATAATTAGATAGCTAAATTTATACAAATTTATACAAAAATATAAAAAAAAACAGAAAAATAATAATAATTAATATTAATTTTTAATCCATGAAATTACTAGACTAAAACCGACATATTGCATTCTTAAACTATATTCTTACTTTGCTGTGGTGTCCCTGCAACTCATAGGCGTTGCCTTGCTGTCCACCAATGTCCCATATAATGACCATCTGATCGAAGGAACCGCTAAAAAGCATTTGACGTTCCATGTCCCAAGCAATGGATCTCACAGACCCCGAATGTCCCTTTAAAGTGGTGATCACTGTTGCCCCATTGTTGTCCAATTTCAACATCGTTATTTGACCGGAATAATCGCCGACAAATGCGTGCTTTGATTGGTTATCAAATCTAAAAAAATATCAAAAGTAAAAAAAAAATTCCACTCAAATTACCGCTTTTATTTTTTTTTCGGAGAAATGGCCAGTTATTAAGAAAAAACAATTTCATTTAAAAATACAGTTAAATATAAGTTGTGTTTTCTTAATAACAATTCTTAATAACAAGAGCATGGTCGGGATCTGCTGTCGGTTTTTGGTTCTTAAAAGAACCGTATGTCTGACGTCCACGTCTATCTCGCAGCAGAGCAGCAACAGCAGCCCAGCAGATAATACCTGAAGATGGTACATGATATTGTTCCGAAACGTCGTCAGACATAAGGTTCTTTTAAGAACCAAAAACCTACAACACGGAGCAGATCCCGGAAAACCCGGGAAATAACAAATGGTAGGACAAATTCGCACAGTGGTTCAAAAGTACAGGATAATAATAAATTTAAATTAAATATTTGATAGATGCTGTATGCTTTCTGAAAATTATTGTATTTATTTTTTTTAGTCATTGTCCTAGGTACTTCTTTTCAAAATTACAAAAAATAACAATTTTTTAATATCCCTAACCGTTTTTAAGATAATGGCAATTTTATTTTATTGGGATTTAAAACAAATAGAAGTTTAGAGATATTTAAAAAGTTTTTGGTGTTACTGAGGGTTTTAAAAAGCAGGAAAAATTACTAGAAATGAATTTGTCGGCAATTAAAAAATTAAACAAAAATGTAACTTTTTCAAAAACTATTATTAAAAACTTTTTAATTTTTTAAGTAATAATATAATAATAATAATAATATAATAATATATACCTAATATAAAAAAATTAATGATTGTCCTCTTTTTTAACTCAATTTGGGGAGATGTATAACTGCAGTGTACTGTATTTTTATTATAAAGTTAACGACTTATACTTATACCTAACTATAAATATTTAATATTAAATACTGATTTACCAAAAGAAAATAATGTATTCAATGCATTTATAGCATTTATTTAGACAAGTGTGAATAATATTAATCTCATAAATGTTAAATAATATTTAATAACATTAGGTTTTTACTATTTAATAAACATGAATATTTGTTGTTTGTATTGTTTTAATTTATACAAAAGATATCAAGCATAAAATTTATTATGACAATTTAAAAACAATTTATGAAAAACATTATTAACATAATTTAAATGTCTTATTTCTTTTAAATAAATAAACTTCGTCCTTATTTACCAATTAACATCATTACCTATTTGCACACTTACATAGAGTGTTTAATATATTTTAAAAACACAATTGGTATCAATTAAAATAGATACTGAAAAACAAACTTCCTATAAATATAATGTATTTTATACAAATAAAAACAAATTAGTTTAAGCATTCAAAAGATAAAATATATAAATGGTAATCTATTTGTAAATAAATTGGTAATTTATTTGAAATTGAAATTTTTTTGCTTTGTTTGAATCTTAGTATGGATTTATGAATCATATCCTCTCCCTAAATTGAATAATTGTTTGTACAATTTGATAAACTTTGTCAGTTTCACCATAAATATTATGTTGTCTTTGTTAGATAAACATGTTGTCTTTGTTAAATAAACATTTTTGATGAATTCTATAAATAGGTTTAAAAATTCCATTTACATATATTATAACTTCTTACTATAAACAATTCTAACAATTTTAGCATATGTTTATGAGTAAATATAAACAATCTAATGGTAATATATTTATATATAGGAATTTTATCTTAATTCTATATATTTTATTATGTTGATAATAAATTAATACTTACTCTAGTGAGGTGCACCAAGCTTCAGGTGTATATGTGCCAATATTTCTGCCAGTTTGGGTGCAATTATAAGAAAACATTTTATCACAACTAACACTTAAAACCCATTCACAAGTAATTGCAAAAATAATTTGTGTGACTCTGGCCTGATGGGCCAGATACTCTCTAACAGGCATCATCCGATTGAAATCTGAGGCCAGCGTAAATTCGGAAACTGTTCCATTTTCTTGCCCTATAAACAGTTGTCTTGTTTCAACTGTGTAATAAATAGACGTAGCCCCACTGGGCATGTATTGACATATACTTGGCCAGTACTGGCCGGAATCTCTTTTTAACCATACTCGGACTGTTCTGAAGCATGGAAAAATGCAAAATTAGCGAAAACAATACTTTTAACGTCAAACGCTTACTTGTCATCTGAAACACTGATAACTCCATCCTCCCCCGGTATCAAAACTGCGGCGTTTATATCGTTATTGCACCCATCTAGTTTCGCCAATAGAGCGGGTTTTCTCGTCGTACAAAATTTATCGTTTGATTGTGTCGCAGGTTTAATTTCAGCTGCCATTTTCCGACCTAAACACCGTTGACAAACTTTTGACAACTGTCATACTACTGTCAAAACACTTGCGGTTAACTTCATAGGTCTCCTTGATGTACGCTGAGTGGGAAGTGTGCACTGAGATTTGATCTCACTACCAGTGTTGCCAAGTCGGTGCATATTGCACTAGATCTGGTGGATTGAACCTCCATCTAGTGCCCGGAATTCGATTTTGGTGCGCTAGTGCAAAATTTAGTGCATCATCGATCATTAACCAAATTTGGTAAATAACAATGAAAAGGCGTTTATACAATGGTTTTATTTTCATAATTTTTCAATCATACAACTCAGCCACAGCCCACATTTCCTTCAGAAAATCTGAATACGCCCCTGTCCAACAGTCCACCATGCTGACGGCCGTTGTGTTGGTAGCATACCTGTGGTGGTAGTACCCCTAAACTTGGTTTAGGGTAGTATCACAGATTATAAATGTAGTACTGCGCTGCCGCTGCTCTGCGATTGGCTTGATTGTTGAATTCTTTCACAGAACCTCTGTTTCGATGTATTGTTTTTCTATGTTTGTTTCAAAAAACAAAAAAATTCTAGTGTGGTATATTCTTATTCTGTGGAATAGTATATTCTTTTCTATGGTATCGTCTAGTTCTATAGTGATTAATTATCAGCGCTTTATTGTGTTTATACATTTAGATGCCGGAACCAGCAACAATGTCGAGCAGTGTGGCTAAAGGACCCTGCCCTAAAGCAATGGCTTACCAGTGTGGAAATGCCTATGCTTAAAATAAAGTTTAATTTTTTTAAATTATTTCATGGTTGATCATTCATACATTGTGTTCATCTAGAGTGAAATTCAGACTACTGCATAGATTACTGATCGGGTGGACTTACACCAAAGTGAATTTGGTGCTTTTCTAGTGCATTTTTTATTGCTATATAGTGCATAGCTACTTCAAGCAGTTGGCAACACTGCTCACTACTCCAAAATTTAAATACAACTACATACTTATAGCTTAGTTACATGTTTAAAATTCTGTGGACAATAATATCAAGTTAATATTATCAAAAATTATAATTCACCAATATCTCCCAAAATAACACTAATAACAAAACCTCAAAGTACTCTTGTTTAATTAGTGGATGGAACCTTTTTAATACATTTCGAGAAGAAGAAGCTAGAGCAAAACATAACCTTAATGTTTTAAAAATGTTTAGAAAAGCGATTTATTCTGGAAATTTTGCAAAAACACTAATAAACAATAGTTTTTCGAATGTTGCAGTAATTACCAATAAAGAAGTAATCCCAACAAACTCGAATGTAGACAAATCAAAGGAAATTAACAGTGATTTGGAATTAAAAGAGAAGTTAGAGTTTGAAATTCACATAGAGGATTTAAATGAGATAGATACGTATTTAAAACCCACTTTTAATTTTGCCTCGTATATAAATAAATCACCGATACTGCAAGAATTCTTTAAACTAGGCGTCGATTTGTATAAATTTGAGAAAAATCAGGATGTGGCAAAGTTTATTTTATCATTAAATTATGAGAATGATGTGCACAAGTTTGTGGAGTTTTTTAATGATTTAAATATTAGTCATGAAAGTTTGGGTAAAATAATAACAAAAAACCCCTACATACTAAAAGAAAATATTGAAGATTTAGTTGTAAGAATAAACTATTTAAAGTGCAAAAAATTTACTCCAGAAATGATTACAAGGATTGTTGAAAGCAATCCTTTTTGGTTATCTTACACCACACAACAAATTGATCAAATGTTGGGTTTCTTTCAAAAACACTTTACACTAAAAGGAGATGAAGTTAGAAGTTTAACTGTAACATGTCCTAAATTAATAACATTTAAAGAAAGAACAGTTAAAGTTAATACCTTTGCTATCCATGAAGAAATGGGATTTTCAACGGAAGAGGTAAAGGGGATGTTACTGAAAAAACCCAAACTATTTATGAGAGGTAACCTAATTTTACCTACATTATTATAGTTTATATCTATTTTTATCATATTTTAGATCAAAGAAATGTTTTAAAAACATTTGAATACCTTCACAATGAAATGAATATTTCTTTAGACCAAATAGTAGATGAACCAGGAGTTTTAACATGTAGATGTAATCGTTTGAGAGAAAGACACAAATTTTTGAAAAAATTAGAAAGAGATCAATTTGACCCTAAAAAACCAATGTATGTATCTTTAACAACACTAGTTTCATCACCAGATGCAGATTTTGCTACTGAAGTAGCCAAATCATCTGTACAAATTTATAATGAGTTTTTAAAATCGATTTAAGGTGTAAATAAAATATATTGATTTTTATTAAATAATTTTATTTGATCCTATAACAAAGTTAAAATATAGATACATTTAAATAATAATATTATTAAAGCATTTTTACAAAAACTCAGATGAGTATTTAGTTTTTATATTTCTATTCCCTAAACAAATTTTCATTAAAGCAGCATAATCAATTTGTACTTTGGCAAAAGTTTTACACTCAAAACCGTTTGATTTTGTGTATTTTCTTTGAATTAAATTGTAGAGGGTTACCAAGAGAAATTCCGTATTTTTAATTATGAACTGCCTTTCCTTAAAATTAAACCAAATTAAATAGTTTTACTTTGCATTAAATATTAACTTACCTCTTTTTGTAAATCCTTTTTTAATGTAAGCTCATAATGTTTTAGTTGTGCACCATATATTTCATAGAGAACTGTATCCACAGTGTAAAGTAATTCTGTAGTTTTAAGTCTCAAGCAGCATTCTAATAACGCTAGGAAAACTTTTGTGAAAGCTATTGTGTTTTGAGTTAGTTGTAGCCAAATGTCCCCTAAAATAAATCAATAGTAAATATTATTCAAATTATTAATATCTTGAACTAGAGCTCTGGTTTTGTTTTAAACAATAGGAAACTTTATTTTATTTGGCCTATTTAGGGTGTAAAAAATATCCGAACTATTTTGTTTTCTAGCAATTAAAATATAGTTTAGTTCCGACTATTTTGACAATTTGTTTTGGCATTCTAAAATCACATTCTTCTACAAGCGTGCGTAAAGATGAACTTTTCCGGATGCTTAACCGGAAAGTAATTACTTTAAGAACGCTCGACAGTGCAGAATTTAAATGCGTGCGCAAAAAAAAAACTCGACTGATTACCGAATTCGGTTAACTCCGCTACGCGTTGCGACAGTCGCGTGCCGAAAAGTATCACTTTTTGCAATAGTTGGGAAAATAACTATTTCAGGTTTAAAAACTTGTGTTTTGACAGGTTTATAACATTCTAAAATTTAACCTTTTAAAATGAGTTTCTGAAATCTTAAAATAAGTTTGAAATAATAATTATTATAAGTAGTTTAAACAAATTTGACATATTTTAAATACATATCTTTTTTTGACATTTGAATGTTTTAAATATCCTAAAATCAAGAAGACTAAATAAAGGAGGACCACACGGAATAATAGGAAAGACTGTTGCGCAAGTGTTCACGGCGAATAGCAATAATCCAATGCTGACACGAGCATTTTTCGCATCCGTAAGTAAGGGAGTCCCTGAATTTAGTCTTCTTGCATTGACTTCTCATATAATTACAATTACATTTAGGCTTAATTGTGTTTTAGACAAATGTATACATATATATATATATATATATATATATATATATATATATATATATTAGGGTGTCCCAAAAAAAAGAATATGTTTTTTTTTCTTGTCTCTTGTAAAAATATGTTAGTTTATCATGCTGTTGGAGCCCTTTCAAAATATCAGCTCGATTAAAAATTTTGTAGGGGTCGCTCAAGATTTTTAAAAATTTTCAAAATCGTCAAAAATTGAATTTTTGTTTTATTTTAATTCTTTTTCTCGTCTCGATATTATTTTTTAGGTTGAAAATAATAAAAATTCTGTAAATTTCAAATCAATATTTTGATTTCTAAAGGTCGCTAAAAGTTCGTTGGTATTTATATTCAGAGGTCGCTCAAAAACATTCAAAATACTCTACTTTGAAAGTTAAAAAAATCTTGAGCGACCTTTAGAAATTAAAATATCGATTTGAAATTTTCAGAATCATTATTATTTTTAAATTAAAAAATAATATCGGAACGAGAAAAAAAATTAAAATAAAAAAAAATACAATTTTTGACGATTTTGGTAATTTTTAAAAATCTTGAGCGACCCCTAAAAATTTTTTAATGGTGCTGATCTTTTGACAGGGCTCTTAAAACATGACAAACCAACATATTTTCACAAGAGACGAGAAGAAAAAAATATTTTTTTTTGGGACACCCTAATATATATATATATATATATATATATATATATACAGGGTGTCCTGAAATTAGTGCACCATACTTTAGCAGCAGATTCTACATGCTAAAATAAGAAAAAAAGTCCCTATAAACATAGGCCAAGAAATGCCTCTTAAGAGAGCTACAGCCCCCAAAAGGAAAGCCCCTGAAGATGGTTTTAATTTAATATCTCCAAAACCGTTAAAGATAGAAAAGTGAAATTTGGGGAATTAATTAAACTTTTTATGACCAATAAGATGTAATAATAACAATTTAAAAAATTTCATGAGGTTTGGGTCAGATTGATAGGAAGTGGGGTTAAAACCACCTTAACTTTTTTGTACGAATCTTGTACCAGAATTTGATGTCAGATTATGAAAATTTGGAGTTTTTCACATAAAAAAGGTCATCTTGTTGAACTTTGATAACATACACCATTTTCGCTTAAAATCGATTTGAAAATTATTTTACATGGCATAAAAATTCACAGTTAAATCACAACCATAGAAATGGACTCGCATGGTCTTTGGAATACGGCTGCCATGTTTAGGAAAAAAATAGAAAAATTTAAGACAGGTGACAGTTTCATGTAGTAAGTGACAGGGTGTTTCTACTTTTTTATAAATATTAGATAAAAACCATATTCAGGGGCTCCCTTTTCGGGGGCTGTAGCTCCCTTAGGAGGCATTTCGGGACCTATATTTATAGGGACTTTTTTTCTTATTTTTGCACGTAGAATCTGCTGTTAAAGTATGGTGCACTAATTTCGGAACACCCTGTATATATATATATTAGGGTGAGCCAAAAAAACTAACCTATCGGATTTATGGGTTAAAATGAACCTACATACCGAGCAAAAAATTTCCCTGCAAGGCAAAATTTTTTGCTCAATTTTAAAAGGTGTCGGTGAGCATTCTAAGTTTTCCATTGAAATAACACGTAAAATCTGCAGTTTTAGTGATTTTTTACACTTTCCAAAGCTTTCAAACATACGAATTTTTTAATTAAAAAAATTAATCCTGGTATAGATTCTTTGGGAAATTTTATGCTCTACAAGAATCCGCGACGTAAAAAATTTTATCTCAAACGGTTCAAAAGTTATAGTCTTTTTAATGAAAAAAGATTTTTTTACGTGTTATTTCAATGGAAAACTTAGAATGCTCACCGACACCTTTTAAAATTGAGCAAAAAATTTTGCCTTGCAGGGAAATGACTACAAGCCGGAGGTCGTGGGTTCGAATCCCACCAGGGGTATGGCTGTTTATTTGTGTTTGACCTATTGTGTAATAGTCCTTCGGAGGGGACTTTAAGCCCGCGGTCCGTTCCTACCCCTAACCCGCACAAGCCATTCAGTTGGCTTATGGGACTTCTTAAGAAGTAAGGGTGGAACTAAAAGAGCACTTTTTTTGTATATATATATATATATATATATATATATATATATATATATATATATATATATATATATATATATATATATATATATATATATATATAGATATGCAATCCTACATTACCAAGCCCGAAACGTTACATTCTACAGTATAAACGAAGCCCACTCGGTTTTTACGAAGCCCGAAATCGGGCTTCCTAAAATTAGCGTGTATAAATTTGTTTTAGAGTTAAGTGATGCCCCCTTGTTTCAATGGCGAAAAAGTGGTGGGCTTCCTAATGCCATTCAAACCTATCAAAATATACACCCTTAGTTCCAATGCTTTGGCGGTAGGGGGCACACGAGTCAAACGAGATTATATACAGCTTTGTATAAGTATTACGCAGTATACGAAGCCCGTACATCTGGCAACAATGGGGACTATACGCTCGATGACTTTTTGATAGGAAGGCGGGGAAAATAATGCGGGATTCTTAAATTTGTATCTACTGATTTTCAAAATAAATGTTATATTCCCAAAATTATGTTTTGTTCACTACATGGCGTGGATTAAAAGGCAATGTTTTGTTAAATACTTTCGTAATACACTTAATTTTAAAGAATTATTTATTTTTGAAATATTATTTGGACTGTATTTTTCTTTGGAGCGGTTTTACAAGTTTTCCAGATATTTTACATAGTTTTAATTGGGAAAACAAGGGGATTTGTATATATTATTATTATTGTTTTTTTTTATTATTATTATATGGGCATCGACAACTAATGGTCATTAGCCCGGCTAATCAATGTCAAATTATCTAGGCATTCTTCATGTTCAGATCAGAAAAGGGTAGGTATATTATTATTATTATTATTATTATTATTCAATGTTACATTTAAATAATTTTAATAAAAATAATTTTTAATTTATTTATAAAATTTCCAATAGCGGTATGAAATAAATTAAAAATTATTTTTATTAAATATCATTTAAATGTAACATTGAATTGCAAAAACTGCTTTTTGACAGATAGCTTTTCATCAATTTGTCAATTAACATTCACAACTGGTCAATTTATTTATACATGGCAAACAACGACCAAACGACCAAACAACAATAAGAAATTGGGTTCTTTATTTGAATAGTGCTTATCTAAAAGGAACCAAAAACTTGTTCGGAGCTTAAAAAACTTATTTGTATATACCTAACTCATTTTTAATGCTGCTCAAAAACTTAATTATAATTTGAAAGTCCTCTTAATAATTTAAAAGAAGTTCTAAATAATGATAAACTTTTTGAGCATTATTAAAAATGAGTTATTTTACAAAAATAGTTTTTGGCGCTTGGTTCCTTTTAGATAAGGATTGTCCATTTATACTTACCATTATAAAATTATTTTATCAACCGTTTTGGTTAAAGTTATATTTTATTTTTTTTTAAATACACTGCCCTACAAAATTATTGCATAATAAATAAAAAAAATTAACTCTAAAACGCCTTTACTAATCTTTGTGAAATTTTGGATAAAAATACTTCAACTTATATCTCAATTTACGTGTTCAGGGGTTTTTCGAGAAAATATGTTTAAATCCTTTTTATTTAATAATGAAAATAAGTTCGAAAAATCAGTTCTAGGGAATTTTTTAAATAAATAAAAAATATGCTTTTAAAGAGCGTATTTTTTAGTATACCCTAAAAATTTTGTAGAAATCAAGCGAACAGTAACGAAGATACAGCGCTTCAAAGTCGTGAAAAATGACCTTTTCAGCAAAATAATCAAAAAGGCGTCATTTTTACTGACTTTGAAGCGCTGTATCTTCGTTAATGTTCGTTTAATTTGTACAAAATTTTCAGGGTGTACTAAAAAAAATACGCTCTTTAATAGCATATTTTTTATTTATTTAAAAAAATTCCCTAACAGTTATATTTCGAACTTTTTTTCATTATTAAATAAAAAGGCTTTAAACATATTTTCTCGAAAAACCCTCTAACACGTAAATTGAGATATAAGTTGAAGTATTTTTATCCAAAATTTCATAAAGATTGGTAAAGGCGGTTTAGAGTTAATTTTTTTATATTTATTATGCGATAATTTTGTCGGACAGTTTATTAAAGTATACGTCATTATATAGATTTTTTAGAATTTTTGGTGTATTTAAATCTAATAATTTAAAAAAAACTAGATGTCTTTATAATTCATGAAGAAAATATTCAGTCAGTTTCACTTGTTTTGATTCCCATTAAAGTTTTACACAAAATTACCTAACCTCAACAATAATTAGAATTAATTCTTATAATAATTATAATTATTGATATATTTGTATATTTTTTATTAATATATGGAAATATATTTTTTAAAGGCTTAACTTTTAAACAAAAACGAATCGCATCCAGCTATCATCTGACAAAGTTTGCCATAGAGCTTGTGGAGCACCCTGTATAAGATATTTAAACCTTTTCAAAATTATGATGTATAAACAAAATAAATGAAATGTTTATACCTATAGGTACCTAAATTCAACAATACTTTTAAATTATTATAATATAAATAATTATTATTATAATAATTATAATTCAAAAATATTATTAAATATTTAAGTATACCTACGTCATTATTTAAGAATATTGTTAAGTTTAAGTATCGTCTAGGTATTTTAAATCAAATTTGCCTATAATTATAAATTTAGACAATATTTTTAAATAATGACTTATAATTAATTTAATAATAATTATTATAATAATTTTTATTATAATAATTATAATTCAACAATATTATTAAATATTTAAGTATACCTACGTCATTATTTAAAAATATAGGTTAAGTTTAGTTATAGTCTAGGTATTTTAAATCAAATTTGCCTATAATTATAAATTTAGACATTGGCAACACCGCAGGGCTTCTGATACACAGCGGAGTGTGTCTCTTGTTGTTTATGCACCAACGAACAGTTAACCGCCCCGTCCCGCATTACCGGGCTTCGACTAGCCAGTGTAATGCACCGGGCTTCGTATTGATAGCCGTGCATGTATATATATATATATATATATATATATATATATATATATATATATATATATATATACCGGGTGTATATATACCGGGTGTATATATATACCGGGTGTATCTGAGAATAGGCGCACCCCTGTAACTTTTTTATTTATAAAGATAGACACATGAAATTTAGCATGGTTAATTAGGATATAAAATGCCACTTATAAGAGTAAAAAATGAATTTTTTGAACTTCCGGTTTCGCCGGAAATGATATCATTTAAATGGAACGCCTTATAGATTTTTACATATTTGGAATCCTGATTAAATTCTGAGTCGGCAGCATCCTCAAATTGACCTTTCGACGTTTCGTCATCAGAAAACGCATCATCATAAAGATCAATCTAGAGTGCTTTGAACTATTTGAGAAAAACGAATTTTGATAAGTTTAGACTGCTTGGAATAGCTGAATAACAACTTTCTAAGGCAAGTTCCATTTTTCAGGCATTGTGTGAATCCATATGGATTCTAATATTAGAAGAAAATAAGTTAGTTCAAAGCACTCTAGATTGATCTTTATGATGATACATTTTCTCATGACGAAACGTCAAAAGGTCAATTTGAGGATTCTGTCTGACTCAGAATTTCCAAATATGTAAAAATATATAGGGCATTCCATTTAAAAACCGAAAGTTGGTATCACTTCCGGAAAAACCGGAAGTTCAAAAAATTCATTTTGTACTCCTATAAGTGGCATTTTATATCCTAATTAACCATGCAAAATTTCATATGAAGATAGACGCATATGCGTCTATCTTTATAAATAAAAAAGTTACAGGGGTGCGCCTATTCTCAGATACACCCGGTATATATATGTATATCGTCATATCCCTGCCAAAAGTCACTAACATTTTATTATTAATCTTCAAGATAAATAAATATATCTATTACATTTATATAGTTTATAAACTATAGTTATTTTTAACCATGCAAAAACGACCATTTTTATTATTTTAGGCATCTAGTGGCTTTTACATATTAAAGATATGGTAAATTTTTATAGTTAAGTACACTTTGTTAACATTTTTACAAAATGAATATGACGATATGTATAAATATGTTTTAAATTATTAAACATTTTTCATGGTTTAACTTTAACTTTCTTAGCTTTGACAATATGTTTTTGGGATTTTAAAATGAAATTGTAATCCCTCAAATGTATTTTTAACAAATTCTTAACACTTTAAAGTATATTTAACATTGCAATGTTAAGTATACTTATATACAACATGTTGTCAAAACAACATTTAAATTTACAATCTTAAATGTTGTTTTGACATTCTATGATTACACACCAAAATAATTTGACCCATTTATAATAGTTGACACAATTTTAATTACTATGAACATTTTTTATTAAGTCTTAGTGGTTTTTATATTCCTAAATATGATTTTAACGCTCTATTCAGTATTTGTAACCTTCTAAAATGGGATTTTAACATTATAAAATATTTTTTACAGGCTTTATTTTGCTCTATAAGTTTTATGTCTGAAACAATTTTATTTAAATTTGACATTGTTGGTAAGTCTTGACATTTTTAAGCAATTTTTATGTTTTTGATGTATGTACTAACCTCCACACATCAAAGTCACGTGTAGGGACTTGGACGTGTGGAGAATAGTACATACCTATATAAAAAAAAGTTAGGATTTAAATTGGAAAAATTTGGTAAACAATGAAACTTGCAAAAATAAGAAGAAATGTTTATATGAACTTGTACGTTTTAAAGCTTTGTTTTCGAACTACAGGGTGGTAAAATTATTAAAACAAAATTATTTTTCAAACTTTTTGGCCAAATTTATTAAAACTTTTCATGTTTTAAGTAATGGGAAAATCTCGGGGAAAATTTTCTTATTTAACGTAATTAAATTTAACTTCCATAATGAAAGTAACAACAGCGCATTTAAGTTAAAAATTGCACAAGATTAATTATATTTTATACCCTCCAAATTAAATAAATAAACACATATAATTCTTACCAGTTACATATGAGTCAAGTTGAAGTCCCATTTCTCTGTGTTCATTCAAACACCTACTTAAACCGTTTTTAGTATGAAAATTCGTTGGTATCCACTTATCTTCCAAAGCTCTTACTTTAACAGAATCTATTAATTTATCCCTTGTATCAGTTAAAGCTTTTGTTAGAGGTGTCAAAAGTGCCCCATCTAGTTGGTAGCAAAGATCTATGCCATAGTTACATAACTAGAAAAATAGTAAAATAGGAATTGTTACAAAATATTGTTGAACTCACCCTTTCACATTGTGTTTTAACCAGAAACACGCATTCAGTGATTGTAGCCAAAGATGTTTGAGGTACAAAAACTTGTTTGATAAAATGTGCGGAAAATGACGACAATTCGCTAGAAGCCCATACAATATAAGCTAAAATATTAATGTTAATAAAAATATATGCAATCATAAAATTTAATTTTACCGGATGCGCATACAGAAGACTCTGGGAAAGCCCTTAAAAATTCATCAGTCATATGACACATATTGGTAAAAACCACACTAGACAAGTGCCTTATGTATGTGCTTGTAGACCCCTCCCTTTTTACTCTTTTGCATTGGATTTTTAGCATGCTACTGCATAACTTAAGGAACAAATCGCAGGACTAAAATATTTAAATTGATAAATAATAAGTTATGTTTTTTTTATGTCTAAAATACTTGTGTTGAACGTCCCAATTGGTTTAATAGTCTCACTGCCCGTCTGGCGGCCCTTAAACCACCTTGCAAAGATTTGTCAGGGTTTATTTCCAATTCTTTCATTAGGACTTCGGTTAAACTAGACTGGCGCATGTCAAGCTAAAATTTAAGATATTTATTTAATAAATATTTCTTTGCTTCTTTGCCAATTATAATCGAATTTTTAAAACCTAAAACCTAAAATATAACTACAATTTTTTAATAATCATGATCCAGAGGTTATTACAATTTACAATTTTTTTGGAGTAGTGTTTGAGTTGTAACGTTATTAAACTTGAATTTTTTCAAAATTTTTAAATGGTTTGAACACAATTTTCGAATGACAATTAAGAAATAAAAATGTAAAATTTGCATTTCATACCTAATATTTTGTCAACAAACAGGTACTTCAAAATTTAATTAATGTTTTTAATAATTATTATTTATTTATTTTATTTATTTATTGATACTACTTACAAACACAATACAAATTGTAATTAAAAGTAAGAGATAAATACATGTATATACTTAAAATCTAAATACAAAAACAGTAACAAAACAAAAACAGATGTAAAAGTAGCCTAAACTAAGAATAAAAGGCTAGAATGAGAGAAAGTGTGATCTAATTTCTTTGGTATTATTTCCCATAAATAGGTCAATGTTGGATACTTCCAATAATAAGTTGCATTGCTCCAGCATATTTCTAAATGGGGAGCAGTCTGTTGGATCCAAATAAAACATATTACTTCCCTGCATGCGCAAATGTATCTTTGGAACCAATAGTTTAACAAAATTCATCAATTGAAGATTTTTATACTTTAAGTTGTTGATAATAAAATATACAAGAAGTACAGCCTGCAATGACCGCCTTCTTTCGAGTGTGACAAAATTGAACTCCTCAAGCATGCTTCTGTAGGAGATCATATATGGATAGAGGTTATTCACCCTGACATATAGAAACCGAAGAAATCTTTTTTGAACCCTTTCTATAAGATCTATGTTGACTTCTGCCCGAGGTGACCATACAACAGAAGCATACTCAAGATGAGGCCTCACAAGAGCATTAAATAGATACTATTATAATAGTACGGAGAACATTGTGTGTAATATTATTATATTATATATATATTATTATAATAATAATAATGCTTTATTGAACTAAAACCAAGTTCAAAGGCTATTGACCGTAGTCCTTCAGCCGAATATATTATTATATATTATTACAATACTTAAAATTATAATAATTGTTATTATAAGTGTAAGACATCCAATTTATTATTTGTATTGTGTTTTTGTGGGATTAATTTATAATGCCAAACTGTGTTGTGGCTAAAACTGTAATAAATCTACAAAAGGTACTAAAGAAGAAAATGTCAAAATTTGCGAATTTTATATAATAATGCAATTTTTTAAATTTACTTTTGTTTCTCCTCAAAGTGGACAACAGAATAAATGTTTTGGATCTTATAAGAAATAATTATTGAGTCTGACACTCTTTACAAATAAATATTTTCTCTACCCCTATTGTATAATATTGTTTTTTTTTTCGGAAATAGTTATGAACATTATAAATTCCCTGCTTAACAACGGGAATAATGAACTCATTATTTACGTTGTTAAGCATCAATGATTGGATTCACTGTAATTTGAACCAATCGGGTTTAAAATTGGGAGAAGGCGATCGACTATAATAACATTTAAAATTGGTAAAAAGTGAGGTTAACCATTTGACAGATGTCAGATTTTATCTATTTATTTTTGAAAATTATTTATTATCTAATTATTGGAGTAGATAAAGTTTAGTACAAAGAACACCTTGGTTTAGTATTACACTCGAGATTATGCGCATTATTCACTTGGAGGATTTAAGTATCTCGTTTCGCGACTCGAGACGCAAACCATGAGGATCACCTCGTGAATAATGCCTGCATTATCTGTCTTATAATAATAAACTATTCGCTGGAGCTTTAATTGTTGATTTTTTTTAATGTTTATCAGAAAAATTGTAGGTAGAAATTAAATTAAAATTACATAAAAGTTTTTTAATGATAATAAATGACTCAAATGAAAAGGTTTATGTAAAAACAAAGTTCAATAATTCAAAAAAGTGTTAGTCTTGATTAGATCTATATTAGGTTGTCGTCAATTTTTAGTAGAAACACCCTGTATTTATAACATTGATGTTTTCTGTTCTTCAAAATATTTTTTGAATTACTTGGTAAAAACATAAAACACATTGTATGTATAACATTGATATTATCCTTTTTTTAAATTTCTAAAAAAATTAAATACTTTTATTATTTTTAAAATAATAACAATAGCAGAAAAACGATTAACATTTAAATGTTAATCGTTTTAAGTGTTTAAGTGTTAAAATTTTAACACTTATCTGCCTTTGAATCTGTATCTGCTTTTATAATTTAAAAAATACAATGACACAATGACTTATGGACTAAGTACAAATTCGTAGAAGTACTACCTACCTCGTAAAACAATTTTCTCTTGCAATCAGTTTTAATAAATAGACCGTCATTATAAATTTAATAAAACTCGAACGCGCGCCTTAAAATTAAATTACCATGCGCAATAGCATACCGTGTTTGTATGTATCGTGGTTTTTAAATATGATAAAATTAATACTACCTATTTATTATAATAAAAAACAGCCCCCTTTATGTTATATTAGGTTATTTTGAATATATATTTTTGTCGATTTGTTTCTGATAAAATTAACATTGAATTTTATTTTAATACTGTTTATTTACTTAATATCAAATATGTATTATTATAAAATAATACACATTTAATATTGTAAATATTTTCTGAAAAAATAAATGTGATAGATACAAATATTTTCAAAAACTAAAATATTCGGAAAAAGTTAATCTTTTTCTTAAGGTCAAAACTTAACTTAACTCAAAAGTGTAATATTTAATTCAATTACAATTTATCTGTTTTTAATAAAAGTATACCTTTCTTTGTATATCAATTAGAACATGGTCTGTCTTGGCATTTGGCAAACCTAACTGAGACATATAATCCTTCCCTTTCTGCAACAAAGTTATAGCTTCCTCAAAATGTCTTTGTGCCACACCTACATCAAGTTCTTCAGGCAAATCCAAAAACCATTCTGGATGTGTTATAATAACCAAGTCATCTTCAGATTCACTTAAAGCTAAATAAAATTATTAATTTTAACGTTTTTAGGGTGCAAAAATAAGTCTTACTGCTGTGTATGCCTGATTCTATAGTGGTTCTTGAAGGTGATCTTTCTATTATAGATTCGCGTCTTTGGACATCCTGTGAAAGCTGGTTTTTCTTGGCTTGATCAAATTTATCCAACCAATCTTTCTGCAATTTTACATATAAGAATTTTACTTTTATACATTGTTTACCTTGTAAAATTATTCTTACCTTATTTGAATTTGAAGAGCATTGAAATATTCTAGTTTCAGGAAATATTAGCAACTTAAAAGCATGTTTAACATCCCCTAAATCTCTAACATTAACCACAGCTAAACTGCCTAATTCATACATAACTTCAAACTTATATTTCATTAATCCTCGACTAAAATTAAACATTATAAATTAACAACCATTTTGTTGTAGGGTGAACAACAACTTTCAAATCTTTCAAATGCTCTTGTATTTTTATTAGCAAAAAATCAATATACTTTAAAAAAGTATATTTAATCTTTGGTATAGTAAATTACCCTAGCAAAGTTGTTGTCTACCCAGCAATAAACAGATTTTTTTAAGTGAAACTTCTTTAGCAAAGTTTGAGTCCGAAAAATTGAAGTGTTAAGTGTCACTATGTCAAAATATGAATACTCTCAACACTCTAAAACTTGTTCCTATCAACTTCAGAATTTAACTTCAATTATTATAGTGTTTTAACCAGCAGGCCCGGATTTATATAACAGGCTAGCTAGGCTATAGTCTATGGCGGCAAATTTTCGTAGGAGGAACATTTTTGAAGGCAGAAATGTTTTCCATGGCCACTAACAACAAAGTATTAACTCATATTTTTCCGCAAATTTTTTGTAAATTTATGATGAGTTATTTTTCTACTGTCATTATTAACCCATTTTTAAATTAAATAAAAGTTTGCATAACTTTCATATTGCATATTTCATTATCTATTCTTAGTTTTGTAAAAAATATACGTATATATATATATATATATATATAAATTTTTAACAAATACAATTAATTGATTCCAAATTTAATTATTTGAAAAAATAATAAAACTGCATTTCATAATTTTAAATTAACATTTTGATTTAAATTCGTTGTTGTTCAAAAAATTTAATTTGGAAGGTATTAAATATATTTGTTTGAAATAACCAAATTTTTTTCTCAGTTTAGGCAGCAATTTGGTTCAGCCCATAGGCTGCAAATTTGTAAATTTGTCTCTGTCAACCAGTGTAACACTTTTATTGCACAACATACCTATTGGAATTTCTTGAAGTAATCATAAAACCATCATTAAATAAATAAACATGCACTGGTTTAATTGGTTTATTTTCTAAAGAATCTAATTCCAAAAGATCTCCCTCATGCAAGAACGTTCTACCTGGGATATCTAAAACATCCTAAAAATATTTCTAAATTTTTAAGAAGATATTGACAAATCTATTATTTACTTTGCATCCCTCCACTTTCTCTAGAATTGATTGAGTTTTCTGTTTTTGTTCCTCAATAATTTTCTCCTCAGATCTTTCCTTGTTTCTAGTTAAATTGCTATTATCCCCCATTAAGGAAGTTGATGCCAGAGAGTTCAAAAGGGACTTTTGTTCAGATAATAGATGGGATAATTGATACATTTCACTCTCCAAATCTTAGTTTCAATTGGAAATATAAACAATATTTTAAACTTTAGATATATAATATATATTTTAAACTTTGGGTTATAAACCCAAAGTTTAAAATATATAATATATAGGTATATATATATATATATATATATATATATATATATATATATATTGATAAAGGGTACATTGTCACCTCCAAAACGGAGACCCTTCATACGTTGTGACCTCATATATGACGTTGTGACCTCCAAATTCGGAGGTCACAGTGTTTAACCATATTTTTGACATTGGGGGAGAGTCAGTAATCAATCTGTGCAAAAATATTTCGGAGGTCACTTTGACCCCCCAGTCTCTTAAAAAGGAACTTTTAGTTCCACCATATATGAATTGGCGCTAGTGTCGCTTTTTAATCAGATTCAGCCACATCAAAGTTACCTCCGTCATGTATACGTACATTTGTTACCTCCGAAATTTGGCAACCTTGCAATATCTCGCGCAGACATAGATGTTCAGACTTGATGATCTTTAATACTTCTTATATGTTATTTGTTACGCAGTTTCGCTTTTGTTCTAACAGCTTAAGTGTAAAATAACGATTTAAGTTAAAAATATATCTTCCAGGACTTAATTAATAATCCAGAGAGTCGGTTTTCAAGGTAAGTAAGTTTTTAGTACATAATTAGGTAAATGCATTATGTTTATAGAAATGGATATTGTAAAATATTTCTTTTAGGTTTAGACAATACTAGTAATGATGAAATCATTACCAAAAAAGATAAAAAATTTAAACAAAAAAAGTAAGTTTAAACAATATTTTTTACTCACACAATCTTTTTTCACTTTTATTTGTTTAAAAATGTGTTATTATTTTTAGGCTGCACAAATATGGAAATCGGGTTAATAAAGGATAAATTCCTTAACCATATTAAAAAAATATTTATTCATCTAGCAAAGAAATTAAATCTTTTCTAGAACAAACGAAAATAAAAAGAAGTGTATCCCTTATTAAAGCCAAAGTCCAACACCTTAAGAAAAACGAAAAAAAACATTAATTAGTTACCCTTATGATAATTATAATTATACACTGAGAAAAAAATGGGACAAATAAACTGTTTACCTAATACTTTTATTTGTAGTGAATATATTGTTTATTACCTCTAAATAGTCGAAATAATAACGATAAATATACTTTAGTAAAACTTTATATGTCGGGAATAAAAATATATTTAGGATAAATAAACTGTACCCTTGTCCCATATTTAAATATTTTTTTTATTTGGGAGCAATAAACTTTTTTCTCCGTGTAATAATTATTATTCATAACTATTTTAATAGATAAAAATGTTTTACTTTACTTATGTTTTTTAATTATCCCTATTTATTGTTTAATTAAATTTCTTTCTTATATTTTTATTAATATAATAATAAAAATATCAAAAATATTAACAATAAAAATATTAGAAATAAAGAAATAATTAAAAAAGTAAAATTGATAAAAATAATAAAAAAGTATACTAATAAATATATTCAAAATGATTGGGTATAATAATTATTAGAAAAATTAATAAAAATAATAACAAGATTAATTTTAAAAAATTATAAATAAATAAAATATTAATAAAACAATTAAAATAATACAATAAAACTAAATAAAAATAATGAAGATTGTAAAAGGAATATAAATAATTGAAGTAGATACCTACGTAATAAAAATATTAACAAAAAAATAATTATAATAAAAATAGTAAAAATAACAAAAAAATTAGAAAAAATAAAAATACAATTGAAATATTAAAAATAATAATAATATCAACTAATAAATATTAAAATAACAAAACTTATTGATAATAATAATATTAATAATTCTTTCAAAAGTCAATCGGTTTGAAAAGTTTTTAAAAAACCACTTGCAAGCAAAACAGTACATATACAATGTGACCCATTTTTTTACAACTCACCCCTGTAAAATCATTAATTATTGTGCGATTTTAACCGGATTTGTTTTAAGGTGTAGATCTTGATAAACTGTATATTTGGAGCAAAAAACGCCATATTTGTACAAAATGCAAGGCCTACTATGTCAGTTTTTAAGAGTAATTTTTTAAGAATTCATATTAGCGATTTTTTTAAACAAAATCTAAGCACTGCACTGGATTCACCACCCCCTCAAAACGACCCTTTACTAAACTTTATTAAAAAATTTTAAGTAGAAAAACTACAAAAATTTATTCTGTCGTTATCCATGAATAAAACATTGAAATAAAATTAAACTTATAATAAGTATACTATGTTATACTATTAGTTTAATTTTATTTCAATGTTTTTTTTCATGTATAACTGAACAAAATAAATTTTTGTAGTTATTATTTCTCTATATTTTTCTATTTACATTTTTAATATAATTTAGTATAAGGTAATTTTAAGGGGTGGTGAATCCAGTGCCGTGCTTAGATTTAATTTAAAAAAATCGCTAATATGAATTCTTAAAAATTAACTCTTAAAAACTGACATAGTAGGCCTTGTATTTAGTAAAAATATGGCGTTTTTGCTTCAAAAATACAGTTTATCAAGATTTTACCTTTAAAGCAAATCTGGTAAAAATCGCACGATAAATAAAGTTTTTACATGTAATAAAACATTTTTTTTTTGTCATTATACCTGCAAGACCAGGGCTCCTAGCAGTCCATGTTACGAGAAATAGTGACTTAAGAGACTAATAATAAAAAATAAACGACCAAATATAGACCAAATTAATTACCGAAATAACTATAAATGGAGGTATACATTTTTTAGGGATAAAAGATCTAAATTTGAATTTAAAATACATAGAGATAACTTGAAATTATAAATTTTTATTGAATTAAATTTAACAAGTAACCATAACTGTTATAAAATACATAAATAACAAAAAAATATTAAATTCTGTAATAAATTATAACTTATAATAAATAGAATCACATTTATATAAAAGGCACTGGCATCAGTCATTTAATGGGTTATATTTTTTTGGTGGGCTGCAGCTGATCTATAATTTTCGCCTTTCGTTTTTCTAAATCTTGGGCAAGACGACTAATCTTGTAAGTTACCTTCCCCTCTTCTTTTTTGGGATGGTTCACCCCTTCAAACATTAGTTGAGCCATACATATTTTAACATTTTTATTTGTTTGCAACAATACGTTCTTTATGGTCTTTTTTATTAAAAATAAAACAATATTTCGTTTATTATTCCTTTTCCCGAAAACGGTTTTTTTATTTAATATAAAACAATAATTCGTTTATTATTCTTTTTCTCGAAAACGGTTCATTTTATTGACAATAAACAAGAGTACCTTTATTTTAGTTTAAGGTTCACGCTACGCAAATTTAGTTTTTTTAAGTCTTTACATACGGGGTGTTCAAAATTTAAGCATTAGTTTAGTCCGCCCCTGGTAAACAAAAAAAGCAAAACATGTTTCAAGAACACTACTTTAAGAGGTCCCTACCAGGGTCCATCATATTAAATTTTTATTAAATTATATTCAGTACTTTAAAAGTAATTCAAGGAAAACCAATTTGCAGGGGCGTCCTTTCGGGGCCCATGTCTCCGTAAGGAGGGCCAGTAGGAAATTTTTTATAGGAATGTGTCATCTTATTTTTTCATGTTCTATCTGAATCCGAGATATTTCCCACATTCTCCCGGACACCCTTTATATGTAGTGTTAACCTAGCGAACCGAAACTATAAACGTAAACGAAAGCCTAGACCAAACCAGAAACAATTCAGCAATAATTTTGGCGGGCGGTTCGGGTCTGGACGGCGGGAACTTTAAATGTAAACTGCGAAGTTTTCGAATGTTTCACTTGGTTTACTGTGGTTTCGATATTTATAAAACTGTGAATATTTATATTTAAAAAAATATTTTTTAATAGTTGATTTTAACAGAAAATATAGACTTTATAGACTTTAGGTAAAAAAATAGACTTTTATAGACTTAAGACAAAAATATAGACAAGTCTTTAAAAAAACTACCTGCTGGGAGCCCTGTGCAAGACCTATCATATACCAATACGTTCTTTTTTAAATCAAATAAATTATTTCAAAATATTCCATTTTTATTATTTTTAATATTTTGTCTTTTATAACAAAAATAATAATAAATATTATTATTACTAAATAATGTATGGCACATATAGCATGAAGCAGTGGACAAAATAAATCTGATATATATCCCAGATACTAAAGATACGTTGCGACCTCCGAAAATCCGGCAACACTGTCGGAGGATACAGGGCTGTTTGTTTCTCCGAAATTATATATATATTTGGAGGTGACTTTGTATCTTGAGTATCTCCAGTTTGCGTAAAAAAATTGACATTTTAAAAAATTAAAAATTGCTTCCCCTCTTGTGGTGGCGTTAATATTTAAGGCTCCCCCCCGCAATATATGCAATCAAAATAAAAATCGTCCATTCCGCAGACCCGGAGGAGAGGTGGCCCTCTCAACTTAACGGAGGTCACAGCTGACCACTTATCTATATATATATATATATACCTATATAATATATACAAACCTGCTTATTATATTGACAAAAGTTTGGAAATTTTAGAATGTCTTTATTATAAGCAAATGTTTTCCCTCGTTTAAATTTGTACATTATACTACTACAATGTATAAAAAATTATTAAGCAAAAAAATATTTTATTAAAGGATACGGGATATTTCTTTGGCTGTATCAATAAATTGACCATAATTTTGATATACATTCTTCTTTAAATTATTATTAGTATCCTCTGACAACGCCTGTATTTTCTTTCTTATAGCTTGCAACTCTGAACCACCTACATAGTTCTGGGACAAATGTTTAACATCTACAATATATACAAATTCAATAATATTTAGATATTAATTTTTTACCTTGATTTATACATTTTTCGGGCTGAAATTCTGTTGAAGCCAGCAGAGTAAGTGTTGGTTCTTTAGAATGATCCATTTTTAATATTATTGGTGATTTTTTATATAAAATAAATAATTTAAAACTAAAAAGTCAACATTTTTATTTGTTGACGAATCTATTTACTGTCAATTAAACGTCAAGTTGAAAGGAGGAGGTTATAAAACAAACACCAACATAAGAAACTAAATAAAATAAAAAAATTCCAATTATAAATGGAAAACGCAACAAAAGTTTATTAAAAACTATTAATTTTGTATACAAAGTAAGATTTCATATGAGAAAAAGTCATTAATTCTTTTTTAACTTCAGTTTGAAGGTTTCCGGTTTAGTTAATTTAGTTGGTACCACGCAAATGTAAAATGACAGCTTCTAGAATTTGTGGAAACAATCAAAAAGCACCGGATTTATCCCAAAATCAAAGTGAAAATTAAGCTAATTTTAAAATAATGGTAGATTATAGCAAGTGGAAAAACATCGAGGTAGGTTTAAAGTGTATTACACCTTAAAAAAAGCAAATAATTTTAAATCGGTGTTTATAAAAATATAGGATGGGTTATTTGAGTTCAATTTTATTGGGGTGAACGTCTTTAATGTGTATCATTCTTATTAAAAATTAAGAATAAATTTAAAAGCCAAATAAAGTATTTGAACTGGGTATTATTACAGCCCAAGAAGAACAGGTTAATTTTTACTTTTTTCTTTCATAAAATTTAGAACTAATTTTCCAAAGGAATTAGTTAAAAATCGAAGAAATGATACAACTCAAAGATGTATGTATCTTGGATACAACAGTTTTTATTATTTTCACTGATCGATATCTAAATTGTTGCTAAGAAATGGGTACTTAATACAATAACCAAATAACTTTAAATTTGAAACAGTTTTTTTTTTTCTGTAATAAATTTAGTTTTATTTTTTTGAACATTTATTATATTATACCTATATTATACCTGTAATAAATTTAGTTTAATTTTTTTGAACATTTATTATATTATACCTACCTACCTTAATTATTTTATGTGACGCATTTTTGCAGCTTTTCTCTTTTTAAATTTTATTTAGTCAGTTTTTTCTAGGCATTATCTGGTTCGTATTACACAACTGTGTATATACCTACTTATAGTACACTAATAGCTAATAATGAAACTTGTATAACATACAAATTTATCAATCCCTTTGTAAATTAATAAGTCCATGGCCAATTTTTTAAGGCTGATGACAAGCCCCTTTACTTGTTTGCTGGTAGGAACTAACAACAAAATACCTTGTTAAATTATCATCTAAAACTAATAAAATTTGACGTTTGTAGCTAGATTTCAGTCATGATTTCTTAGAAAACAGATTGTTGGGTTGATGGCACTTGAAAAACCTGCAACATTTTAAAATATATTTGTGCCTACAGGCAACAATCTGTTTTCTAAGAAATGATAACTGAAATCCAGCAGCAACTGTCAAATTTTATAGGGACAAACCATAGACCACAAATAATCTGTGGGACTAACACTTTTATTTAATTTTACTCTATAATTATAATAATAATATATTATTTTTTATATTGTCTTTATTAAAAATATTCACGTTTTATTTTTAAATGAAATTTTACATAAAATTCAAATTAATGATTTCTAAATATAATCATACTACCTAACTTAATCTGTTTATGGTCTTAAATTTTTTCACCAGATAAAAAATTATCATACATACATAAATCACACATCCTAATTTCATCCAAAAATTTTAAAACTCACTCATAGAGGAATGAGAAGACATTATGAGACAAACATTACAACTGCTAGAGGGAAATGAACATTTATATTTTTTGCGTTTTTTTCAATTGGAAATTTAGCATGTTCCTTTCAATTTCATTTTAGATATCTGATACAACTAATAAAATTTGACGTTTGTAGCTAGATTTCAGTCATGATTTCTTAGAAAACAGATTGTTGGGTTGATGGCACTTGAAAAACCTGCAACATTTTAAAATATATTTGTGCCTACAGGCAACAATCTGTTTTCTAAGAAATGATAACTGAAATCCAGCAGCAACTGTCAAATTTTATAGGGACAAACCATAGACCACAAATAATCTGTGGGACTAACACTTTTATTTAATTTTACTCTATAATTATAATAATAATATATTATTTTTTATATTGTCTTTATTAAAAATATTCACGTTTTATTTTTAAATGAAATTTTACATAAAATTCAAATAAATGATTTCTAAATATAATCATACTACCTAACTTAATCTGTTTATGGTCTTAAATTTTTTCACCAGATAAAAAATTATCATACATACATAAATCACACATCCTAATTTCATCCAAAAATTTTAAAACTCACTCATAGAGGAATGAGAAGACATTATGAGACAAACATTACAACTGCTAGAGGGAAATGAACATTTATATTTTTTGCGTTTTTTTCAATTGGAAATTTAGCATGTTCCTTTCAATTTCATTTTAGATATCTGATGATGAAGATGAGACTCACCCAAACATTGATACACCCTCTCTGTTCAGATGGCGACACCAGGCCCGCGTAGAGCGTATGGAAGAAAAGAAAAGAGAAGAATTAATCATCAGGCAGAAGAAGGAAGATAACAAGCAAAAACTAAATAAAATAAAATCCAAAGTTGTTGAAGCTGAAAAAGAAAAACTACCAAACTTGGACGAACTGAAAAAAAGCCTTGAAGAAGTCGAAAAAGAAGCAGAAAAAATCAAGCATGAAGAAGAGGAGTACCAAAAGAAAGATAAGTTAACTCCGTGGAATGTTGATACTATCAGCAAGCCAGGTTTTGCAAAGACAGTGATAAATACCAAACCTGCAAGACCTCAGGATGAAAATTTGACAGATGAACAGCGTGAGGCTAGGATGAAGAAGTTTATTAAAGAAAACGAGAAGAAATTGAAGCACTTTGGAATGTTGAGGCGGTATGATGACTCCAAGCAGTATCTCAGCGAAAATAATCACTTGGTTTGCGAGGACACGGCCAATTATCTTGTCATATTTTGTATTAATTTGGAAATGGACGAGGTAAGAAGACTTTTACAGATAACTTGACCGCTCGCTTGACCGTTTTTCTTCTTTATTGTTTTAGAAACATGACCTTATGGAACATGTAGCCCATCAGACCATCTGCATGCAGTACATCCTAGAGCTGGCCAAACAACTGGACACAGATCCACGCGCATGCGTAAACGCCTTCTTCTCCAAAATCCAAGTTGCAGAAAAAGAGTACAAAGACTCGTTTGAAGACGAACTGAAACAGTTTAAGGAAAGAATTAGGAAGAGAGCTGCTGAAAAAATTGAAGAAGCCATCAAAGAAGCCGAAGAAGAAGAAAGACTGCAGAGGTTAGGTCCAGGAGGTTTAGATCCTGCTGATGTGTTTGAAAGCCTCCCTGATGAGCTGAAGAAATGTTTTGAGAGTCAGGATATTGCTCTACTGCAGGAAACGATTGCTAAAATGGATGAAGAGCAGGCTAAATATCACATGAAACGTTGTGTGGATTCAGGTCTGTGGGTTCCTGATGGTGGCAAGAAGGCAGAAGCTGTAGAACCTTCAGAGAAAGTAGAAGAAAAAGAAAAGGAAGAAAGTTCATAATTTGGGTTCATTTTTATTGTAATATTGTCTATATTCTGCAAATCAAGCCACCATTAAATGATTTCATGCTTGCTTTCAATAGTCTTTTAGTAGGTTTTCAATTTTTAACCAAAAGGTTTATACTGATGGTGCTTTTGGTTTGCCAAACAAAAATTAGTGATAAGTTGATGTATAAAAACAAAATTTATTTTTTTTGGTATCATTTATTAATAAATGTACAAAAAACATTTAGTATTTAAATATCTTCATTTAATCAATCAAAATTGCAAATATCTGCAGTAGCTGTTTTTGAACTTGATAGCTATAACCTAGGTTTCAGTTCTTTTGAAGTGAAACTTTTTGCAGACAGGGTAAACCAGAGATAAAGAAGGTAAGGGGTAAACCTTGGACCTTATATGCACAGACCAATGGTCTAAGGAGTAAAGCGGACGTTACGAAAGAACAAACGCGCGCACAAAATTCGTATCGTAGCATAAATTTTAAAAAAGGAACAAATTTTTAAAATTACAAAGTTTTTGATATTTTTTTACATCTACAAAATTTAAAGCTTAGAGAGGCTCAAACAGCCTTAAAACCTCAAAATCTTTCTAATATATTATAGTATATATAATATATTAGAAAGCTTTTGAGGTATTAGTATAATCTATTGGAAATAAAATATCACTATAGTGATATTTTATTTCCAATAGATTAATTTAACGAATTGTGATTGGTTATTAAAAATCGACCGCAACTCGGAGTCTATATATATATACCTATATGCACATATTTATGTGCCTATATGGCACGTTTTTGTACATGGCCGACTATCCTCTCTTTATACAACATTTGTTATAGACATTACTATTAGCGAGGGGTAAACCACTATAAAATCATCGAGACAACGTTCAGCGTTATATAGACGTTGCAACGCGTTGTGCTCTGATTTTTACATATCGGTGACGCTAAAGTTACTAAAATAAGGAATCTGTCTTATGAGCCTGTTAGAATAACATACACGCAATATGCGATTGTTATTCCCGAGGGGTAAAATCTTAGAGAACAACGTTCAATGTTAGTGGACGTTGTGTTGAGATTTTTTTCCTTATCAGTCGTTATCAATAAGGAAAACTTGCTTAATCGGTGCTTAATCAGTGCTTATAAGCATAGCTATAGCGACGCGTTGTACATGACTACCCTTGTTATTGTTATCCTTAGCCGATAATTCGTAAGCGATTTTTAATTTAAAAAAATCAGTGGTTTAACCCTCGGTTATTCCTTACGTCGGAGCAAGGGGTAAACCACTTTAAAATCTTAGATACCAACGTTCAATGTTAGTGGACGTTGTGTTCTGATTTTTTACCTTATCAGTCGTTATCAATAAGGAATTTCCCTTAGCGACCCGTTGCGCATGACTACCCTTGTTATTGTTATCCTTAGCCTAAATTCGTAAGCGATTTTTAATTTTAAAAATCAGTGGTCGAGGGGTAACCTTTTATCTGTTACCTGTCATCTGTCACCTGCCATCTGACCTGTTATCTGTCACCTTTCATCTGCTACCATTTATCTGTTACCTGTCATCTATCACCTGCTATCTGTCATTTGTCAACTGCCATCTGTCATCTATCACCTGCCATCTGTCACCTGTCACCTGTTATCTGACACCTGTCATCTGCCACCTGTCATATGACAGGTGGCAGATGACAGGTGTCAGATAACAGGTGACAGGTGACAGATGGCAGGTGATAGATGACAGATGGCAGTTGACAAATGACAGATAGCAGGAAAGGTGACACATATGTGTCACCTTTCCTCTGCTACCTTTTATCTGTTAACTGTCATCTGTCCTGCCATTTGTCACCTGTTATCTGACACCTGTTATCTGACCTTTCATCTGCTACCTTTTATCTGTTACTTGTCATCTGTCATCTGTCACCTCCTATCTGTCACCTGTCACCTATTATCTGAGACCTGTCACCTGTCACCTTTCATCTGTCACTAACTTTTATCTCTCAACTGTCATCTGTTAACTGTCATCTGTCACCTGCCATATGTCACCTGTCACCTATTATCTGACACCTGTCGTCTGTCACCTGTCATCTTTCACCAGTTATCTGTCACCTTTCATCTGTCAACTGTCATCTGACACCTGCCATCTGTCACCTGTTATCTGACACCTTTTATCTGTCATCTGTCACCTGTTATATGTCACCTTTCATCTGCTACCTTTTATCTGTCACCTGTCATCTGTCACCTGTCACCTGTGACCTGTTATCTGACACCGCTACGGGTATCGATGCACTGGCACGACGTGTTCCGAGTTAAGCCGACTCGTCACGAAGAGTAAGGACTCTAAGAAATCCACACGCTGTGGTAAGCGATCGAATGCTATTTTTCCTTATTGGAAGCTTATCAATCGTTATGTATCCTTATATCTCTTAGCAGCGCGTTGCGTATCGCTACCCTTGTGATTTTTTTCCTTAGCAGCTAATTTGAACGATTTTATTCTTATTCGAATGATTTCATGTTATGGGATAAGAATCATAATAAAAAAAATCTATCAACAGTTACACTGCGTTAAGCAGAATAAAGTTACGCTTATTTTAACATCATTTAAGGATTTTTAATTAAAAAAATCAGTGGTTTGCCCCTCGACTATTAGCGTATTCGATAGAACTCGCAAAAATAAGATGAAAACTTTATGTATAAACCTGTATATTTATATATAACTTTATATAAACCTGTAGGTATATACATATGTTTTAAAGTTTTCTAGATTCAGGGTGGTAAAGTTAACAAAATATACTTATGTATTTTTTTATTTCAAAAACTTTGGCCGAATAATGGTTAACTTGCTTAATTTTATGTGGTACAAAATTAAATTTAGTTAATCCAGAGGCGGCGCTGGGGCATCCCAACTAGATATTTAAAAATAAAATTTGTGTGTGCTATAGCATATATATTGCTTTTTTATAAGTTTAATATTATTTTTAGATTAAATAATCAAAAATACAACCATTTTGTCTCCTGCATTTTTTCTCTATCTTGTTTAATTTTCAGGAAAAGAATAAAATTTGTAGTAGGTAACCTAATTTAAGTATTCCCATTCAACGACACGCCCATGTTTTGCCGCCTAGGGAGTTTTGTTTTTGTTGTTGTGGACTTTGGAATTTGGCAGCAGTGGTTGTCTGCTTGACAGCTTTGACGTATGTGTTGACAGTCAAAAATAATACACAACAATGTAGACAACAAACAGAAGCTGATAAAAGCAATAATATACGACAAAATGCTCAACTATCAATAAGCAATAAACATTTGCTCATAACGACAATATGCGACCGCAGCTAATAAACTACTCACTGACGGAAATAGTGGTATGTTTTATTGTTGTGGGCTATGCAGCTGTTGATTTGGTTCCTTGCGACAAGTCGCGAAGGGTGTTTACCAGTTCTTGGGGCATCATCAGCGATGGGCCAGTGGGATCAAATTATACACAGGACAGCCATTGTGAATGGCTGATCAAGGCCAACGATTCAAACAAATACATTACTCTAAGTTTTCGTAGCATGGGGACAGAGTGTTCTTATGACTATGTGTTTGTGTACGACGGCGACTCTTTCAAATCCCCCCTGTTGGGGAGTTTTAGCGGAAAAACCGAGCCACAACAAGTGATTGCTAAAAGTGGTTTTATGCTTGTCCTGCTCTATAGTGATACAAATTATGTGTTGGATGGGTTTAGAGCGGAATTTTCGATTACAGACTGCCCAAATAATTGCTCAGGGCGTGTGTGCTACAATCATCAGTGTGTGTGTGAGAGTGACTGGGGTGGTTACGACTGCTCAAGAAATCTGTGTCCAAAAAACTGTGGCTGGGACAAGGGGCAAGGAAAGTGTGAATTGGGTAAGTGTGTATGCAGACCTGGGTACTCAGGTCAGTCCTGTGATTATTATGATAAGGAAACTAAAGGCAACAAGTGGTATTGGCTCTCACATTCCGAGGGTGGACTTCAACCAAGGGCTGCCCACACTGCTGTATATGTAGAACTGACTGATACTCTATATGTTTTTGGTGGCTATAATCTTACTGAAGTTCTGGGCTCATTGGAGGAGTACAATTTTCAGAACAGTACTTGGAGGGATGAATTTGGGCAGGTTATTATTGATAACAACCTGCAGAGCCCCATTGAACCCAGCTCTATAGCTGGGTTATTTGAGCAAGCTGGGAGGGATTGGCAGCATAAATGGGGAATAAACACAAGAACCTCTTTTTTGAGGAGCCTATTGTTGGCAGGAAGTGATAATACGACAAGTCCAAAAAGAAAACAAAGACATTCAAAATTGGATGGTCATAAACCAGAGCCTAGATATGGCCATGCTGGTTGTGGAATAAAGGAAGGATTTGTTTTGTATGGTGGAAAACTACAAAATGGTAGTTTATCAAATGAGTTGTGGTATTATGATGTTAGGAGAAGAATGTGGCAGCTAAGAGGTCTGGATTCAGAGGTTAAACCTCCTCCATTGACAAGACACACTTTAACATGTGTGGGGGATATTATTTACCTCTTTGGGGGTGGAACAGAGGATGGAGAATTCTCATCAAAATTATTCAGCATTGAGTTTAGAACAAATAGGAAGGAGGAATGGTTACATATTATACCTAGGGGCGGCAAACAGTTAGATATACGGGTGGTAGCGCATAGTACTGTATATCACCATCAAAGTAACTCCCTACTGATTTACGGAGGTATTATGGCGGGAGTTGCAAGGTTTAGCAAATTATCTGACAGAATGTTTGCTTTCCAATTGGACAATAAGTATTGGACTGAAATTCATTACACCAGGGAACACTTAAGGGAAAAATTTGTGCCAAGAGAAAGGGCTTTTCATACTGCTAATATTTTCGGAAATTATTTGGTCATATTTGGAGGATACTCCCACAGACATAACAAAGAAGAGATTTGCTATGATAACCAAATGTACTTATACCACCTAGGTTGCCATACATGGGTAAATCCAGAGATTCTAGGCAAAAATAACGTATCTACATATCCAAAACAGCAAGGCGTATTTGCGCACGCCTCCAGCGTTAGAAACGGTAACACTCTTTTGATTGTTGGAGGATATCACGGTAATGTAAATGGGGATTTATTAGCCTACACCGTACCACCGATGATTTCATCGAGAAAAGGCGATAGTTACGACCCTGAGTCCGTTTGTATCCGCCATAAAAACTACGTGGAATGTTCCGCGGATCCAGAATGCGGATGGTGTTCAGCCGACGAACAATGTTACGGAAGAACAATTGGAGCCAACTGTACAACAAATCTACAAACTACCAGGTGTCCTGGTATTTGCCCTGCTTTGGGCGACTGCCATTCTTGCCTTATCCACGGGCACGTTTACTCGGAAATACCCACCATGGTTTCAGCATCACACAAACTAGGTTTAGGCGAGTGCACTTGGTGCGTTCAAAACGCAAAATGCCATCACAAGGATGATAATTATGGGGTTTGTGGGCTTAGGGATGACAGTCCAAGTCAAATACCAGGGTGGTGGGGAACAAAAGGAACTGAAGTTTTTAAGGCTGAGCAGTGCAGGGAGTTGGATCAGAGACCTGGGCTTACTTTTATCAAGTATTATTATCCTGTCAACATGAGCCAGCCTGACCATGTCACCATAATTAATGCAACTACAGTAAGTTGTTATTATTAAAGGATGTGATTCATGATATTTTTAAAGACATTATTTTAAAATGTATCCTCTTGATTAGCGGTTTAAGATAACAATTATCTTACCTTAGTCATTGAACAGTGGCATATCCACTTAAAAAAATGCATTTTAATATAATTAAATTATATTTGTTATAATTATGGTTATTATTTTAAACATTTATTAAGTAAAAATAATTAATTATTAAATGGACGCTCCAAAGTTTGGAGTCCAAACTCAAAAGTTTCACTTTTGAATACAAATAATTAAGGTCATTTTAACTCTAATGTCGTCTTATTTTCTGAAAATGATACTATATAATAGTATATTATGTATCAAGTTTGATAAACGCTATTTTAGACACGAATTTAATTTAGGCGCGAGCTTGCGAGCGAGTGCTTGAATTAATGAGTGTCTAGATAAGTTTTAGAACTTTTCTACAACAAATACTTATTATCTAAAAATGATTTAAATTAAGTATTTGTATAGAGCGCCATCTATAAAACAATAGTGGAATCTTCGTTACCGTCAAATGTCAAATTTGTATGTCATAAATCAAAATGTATTTCTTGAAAATGGATTAAACAACAGTTTTTCACAGTGAAAGTAAAGAAATAGTTATTTATGTATCAAGGCAGTAAAGTCGTATTTTTTATGACGAATGTGGAAATTATTTGCCGAGGTGAAAGCCGAGGCAAATAACCACGTGAGTGATAAAAATGACTTTAATGCAGAGGTGTATTTTAAATTTTATCCGAAATCACATTTAATAATACTAATAATTAATATTGATGATTAAATCAAATTTCATTTGATGATCAAATCAAGTGTCTATGTATACTGTTTGTTGCGACCTCCGCGACGGTGCTTTTTTAAGTATTATTTAGTTGCTGCTGAGGAGCAGTAGACACATCTTAAAATGTATAATTGGTTGCATACAATACTCGTATTAAATCGGCATTAAAGTTATACTTTACTGCCGATTGTTGACTACTTTACTGCCGATTTCGGATAAATGTTTTATTAGCACTTCACGGTGGTGTCCGAGCCCGACTTTAAGTTTACTGACGGCGAAATTAAAAGGTCAGTACAATGACAATATAAACTTTGCAAATATTGGCGTTGAGAAACTATTTAATGCTTTTGTATTTTTGTATTGAGATCAGGGTTACCAGATTCTGTCAAAAATGACACATTCAACAATAATTAAGTAACGTCAATCTTACAATTTGCATTGTATCATTATGTCAATTTTGTAACCCTGATTGAGATAATAAAATAATTTTCACATTTAGTATTATTTTACAAGAAGGGCACTTAAAGCTAACTTCAGCCCGTGACTAAAAACCTGTTGCTAACTTCAGCCCGTGACTAAAACGCCATAAAGCCACAACTTGCCAATGTGTATTGGAAACATGTACCATAATGGGGGTTTTAAAGGTGGGGGTAGAAAAATTGTATTTTATTATTTTCAGAAAATAAGACGAAATTAGCGTTGAACTGACAGATAAATAACCTCAATTATTTGTTTTCAAAATTCTAAAAGGGACTTTTGGGTGTGGAGCATAGTACATTAATTTATGCAAACATTCGGGAAATGTTGCATAGTTAGTTGCGCAAGCAACAAGCAAAAACTAAACTTATTATTAGGGTTTTATAAGTAGTTTAGGCGAGCTTAGCGTGCCTTAGCAGAATTCCAAATTAAACCAAATTAGCTTAACAGATCACAACAAATTATTTTCATTATATGCGAGCGAGCTTAATTTTTTGTTTCCTTTTGTTATTCTTTCAGATATACTTTTATAATATACATAATTATGATATATATGGGAAAATTTTAATTTAGTAGTTTTTTTCCTACAGGGCATTTGAGTCAAGTTTTAGACTGATAAAACTTACGTCAGGACATACGCAGTAGTAACATCGCGATCAAATTTTGGTATTGCGCATGCGCCTGACGTCAATTCGACAATCCAAATACTCTGTAGGAACAAATTAATGTAGGAACGGTAGATGGCGCGAGAGAAGACGAGAGACAGTGAAGTGGTAGCGACGACAGAAGAAAGACGTAATTTTAGTCAGTGCTGTTAAATTTAAATTATAATCATTTATCTTCTTATTTTAATCTTGAATAAAGATTCTACAAATTGGGGGCTCAACCGGGATTTGAAGACCGTGACCCATACATTAATTATTGATAAAATAGTGCCGAGTGACAACTGACAGTGAAAGATGAGAAAGCTTCAATTAGGAGATGTAATTCCGAAAGCTTTGGTTGTTGGACGAACAGCAGATATTTACAATTTATATAAACTTATATTTGAAGAAGAAGGACATAGAGGTAGTCGAAAGAAGTTGCGCGAGTTTCAAGGATTTGAATTTGACCCAGATGAGTTAAATGTTAAATATGATTCAGTCATGCAGAAATTTGACTTTAATAATGTGCAGTTATCAAAATTGTGTCAATTGTTGCGTTTGGATAAAAGTGGATCCGCTGAGGAAATGGTTAAACGAATTGTGGATGCATTGAGGGATTTAAATAAGTTAACGTCTGAAGATGAAGACGACGATGTTGACGAGGCTGAAGCAGAGATGGCGCCACAAGTGCAGTTTCCTAGTGTACCTAATTTACAAATTCCAAAAGTATCAAACACTTGTCAAAATTGACAACTGCAAGTAACAAAAAAATTTCGCAATCTACAGTGGACGGAGTAGACGATGTTTCCCTGGATAATGAGGAAATGTCCCTATTAAATCGTTTGACGCAATTAAAGGATAGCAGACCAATGGTAAATGAAACAGATTTTAATGGAGGTTCTCCTCGAACGACGAGAAAAGAGCCTGAAACAAGATTTGCGCTTACTTTCCGCGACGTTGAAGGTTCGATACGCTCTTTTTCTGGCGAAGATAACTATCCTGTAGAGAAGTGGATAGCTGATTTTGAAGATCTTGCTGTATTATTAAATTGGGGTGATCTACAAATTTTGGTATTTGCTAAACGTTTGTTAAAGGGGCTTGCTCAATTATTTATTGCGGGTGAAACTGGCATAAATACCTGGCCTAAACTAAGAGATTTGCTTAAAAATGAATTTGCTACGACGATTAATAGTGCCAAATTACACACGATGTTGTCAAGTAGGAAAATGCAGCGTAATGAGTCGGTTCAAGAATATTTCTTGGCTATGAGAGAACTTGCTAGTCGTGGTGCAATTGAAGATGAGGCAGTTATGCAATATGTAATCGATGGTATTTATGACGATTCAGGCAACAAAGTTCTACTTTATGGTGCTGCAAATATAAGTGAATTTAGACGCAAGATTAAAATTTATGCTGAGATTAAAACATCGTATCGGCATTCATTCAAGTCTGGAGCCAAGGCGAATACTTTTGTTTCCAATCAGTCTACCAAACCAAGTGGAAGTAGTAATCACTTTAAAGTAGAAAAGAAGAATAGTGAACACATATCACGTTGTTTTAATTGTGGTGATAAAAATCATAAATCATTTGATTGTCCTGATAAACACAAGGGAGCAAAATGTTTTAAGTGTAGAGAGTTCGGACATAAGTCTATGGAATGTCCCAATTACCAACCCAAAACAACGACGATGAATACACAAAAGGCTACGCTGTGTGGTTTTGTGGAGTCAACTTCACATAAATATAAAGAAGTCGCTATAGATGATTTAAAGTTGGTTGCTCTAGTTGATACGGGAAGTCCAGTCAGTTTGATGAGGAAAGACGTGTACGATCAGCTGGGATCCCCTGAGCTTACATCAACTAATTTAATTTTGACCGGTTTGGGAAGTAGTAAAGTTAAACCGTTGGGATGTTTTCAGAAGTCAATAGCAATTGATGACGATAATTTTCCCACTGCAATTTATGTTGTTCCTCATGATGGCTTTGGTACAAAAGTTGTTATTGGCAATGAAGTCATAAATCAAGCTGAAGTAACAATTCGAAACAATAAAGTACTTTTTAAAAAATTACCCTGTGTTGCTGTACTACATGTAAATGTTGAGTTGGAAGAACCAAAGTTGGAGTTTGGTGAGAATGCCACCAAAGAAAAGATAGAAGAAGTGAAACAATTGGTACAAGAGTATAAGCCAAAGACTAAAGAATGCAAAGATACAGGTGTCGAAATGAAAATTATTGTAGCCGATGATAAACCGATCTATCAAAAGCCGAGACGTCTACCTTATCCCGAAAGAGAAATTGTGGAAAGTCAAGTAGAAAAGTGGATCGAAGAGTGCATTGTTGAAGATTGTACGTCTGAATATGCTAGTCCTGTTGTAGTCGTTCGAAAAAAAGATGGAACACCAAGAGTTTGTATTGATTATCGCCAAATAAATCGAGTAATATTGAAGGATCGATATCCTTTACCACTAATAGAGGATCAGCTGGATCGATTACAAGATGCAAGAGTGTTTTGCACTTTAGACCTTAGAAATGGATTTTTCCATGTAAAAGTAAATGAGAGTAGTAGGAAGTACACTTCTTTTGTGACTCATCAAGGTCAGTTCCAATTCTTGAGAGTGCCGTTTGGGCTTTGCAATTCGCCTGCTGTTTTTCAAAGATTTATCAATACTGTTTTCCGACATTTGGCAAATGAAGGAATTGTTTTATCGTATATGGACGACTTGATAATACCTACGGCTAATGAAGAAGAGGCTCTTAAAAGATTAAAATTGGTGCTCGCCGTTGCAGAAGATTATGGATTGCAAATAAAATGGGAGAAATGCCAATTTCTGAAAAGGCGTGTCGAGTTTCTAGGACACTTGATTGAAGATGGTCGAATTTATCCGAGTCCGTTAAAAACGACAGCTGTATTAAAATTTCCAGAGCCGCAGAACTTACGTCAGATTCAAAGTTTTCTCGGGCTTACTGGTTATTTTCGTAAATTCTTGCCAAATTATGCGATTATTGCTCGTCCTTTGAGTGATATGTTGAAGAAAGGAGCTGAATTTTAATTTGACGATGTAATTTGTAATAGTTTCAATATTTTAAAAAGTATGCTTGCCAAAGAACCTGTCCTAGCGATATATAACCAAAAATACGAGACAGAATTACACACTGACGCATCTAAGGAGGGATATGGTGGTATTCTTTTACAAAAGAACCCTGATGATAATAGCTGGCATCCTGTTTACTATACAAGCCGTAAGACAACGCCTGCCGAGAAAAATTATTCGAGTTATGAATTAGAAGTGCTAGCTATTATCAATGCTTTAAAAAAATTTCGTATATATTTGCTTGGGATTCCCTTTAAGATTGTCACTGATTGTGCAGCTTTCCAAAAAACAATGGACAAAAAAGATTTGAGTACTCGAGTTGCCAGATGGGTGATGTTGTTGACAGAATTCCAATATAAGATTGATCATCGTGCTGGAGTCCGTATGAAACACGTCGATGCACTAAGCCGTTGTCCTGTAATGTTAATTAGTACCTACGATGTTGTATCCAAGATTCGTCAAGCACAAGAAAAAGATGATTGGATTAAAACCGTTAAAGAAGTGGTTCAAATTAAACCCTACGATAACTATTTCCTAAAACATGGATTGTTGTATAGTTTCGTTGAGGGAAAAGAATTGTTAGTGGTTCCGAAATTAATGCAGATGGAAATTATTCGTTGTGCACATGATAGAGGCCATTTTGCTGGTAAAAAAACTAAAGAGATGGTAAAACAAGAGTTCATATTTCCAAAGTTGCGTAAAAAGGTGGATTCCTTTATCGCTAACTGTGTGCCCTGCATACTTTTCAATAAAAAGAGTGGTAAACAGGAGGGCTTTTTAAATCCAATCGAAAAAGTCGACGTTCCATTTGATACTTTCCATGTCGACCATTTAGGACCTCTAGAATCCACTAATAAGGGATATCATCATATTTTTGCTGTAATTGACGGTTTTACCAAATATTGTTGGCTGTACGCAAGCAAGTCTACGACAACGAAGGAAGTTATTGCTAAATTAGACTTGCAACAAACAAATTTTGGGAATCCAAGACGAATAATTGCCGATAGAGGTTCTGCTTTCCGATCTGAGGAATTTCGTGAATATTGTGATAAGCAAAAGATCGAATTACATTTAATAACGACGGGTCTACCTCGAAGCAATGGCCAAATTGAAAGGCTAAATAGAACAATAATCCCAGTTCTTGCAAAATTATCCGCAGAAGATCCTACTAAATGGTACAAATATATTGCAAAGTTGCAAGCTGTTTTGAATTCAACGACTCAAAGAAGTATCAAGATGACGCCTTTTGAGTTACTTTTCGGAGTAAAGATGAATGTCGTTGAGGAAAGTAACATAAAAGAAGCAATTGAAGACGCTGTTGCCGAAAAATATTGCGCCGATCGTGCTGATTTAAGAAAAATAGCAAAGGATCAAATTAACGAGATTCAAAACCAAAATGTTCGAACCTATAATCTTAGACGACGACCTGCGAATAGATATCAACTCGGTGATTTGGTCGCAATTCAAAGAACTCAAGGTGGTCCGTGTTTGAAAATTAAACAAAAGTTTCTTGGTCCATATCGAATCGTAAAAGTTAAACCAAAAGATACATATGACGTTCAGAAAATGGGAGTTACTGAGGGTCCAAAGATGACAACAACCTGTGCTCAGTATATGAAAGTATGGCATGATTACGTTTCTGATTCTTCCGAGACGGAAGAAGTTCAGGACGGCCGAATTGTAGGAACGGTAGATGGCGCGAGAGAAGACGAGAGACAGTGAAGTGGTAGCGACGACAGAAGAAAGACGTAATTTTAGTCAGTGCTGTTAAATTTAAATTATAATCATTTATCTTCTTATTTTAATCTTGAATAAAGATTCTACATTAATTAGTTTTTTGTGATTTTTGATAATTATATAGGTAGTTTTTAATGATAAAGAATGGAATAAATTTGCAATATTTTCCATTATTTTTTACAATTTACTGATATCCCACTTTTCTTTATATTATGAATATTATTTATCTTATTTTTCTATTTTTCAAAACACTTATTAAAAATAATTATTTTATATGTATCAAACACATATATTTTAGGTCGACTTCAACAGCCCATCGAGCTCTCTATACAAATCGGATATCATGGTCGGTAAGACCATGGAAGCGCGACTTATGGGTTTTCTTCGGATACCCAGCGACAAGCAAGACTCTCTGAGCGTGTGCGTGAGCTTTTGCAACGCCACCCTCACCCTCAACTCGAATCTCGTGGCCAACGTGACCGCCGAAAATCTCGAGAACAAAAAGTGCAGCGATCTCAAGTGGAACTACAACGATAGCTCGACAAAAATCGATGTGGATTTTAAATCGGTGAAAACGGTGCATTTGGATAATTTGCACAGGTCCAGCAAGATGGAGCTGCAGCATTATTCAGAGGACAATCAAAAGGTGATATTAATTGTAGATGGGTCATTATACTTTTTAGCCCCATATAACTCTAAAAAATAAATATTTCACATTTTCATATCCATTGTGACTAAGCAATAGCAGTGCAGTGTGACAAAAGAGACATGCAACAAAGGAGACATTTTTCACAATAAAAAAATCTATTTTCCAAATGACAATGACAATAAATGCACATAAAACATTGCATTAATTAAAAAGAAAGAAATTGGTTTATTTACATGAAAAAGAAAATTAAATCCTGCAAATACTTACCGAGTAAATGCCTTCACGAAAGGTAACCACACGCTGCTTGTTTGTATCGCGCAAAATAACAATAGCGATACCATTGCCTGCAGTGACGCCATCTCATGCCACAGTTATAAACTACATGGGTTACAGAGTTCTTTTATATGTAATGCTAAGCTCCAGTGTATTTTATAACAAAGCTGTTTTTGTCTAGGCAGTTTGTGACAAAGTAGACATTAAATATAAGGACAAGGTTTGGTCACGGTTAAAAAATTATTCACAGACATTATTACTGAGGAGCTGTTTTAGTTTTAAAATTATATAGCTAATATATACCTATGAAATATATCCAAGTTTTCACTATTGCAGTATGATGAGGACATAGGGTTATAGAGTGTGATGCTAACTTTCAACCTTAATTAAGACATTACAAATATTTTTATATTTAATTGAATTTTTTTTAATTAATTTTTGTTATTTTAAGTTCTTATTTCTGAATGGAGTTCTTTATTAGCTGTCTCAATCTTTTTTAAGAAATGTTAGGGACCACCAGAGCTGTTCCGAGTACAATGAAAAAGTTCTCGAGTACTGAATACAAGTACTCTTATATAAAAGTACTCGAGTACCAAGTACAAGTACAGTACCGTTGTACTTGAGTACCCATACAAGTACAAAGTACCGAGTACACTTTAGTTATAAAATGTTGGGAAAAATGCTAGAGAAATGGGGCGATTAAAAAATGAATTTAGAATCACTAGTGCAAAACTAAACACTAGCCGGCCTATTGCCTTCATCAAATATTGATATTTCGCTTTATGTTAATTATCAAGGTCGGCTGGTATCTTGTTTTACTTTGCCTTAGCTTTATTTTTTAATTATCTTTTTGGGGAATATTGTCACCTTATTTCAATGCTCTTTCCTGTGTCTTTTTATTTATTGATTGAGGCTGTCTTAAGACTGTCGTGTGAGGCAGGCTGGCTGAGGCTGCCAAATTTTCAACACCCACGCACATATTTGCACATATGTGTCCACGCCAACCTCACCGCATAAAAATGTACTCATTGCATACTTTGGATGTACTCGAGTACACGTAAAAGTACTCGAGTACACGGGAAAGTACTCGAGTACATTTTTGCAATCTTAAATGTATCAAGTACAAGTATAAGTACATCCAAATTTAAGTACTCGGGACTAAGTACCGAGTACACTGAAAGTACTTAGAGTACAGTGTTTGAGTACTTTTACTCGAGTACCGCACAGCTCTGGGGACCACTGACAAATGGCAGAGCCAATATTATAATGACCTAGATGTACTGAAACTTATAAAATGTCCGAAATATTTGAACAGAAACGTTTCCTTTTTCGATTAAATCTAAATAACATTTTTCAAAAAATTTAATAGGAAATATATAATAAATTTATTATTATGCAATTTGTTGGGATTTTATTTAATATTAAAAAAATGAAAAAGATTAAAATTTTAGTAAAATTTCAATATTCTAAATTTCTATAACTAAAAGTCGAGTAAAAATTCATAAACCTACTATTTATTGTGTAACAGAAACCTTTTTTTAAAGAAATGTTAGGGACCACTGACAAATGGCATAGAGATAGTATAATGACACAGATGTATTGATATTTATAAAATATTTCAACAGAAACGTTTCCTTTTTCGATTAAATCTAAATAATACGTTTTTTAACATATTACAATTCATTAATAAGAAATATAAAATAAATTTAGTATTATGCAATCTGTTGGGATTTTATTTAATATTAAAAAAATAAAAAAGATTTAAATGTTAGTAGAATTTCAATATTCTACATTTCTATAACTAAAAATCGAGTAAAAATTCATAAACCTACTATTTATTGCGTAACAGAAACATTTTCTGTTCCAGAGCGTGTTCACATTCGAGTACCTCGAACCATACGCAAACGGCACTTGCAACCAGTACAAAAACTGCCTGCACTGTCTGACGGACTCCAAATGCGGCTGGTGCGACTTAACGAACACCTGCGAATCCCGATTCGACGAAGAAACGGTGACCTGTAACGTGAAAGGCGACTGGCAGTACTTGAATTTGCAACCGAGCGCGTGCTCAAACTGTTCGAACTACATATCGTGCGACAGCTGCATCAACTCAACGCTTTGCGAGTGGTGGATAGATGAAGCCAAGTGTGCAAGAATAGGCCAGGTAATGTTTTATTGTTTTTTAATGATTTTTTTACATCAAAACCATGTGTCAAAATTATTTCGGGAGTGTTTTAAAAATATTTATGTACATTAGGGTGGATTACCGTATAAAAACATTCTTGAATCCTGCCTCCACATAGCTCATTTTTCTGAATGATTATAAAATAAAATTCGTAGCATTACAGGAACAGAAAAGTCTCAGGCTAAGCATACTTATTCTCCACTTGTAATTAGAGCTTCCTATAATTATATTCAGCTTTAAGGTGTCCTAAAAAGTTATTTTGGTTTATTTACATTTTTTGATGACAGAGTGCACTCTTAACCTCTTGCATTCTTTTAGTTTTTGTAGACATGTCTAGAAAGAACAAAGAACAGTTGTAAAGGGTTTTCCAATTGGGGCGGGTCGAAGTTGGCGGGCTATGTCGGCCATGTTATTTTGGCGACATTTGTTTAACCCGTTGTTAATTATTCAGTCACTAATGCCAAATCGCCATGGCAAGTTACACGATTGAGCAGCACGTCCAAATGATAAAACTATATTATCAAAATGATGCGCCCATTTTACGGCAGACGCGGTGGCCCTTCAAAGTCGACTCTCCAACGTTTGGTGAATAAACTAGAAACCACCGGTTCATTAAACAATCAGCCAACACTCTTACGTCAAAGAAACGTCAGATCGGACGAGAACATCGCCGTTGTTCGTGAAAGTGTGCAGGAGAACCCGAGGCAGTCGATTCCTCGCCGTGCACAAGAACTTTGCCTTTCGCAGACTTCAACTTGGCGAATATTGCGTATTGCGGGCCTGCACCCGTACAAAATTCAATTGACCCAGGAGCTAAAAGTTCATGACCACAGAAAACTCCGTTTGTTCGCTGACTGGGCTTCGCAGCGTTTGGAAGAGGACCCCAATTTTGGCCGAAAAATCATTTTTAGCGACGAGGCGCATTTTTGGATGAATCGCTATGTAAACAAGCAAAATTGCCGTATATGAAACGACGCGAACCCCCACGAGGTTCACCAGGTGGCAATGCATCCACAAAAAGTTACCGTTTGGTGCGTCATTGGTCCGTACTTTTTCGAAAACGACGTTGGTGAGGCGATCACCGTCAATGGCGACCACTACAGAATGATGATAACAGACTTCTTGTGGCCCAAATTGAACGCTATTCCAGCAGGACGGCGCTACGTGCCACACAGCGGACGCCACTATGAACCTTCTGCGTGAACGATTTCATGGTATGGTTATCTCCCGCAGAGGTGACGTGAATTGGCCCCCAAGATCGTGCGATTTAACTTCGCTGGACTTCTTTTTGTGGGGTTTTCTGAAGTCACAGGTCTATGCCAATAAGCCCCAATTGACCGATGCGCTTAAAGCTAACATAACCCAGGCAATCGCTGAAATTCAGCCGGATCTATGCGGCAGAGTCATTGAAAATTGGACCACTCGAATTCGTGCCACCGTGAGAAGCCGCGGAGGACATTTGAACGATGTTATATTCCATAAATAATGGCATACATAGGCCTTTCAAATAAAAATATAATTTTGTTGATTCCTCACACACAGCTTGTTTTATTTAATTTTAACATCGACCCGCTCTTATTGGAAAACCCTTTAGTATATTCTTTGCCTAGTCGCCTGTTGTAGTTTTTGATTTTAGTGTTTTTTATTTTTCTAATATACGGTAACGTTTTTACTGTTCGTAGTATGAATTAAAACAAGCACTGGTTTATTAACGAACTAAACTATTTATTTTAATAACTTAATTACACTTAAAACACTATAAAACTAAACACTTAACTACTAATTATTTATATATCACTACTGTTCAAGAGTCTATTTATTTGCACGTATCTTTATTTATTTCGACACGAGTACCAAAACTTGACTGCCTGCTTCATGCTGCGCTGTTTCTTATATATTTAGTGCCTACGTGCATTCTCGAATATTCCAGCGAGCTCCGGACCGCTCTCGATCACTCGATCACCGGCGATGACTCAATATTGCGAGATCCAGAGCGGTACGTTTAATTATGGGCCACCTCTAGAGATGCGACTTGAAAAAAAACGGTCCGTTTTTTTTTTGTTTTTTTTCAGGTTTTTTTCATTGTTTTTTTTTTCAAATGTTTTTTTTTCACATTTTAGGTTTTTTTCAAGATTAGTCCCATTTGCCTAATTTTTTATGTTTCCAATGACAATTAGTAAATGTAAATACAGTCTCGCGCTATGCACGCGCCACAACCACCGATTTGACCAATAGGGGCCGCGCTTGTTTTGATTTGGTCCTAAAAAAGTGTACTACCTATAATATTTTTGATTCAGCGCTTGATTTTTTAAAAAACTACCAAAAGCACTTTTTCATGATTTTTCAAATTTATGTAGAGTATGGAAATTTTTTTTTTTAATTGCAAATTCTTGTAGAACATTTATTCATTGGTGGTTAAGTCAGAACATTCCGTGGACCAAAAAAGAAAGCAAAAAAAATCGATTTTTTTATTACGGTGTTCGTTAGAATTGAGCGTTGCACGTTTTTCATCTAAAAATATCAAGCTTCAAATTGGCTCCAATACGACCATTTTTAACAAAGATACAGCTATCCGAAAAATTGCAAAAAAATTTTTATCTTTTAATTTTTTGTATTAGTGTAGAAGTTTTACATTGCTATTGGTTTTTAATGTGGAAACTACCAAATAAGAAATCAGATTTTTTAGTCTTGGTCATAATTTGCAATAATAAAAAATGTAATATATTTTACATTTTACTCAAAATTTCATTTTAAAAAAACAAAAAAAAACCGTTTTTTTTCTAGGTTTTTTTTTTCATGTTTTTTTTTCACATCTGAAAAAAACCGTTTTTTTACATCTCTAGCCACCTCTAAATTTAATATAATATATTATATGATATTATCATAAATAAATAAAAAACTGAAGATAAAATATTTAAAACGTTTATTGACTACTTGTACCTTATATTGGTATTTTCAAATCTTACTATCAGGCTTACTCTGAGTTTTTTCGACTTAATAAGTCTTATTTTGACTTTTCGACTTAAACAAATATTAGAAATATTCCCCAACACCAGAACAAAACACAAAGTGTTTAAAGTACTTTAGAAGCGAATCTAAATACCATATTTGTACTAATTATAAGCAGGGCCGAGCCGTGCCGGGGGTGCAAGGGGTGTATGGCACCCGGGCGGCACTAACACAGGGCGGCAAAATATCATCAAAAAAATGGTATCATATTATCAAGAATAAAAAAGTCACCTTGCAATATGCAAAAAACTTTCTAAAAATCACGTTTTATTGATGTCGCCGTTTCAAGGAATCATCGTTTTTATTCTACACATAAAAACAATGCCAAAATTGTGCTGTCAGGCGGCAATGATAAAAAAGACATAACCGAACGCGCGATAGCCACAAAAAATGATGATGACAATTTTCTTAAACCCGGTTTATAGATTGCCGCCCGCCCGCTTCGCTTTCCGTCCGTCCGCTTCGAGTTCGTCAAGTTTCATGTTTTACGGAAGCGGGCTTACGGGAAACCAATCAAATCGCGCGCTGTGTACCACGTGATATTGTTTACAAGCTGAACTGTTAAGTTAAAGCATAATTTCTTCCGATTTGACGGCTGCGTATTTCAGCAATTTTTAGTTTTTCTATTAACGTGAGGCAAATAGGATGCAAACATAGTAGTTTCTTTTGTACTTATTTTAATGCGTTTAAGTTTAAAACTAGTTAATGATTTAAAAGGCATCTTTCTGAATTTATTTGTAGCTTTAAGAATATTTTTGACGATGCCAGTTACTGTTGCCCATGGAGAGCGGTCATTTTCGAAATTAAAACTAATTAAGACCGATTTAAGATCCAATATGAGTCAATTCAGGCTTTCAAATTTAGCAATTATAAGTATTGAAGAAGATATTTCTAACAACTTGGATGTACCCTGCTTAAAATACCCCATAGAGACCTATACAAAATAATCTATCGGGCGCTACCGGATTCTATATGTGCATTTGTCCATGGGTTTTTCCGGATACAGCCCGATAGAAAATGTATAGGAAATTACCTATAGGCACACCATAACTTTTACATTTTCCCTATTGAGACCGATAGAAAATAACTCAATGAAGGATATATAGGGATATCCCTATAGAGCAACCATAAAACATTTGACAAAATTTTATTAAAACCTATAGGGTCCTATAGGGAAAAAACTAATTTCTACATTTATGTGTATTTTCCCCATTGAAACCGATAGCAAATAAATCAATGGTGGATATCCCTATAGAACAACCATAAATCTCAACTACGGGTCCTATACAAACCGATACACCCTATAGAAACACCATACATCCCGATACAAATATCTATCGGTTTGAACAGGGTCTCTATGGGGTATTTTAAGCAGGGTAGGCGACTTGATTAGGGAATTTGCTATTAAAAAAGCGAGAAAAGTAGATTTTAGTTTAGTTTAATTATTTTTGTTTTTTTTTTCCTGAATGTATTTTTATTTTATTCTTTTATGTATTTGTTAATAAATACTTTGTTATTTTACTATAAAATTTGTTATATGTTTATTGAGAATGATAAATTATGAACTCCTTCCCTACCGACAACCTAATTTTTTACATTAATGGGGGCGGCAAATTTAATTCTTGCACCCGGGCGGCAGATACCCTAGGCTCGGCCCTGATTATAAGCTAAGGTTGACTGAACTGTCAACGGACATAGTTTACTAAACCGTGGACCGTAATCGCTTCAGTAAAAACTTAAAGATCTTTTCGTGTTCACGTAAAGATCTTTACGTGTTTACGTCTTCTCGAGAAACTATAAATTTATACTAACCAGAGTTGGGTCCCGGTCCGTTATCCCTATTTAAAGATTTATTTCTTTTCTTATATACGAGTATGTATAAACTTTCATAACTATCTGGTTCCCTAACTTCCTTAATAAGTTTAAGCTTATTAACGAAGTCTGTTAGATAGTTATGAAAGTTTATACATCTATAAGAATATAAATAAATCTTTAAATATTAAATATTAAATATTTATTTTCTTATATATGTATAAACTTTCATAACTATCTAGCAGACATGGTTCCCTAACTTCCTTAATAAGTTTAAGCTTATTAACGAAGTCTGTTAGATAGTTATGAAAGTTTATACATCTATAAGAATAGAAATAAATCTTTAACAAGCGATAACGGACCGTGACCCAACTCTAGTTTGTATAAATTTATAGTTTCTCGTGAACCTAAGTTCTCAAATCCAATTCTATGACCATCATCAAGTATATGTTGGGCAACACCCGATTTCTCTGTCCTACCAAATCTAGCATGGGCCAAGTGCTCTTTGAACCTTACTTGGATGGATCGTTTAGTTTGTCCAACATCTTTCTTGTCACAATCTTGGCAGTTTATTTTGTTGATCTACAACTTTTCAATTTTGGAAATCTCTTCTTTGTGGCTGCCTAAAAGGGTCTGAAGTGTGTCGGAAGTAGAGATTTAAAGGTTCGGAAAAAAACAGGAAAAATTGGAAAAAAACCGTGTTTTTTTCCGTTTTTTTCCCGAGCCTTGGAAAAATTGAAAAACGGAAAAATTGAAAAAATATTTAAAAAAAAAATGAAAATCTAAAAAGTATTTTGATTTGATATAATTTATGTATTAATGAGTGGAAATTAAATAAATATATTTTTGCAGTAGTACAGAAGTCTGTGCTTTGAGCAAAAAGCATACCATTGTGTATTGTGGGAACAATAAAAAAAGTATATTTAATACAAGATATGTTTTTATGCTTACCGTAACGCTGTAAACGAACGACGATCGGTCCGACGTGTCGGTTCCTAATCAGCTGATCGGGCAGGGTTGCCATTGTGATGTTAAAATCATTGAATATGCTACTAACTCCTGGGTTAGTGTATTTTGAATAGTTACCTATACAACAATGATTTTAATGTGAATTACGGCCGTCGGCAACTAGGCAACTAGGCTTTTTTCATCGTTAAAAAGCATGACCCTACAGGTGCCTCCCCCGGGGGGCGCCTATACATAACGGGAATTTTTTAATCAAAATAATTTATAAATATTATAAAAAATATTTTAAACATTTTTTTTAGTTTTTAAGAAAATATCAATTTTTCCCAAAATTTCCGTTTTTTTTCCAATTTTTCCAGGAAAAAACAGGGTTTTTTTCCGACACTCAATTTTTCCGGAAATTTTGAATCTCTAGTCGGAAGTGGTCTGAACTTCTTTGGCGAAAAGTACTTTAAGCACTTTGTGTTTTGTTTTGGTGTTGGGAAAGATTTCTAATATTTGTTTAACAAATCACCAAAGTTTTTTCTTTTTCAAGTATAATAAGACTTATTAGAGTTTTTAAGAGAAAGACTTTCAAAACTCTTATTTTTACTTATTAGTACTTTAAGCACTTTGTGTTTTGTTTTGGTGTTGGGAAAGATTTCTAATATTTGTTTAACAAATCACCAAAGTTTTTTCTTTTTCAAGTATAATAAGACTAATTAGAGTTTTTAAGAGAAAGACTTTCAAAACTCTTATTTTTACTTATTAAAACTTTTTAGAGAAAAATTTCCACAAGGGTACCTATACAAACACTTCATAAATTTACTGTTATTGTTCAGAAACCCGATGCAGCCGTCTCGTCCCACCAATGCCCGATCCCGTGCTACAAACGGCCGAACTGCGGCGAATGCCTCGAGCAAAAGGGCCGGTGCGTGTGGTGCGAGGCCACGCAGCAGTGCTTCAGCTTCTCGGTGTACACGAGCGAGTACCAGTTCGGGATGTGTCGCGAGTGGCTCGACCAGCCGTATCCTTTGGTCGTGCCGCAGGAGAACAGCCTCCTGCCCTCGGTGAAGATGCAGGGACAGTGCAAGTCCTGCAAGCTGCATACTAATTGCAGTACTTGCTTGGGGACATTGAGTTGCGGGTGGTGTTACAATTCTTCCAATCCCATGACAGGTAAGATTATACCAATTTGTTTAATTTTGTTAGTTTTCTTTGATATGATTTTATTTTGTTACAAAATCACAAAAAGTTTGTTTAAATACATTTTAGGTAGCAAAAATACCATACTTGCCTATTAATTATTAACAATGTAAATGTGATTTGTATGATTCTTTAACATTTTTAAGATTACTTTTGGGTTTCCATAATTTTTTGTCGATTTTTTTACATGTTTCAAATTTTTTTGACCATTTTTCTAATATTTTTATGCATTTTTACAAGCCTTAAAATAATTGTATTATGATTTTCTATTAATAATTTTTTTCAACAATGTTTTTATTATATCATTTTAGTTTTATTTTCCACTTTTTATAAATGTTCCCGAATTTTACTATATTATGTATGATGCATTTACTATATTATCTATTATGCATTTTCCTATTTTTTGTTATTTGTACAGTCACGGTAGACCTGAAACCAGTCTATATTGACCGGATTAGCACCACAATTTTTATGACATATTTCGAAAATATATGTTAAAATAACATCAATCACCCGTTTATAGAAAAATTACCCGAGCCGTTTCGTTGGAAATCGAAATTTAGGGCAAAAAATGACGAAAATAATTAATTTTGCTTGCAAAGCATTTACTAAGGTTATTAAGAGTTATAATGACATTATAACAATCAAAATCGAGTCCTCCGGGCGAAGAGATTTTACTATTTTTCCGTCAGGTGGCACTACAACGAAAAGTCATCTGTCAAACTGTCCACTTTACGGACATAGTTGCTGAACTACACATTGAGCTTATACGCTGCCGAATAGTTTATTGTCAAATTCTGTAACAATGAACGTTAAAATGATGTATGTGAAAACTCTTGCTGGGACCCATGAAGAAAATCGCGAGTTTGATTGTTATGTTTCAAAAAGAAGGCGGATATGCGAAAAACTCTTTAGAGCGCGGTTCAGGACATTTTTCCTTTTAATCCTGAAGACAACCGCCTTCCACGACTCATGCTGTACTTGCAAAATATATATTTACCGAAAAAAAGGATCCGAATTCGTCTGCTGTTCAGATACTCAATAGCTGGCCATACACAGACGTTATTGCGCGCGGTTTATCGTGTTATCTGCAAAAACATATGGAAAATAATGTACGTGAGTGAGTATCGCCGCGCGCAATGATAGAACGGGAAGGGATTTCAGACGTGCTTTCCTCTGGAGTGTGGAGTGTCCACACGCCACATTCCGCGTCACGGTTTACCTTTGCTTGGCAAAATTTCACGTTGAAAATTTGTACATGATCACATGCAGTTTCAAACGACTCGATAAATGACACTTTTTGCCCACTCACATACGATTTTTCCTTTGAAACTGATATACCACGGGCAATCACTTGCTAAATCATTTGAATACTTTATCAAGTGTATGGAACATGACGCTTTTTTTGCCATGCCGTTCTTTCGTGCATACTAACCGCTACATCCCAACACGCCACGATAAACCGCGCAAAATAACGCCTGTGTATGGCCAGCTAATTTCTACATTTCCTTCTTTACCAAAACATACAAGGAAACAATAAAAAATAAAATGTCAGTGTAAATTATGTTCGTAGGAACACTGGGATATTTTATACATAAAAATATCAGTGTCAAGAAAAAATTTGCCAAGCAATGTGCAAGGTGTAGAAAATCTTTGCAAAAAGGACTAGCACATTTTTGGTATAAAACGCACAATTATGCAAATCTAGTCGAGTCATTTCAATCAGAATTGCCTCGAAAAGTACAGGAACATTTATTAACTGATCTGATTAAAAATATAAGCAATATCAATATTCAAGAACTCGGTGCTGAAATGCACTTATCTCGACGCCATGGTAAACCTCCGAAATAATAATACAAAAAAACGAGATAAACAAATTCGTGCAAAAGAGGTTTTAAAGATTGGAACAGATTTTGGACATTCAACAAATACTGTGGTGGGTGTAGCTGCGGTTCTTCGTAATTCGGACCGAGAAGAAGAATAAGGAGACCATCGCTACGGAAAGTTTATTGCAGAAACATTGATGGAAACTCATTAAAAATAAAAGAGATACACCTTGCACATTGCTTGGCAACTTTTTTCTTGACACTGATATTTTTCTGTGTAAAATTCTGATGTCCCAGTATTCGTACGAACTTGCATAATTTGCACTGGCATTTTATTTTACCTTGTAAAAGTCGTGAAAGACGGTTGTCTTTAGGATTGAAAGGAAACATGTCTTGAACCGAGCTCTGAAGAGCTCCAGTAATTTTTCGCATATCCGCCTTCTTTTTAAAACATAACAAGCGATTTTTTTAATGGGTCCAAGCTTGAGTTTTCACATACATTATTTAAACGTTCATTATTATAAGGTTTAGAATAAGACAATAAACTATTCTGCAGCGTAAAGCTCAATGTGTAGTCCAGCAACTATGTCCGTAAAGTAAACAGTTTGACAGATGACCTTTCGTTGTGGCGCCACCTCACGGGAAAATAGTAAAATCTCTTCGCGCGAAGGATTCGATTTTGATTGTTATACGAGCCCTAACCACATAATGTTCGGACACTTCATAATTTATACAGAAATTTTTTTCGTGAATACTATCTCAAAATTATTAGAAGTTATAAAAAATTCAGCTTATTTTGGCATATACCCCTCGAAGCGATTTTTATTTTTTAAAAGTTTACCTTTTATTTTTAGCTTTTAAAAAAAGGCTAACTTTTTAACTTTTTTTTGCATGAGTAAAAAAAGTTATAAATGGGCCCATTAAAAAGAACATAAAATATTATACAAACCCTGAAAATTTGGTAAAAATTGTATAAATAATAAGAAAGTTATAGCGATATATATATCTGCAAAATCTCCCGTTTCCTAAGAAAATTGCAAAAACTCTTTAAAAATAGCATTTTTAAATTACTTATACTTTTTTATAACTTATTTATTTTTTACCAAATTTTCAGGGTTTGTATAATATTTTATGCTCTTTTTAATGGGTCCATTTATAACTTTTTTTACTCATACAAAAAAAAGTTAAAAAGTTAGCCTTTTTTTAAAAGCTAAAAATAAAAGGTAAACTTTTTAAAAATAAAAATCGCTTCGAGGGGTATATGCAAAAATAAGCTGAATTTTTCATAACTTCTAATAATTTTGAGATAGTATTCACGAAAAAAATTTCTGTATAAATTATGAAGTGTCCGAACATTATGTGGTTAGGGCTCGTAATGTCATAATGACTCTTATTTAGTAAACCTGATTGATTTGCAAGTAAAATTATTCATTTTTGTAATTTTTTGCTATAAATTTCGATTTCCGACGAAACGGCTCGGGCAATTTTGCTATAAACGGGTGTTTGAGCTTATTTTAATATATATTTTCGAAATCAGTCATAAAAAACGTGGTGCTAATCCGGTCAATATAGACTGGATTTAGACCTACCGTGCAGTACATTATTAATTTTTTTAGACACCCACAATCATTGTGGCACAATGTTAAATGCAGAAAAAAGTATTCTGGTATGTTGGTATTGTCCCGCTTTGCTCTATGTTCCTTAACCCAACCCTGGCTTTGAAACTTTATGTCAAGTTAATGGTTATACTATACCGATTTGTTTAATTCTATTACTTTTTTTTATTTGTTTTAATTTGGTAACAAAAACAGCAGATACCAGAAAAAGCATACATATTTACATTTCCCAGATTTGTTATATTTTTGGAGCTTCAAATCACTAATTTGTATGATTCTTGTACATTTTTAAGATTTCTTTTGGTGATGTTTTGATTAATTTTCTTTGGTGTTTTTAATTTTTATATGATTATCATTCTATTTTCATGCATTTTTACAAGCCTTAATATTTTTTTATGGTTTCCAGTAATAAATTGAACCTTCATTTTTAATAATGTTTTCTTTTGTTTTTCAAATAGTTTTTTTTACTGTTAATTAATGTAACCGAATTTTACTATATAATAATGGATAATAATTTAATGATAATGCAAATGCATATTTACTATGTTTTTGTTTATTTCCTCTATTTTGCCATTATATTAAGCAGATGTATATATCATGCGTATAATTTTCAGAACTTTTCAGCTGCATACCGTATTTTCTCGGTAAAAGTAATACTTTTAAAGTATACAGACCGAGTGCATTTGAACTTTTTAACTAACTGAATCATCTTTAAATTTTATTTATTTTTTCCCATAAATTAATTTATTTTTTTTTGTTTTATTTTAAACGATTTTTAATTAACTAATTTATGTTTTATGAGATTTTTCCGTAGTTTCTATACCTAATTTTCAATTTATTCCTAAAAGGTCCTGTTTTTTTTTAATTTATTTTAATTTAATGTTTTTTAGGGACTTGCGTCCAAGGTGACTTCAACAACCCCCATCAAAACTGTTCGGAAGTCCTAAACACACCTGATGCCAAATGGGCTTACGCCCAATGTCCAGACGTGGACGAGTGCGGACTTGGACTTCACGACTGCCACGCAGAAGCCATTTGCACCAACACAGACGGTTCATTTAGTTGTCACTGCAGAAAAGGTATGTTTTTTATTAAAAATTTCTTCTTTATGTTTAGAAAAAAATATTTTCATCGAATTTACATTTTGTTTGTAAACCAGTGTTATCTACGAGAATTTTAACAGGGTTCCGCGGTTTTTCTCATTTTTGCAGAAAAAAAATGTGGGTTAGAAACAAAAATTGTGCAAATTTTAAATGCAAACTTCGTGCGTAAATGCGGACACAGTCTTTAACAAATGTTGTGAGAATGCATGCATCCCAAAGCGTTTGGATTACGTTTGCATGAAATATTTGTTTCAAGCGGACATTGTTTCAGGAAAAAACACCTATAAGCTTTATAACATATTTGTTTTGTTCTTTTTAGGTTATATTGGAGACGGTAGGACCTCCTGCATAAGAACATGTTACAACGTGTGCATACACGGCGTGTGTCAAGGAGAACCGAACTACGCTTGCAAGTGCCACTTGGGATGGTTCGGCGACGATTGCTCGAAAAATTGCGGCTGCAACAATCACTCGGCCTGCCCGGACGGAGTCGGCATTTGCTCGGAATGCATGGACTACACGATGGGAGAGTTCTGCGAGTTCTGTAAGCCGGGCAGCTACGGTAACGCTACCACTGAAGCAGGTTGCCGCAAGTGCGACTGCAACGGCCACGGTAACAAAGACCGCGGCGAATGCGACATAGAAACCGGGGTGTGCTATTGCGAAGATAACACCGAAGGTGACCACTGCGAAAAATGCAAACCGAACTATTCGGGAGATCCGAGAAAAGGAAAGCAATGTTATTACCAGTGCGAAGCCAGGGGCGTTCTAACGGGAATCAGGGGGCAGGGAATCAGTTCGCTGCAGGCATATATCCCGCCTTATGGCGGGCCACCTACGAGGGAGTGTCTCTGGATTATTAATCCTTTGGTGGATGTTGGTACTTCCATAGTACAGCTAGAGGTGAGTTGTTATACTTATGAAAATATTTTTCTTATAGGATTTTGTGTAATAAACATTGTAGACAAAATAAAAAAATTTCTTTGCCACGGGGTGGCCAACAATTTTTCTAGGTTACTTTGGTAAAGCTGATTAAAAAAATCACCATAATTTTGACCAATTATATTTTTAATCAAATATTTTAACCAACCACATTCATAAAGTTATTTTCTCTAAAAATCATGTTAACAAAATTAAATCGTATTTTAGCCAAAATTCGACAAATTTTCAAAGTTCAAAGTGCTTTAAATATCTCCTTTATTGCGTTAAAATTTTAATGTTCTACGATAATTAATTACCAGCAATTAATTATTGTAATTTTTAAATTTTCCTCAAGGTACGTGATTTTTTTCTTAATTTCCTAAATAACTCCTTAACCTGAAAGTATGAAGTTATTGAAGTGGAAGTTTGCTTATAGAGGTATCTTCTATTGTTCATTTGCTAATGTTTTAAATTTTATACATTTTTATGCTGTACTTCCAAAAAAAATTATCTTGGCTTTCCGCCTAGGTGCTGAGAAAAAAGTTATTGAACTTTCATGTGGCTAAAAATATAATAATATTTTATATGATTTTGCATTTTCCCGATTTTAATTATAATGTGCGAATTAATTTTTAATTTTTATAAATTTAATAAATTAAATTTTAATATTTGAGAGTTACTGTTTATTAACCATACAATCAAAAGTGTGTCGGAAAGTTAAATTGTCCAACACCGTCACTGTATAATTCCCTACTATTATGTTTAATGTGATTTTTCGAGTTCGTCAAACATTTTTGAATTTTTAAAATTAAAAAACTTGGCGTATAATTAATTCATTTTCACGGTAGTTATTTTTTTTATATTAAAAAATTTTCAAATAATTAAAGTTATATCTTAAAAACTAGAGCTAATATGAAAATTTCCTGAGACACGTATATATCGTTTATAGTTTTGTTCTTTTACACAGGACCAAAAAAATTTTTGCAATGGATATTTAAACCTCTAATATTATTAGTTATACAAATTTTCTAATAATTAATTATTAATATTTTTTTATAAAATTTGTATGTTATAAAATTAAATTTTCATTTTTTATTAAAAAATTTTGTAATTGAATATATTAGATACCTAACTATGTTATGTTGTTCTGACCAGTTAATTTTAAGGTTTAGTGTAGGTATCTTACTTATTTTTCATATTGTTTGTCTGTCTTGAGATAATTATAAGAAATTTGTATGAAAGCGCATTTATAATTCCAAGTGTTCAAGGAACAAAATTATCTGGGTAATTTTTAAGCACAAGAGGAACTTAACTGAAAATACCTACTAAAAATAAAAAAAAATGGTAAATTTGTTGAAACAAAATTAACAAAAATATAGCTAACTAACTATATTGTAATAAAAATAACTATTTTTACTTTTACCATATTTTTTCTTCTTGAATATCACCAAGATGATTCATTTTAACGAGTTTTGTCCAAAAACGTAAAAAAAACTGGGTTTGATCAATGCAAACAAACCTACGGTTTTTTTATTTGTTAATGCATATTTTTTATTTGCGTTTTTATTGACTATTTCCTTTTATTTTAACCATTCCAGTGCCAAAAATTGTTTTAAAATTTTCCCGAAAAATGTTAAACAAAATTAGAACCGTCAGAACATTAAATATTAAAAACCAATTAAAAGGATTTGGGCCAGTTCAAGCATTTCACAAAACTGTTTTTATAAAATATTGCTTGCGTTTCTTTTATTTAATGTATAGCCTAATAAAAATTTCTGACGATTTTGATGCCGAAATAATATATTAATTAATTTTAAAACATTTTGTATAACCATGATCTTACATTTACACTATTTAATGTTATTTAAAGATAAATTCCAACCAACTAAACATTAGTTGTGGAGAAAATGCAGTTTATGTTTATGACGGACTACCAGAATTGGTAGAAATGGGTAGTCAGAGCGCTTTATCGGCAGTAATATGTAGCGAGGAATCTCTACCAACAACTATAGTCGAGTCCAAAAGAGGTAAATCTGCTATTTACAGTCCCTGCTCAATTTATTAATATCTTCTCACAAAAATGTATTTTTGAACAAAAAAGTGATTTTATTTATAGAATCGCTTTAAAAACGCTTTTCAGGACAATAATAATATATTCTGTAACAAGTTTGTACTATATAGCGATAAAACTGAAATTTAAAAAAAAATTGTAAAATATACAGGGTGGCCCATCGAAAACAGTCCATCAAGGTTTACGGCTTTGTATGTGAAAATAAAAAAACTTCGGACCCGTATAATTTTGTTTTCAGGGTGATATATTTACACTAATTTCATTAACCCTATATTTTTAATGGGAAGGGGCATGTTGTGGTACATCTTTTGAAAGGGCATTACATTTTCTTTAAAATGGTGCTTAATTTTTTAAATTTAAAATACGCGTGGAGCAATGTAATTACGAAAATTTTACTGGACCGCTTATTTGCAAATTTTGTAAAGCAAAAAATTTGTTGGAAACAATGATTTAAACAATCAATGTGCAAATAAAAAAACAGATATTGAAAATTAGACCCGATATTAATATCGGGGTGAAGAATTCTTCACAATATCCGGAAACACTTTTAACAGTTGTTGTACTTTTGTATGGAGGGTAACACAGCCACACAAAAAAAAAAAAAAGTCAGATACTTTTTACGAGACATATGTATTTCTATGTATTTTGACTCGCTGAATCCGAATCCGAGGTCAAAATAGGACCTTTCACGATTGGTTTTCGACATAACCTCAAAAAACCGGTTTTTCAAGTATAGAATGGCGAAACAAAGTTTGATTTTAGATTTCAAGCTGCTGAATTCATATATAGCATCAGTTTTATAATATAACTATAGAATCTAAATCATAATCTCAAAACGTAGTTGTTTGAGCGGTGCTCTGCAGGACTAAGTAAGATTTCCGTACTCAGGAATCGAATCCGATATATAAGTCGAGCTAGCGTTTGTTTTTCATAAATCACCTCGGTGGATCAAAATCAGTGAATTTTAAATCATTTTTTAGGAGAACATACTTTTATTATTGGATTAGTAGAATTTAGAGCAGTTGATTAGATAGCTGTCTGCGAATGAGATGGTTTCTATATAGTTCTGCATACTCACTCAGTCCTGCAAAGCACTGCTCAGACAATTATGTTTTGAGGATATGTTCTAGATTTTCTTGTCATATCACAAAACTGATACTATATATGAATTCAGCAGCTTGAAATCTAAAATGAAACTTTGTTTCGCCATTCTATACTTGAAAAACCGGTTTTTTGAGGTTATGTCGAAAACCAATCGTGAAAGGTCCTATTTTGACCTCGGATTCGGATTCAGCGAGTCAAAATACATAGAAATACATATGTCTCGTAAAAAGTATCTGACTTTTTTTTTTTTTTTGTGTGGCTGGGTTTCCGAGAAATTTAATTTAATTTTATTGATTATAATCAATAAAATTAAATTAAATTTCTCGGAAACCCGCTAAGGGGTTGAAGTTACATTGATGAATTTGTGTAAATATGTCCCCCTTAAAACAAAAGTATACGATTTTTTTTTTATTTAAAAATATATCAATAGGTATCTTCTATGTTTCGAAAAATATATACCTATTGATATTTTTGTATCGATATATTCTTAAATATATCGATATATCGTTCATCCCTAATTTACAACACGGTAAAAGTGCATCAGAACTTTTTAATTAACTAAATTATCTTAAAGGCAAATTTACTTAATTACCCAATGCTTAGAGCCGAACCGAATGCTTCAGCTGTATACACAACACATAAACATTCAGTATAAATCTAAACATTTTGTATTTCATGTTTTATTGCAAAACTGAGTTTTAAAGCCCAACCTTTGTTTTAAAAATAACAACATAATCTAAGTATCACTTTTTTATTTCAATCTCATCATAAAAATATGTTTTATCGTCCTAAAAAGCCTTTTAGACGCGATTTTATTAATACAATTTTACAAATTCTCAAAATTAAAGACAATTTGTGATAAAGCTAGTTTAATAAATTGGCCAGTGACACTAAAATCTCAAACATCTTTATTTATTTGTAATTTCTTAGGCCAACTAACTGTTCACTACAAACAAGGCATGCCAGGTGAAGGTTTCAGCGCCGCCTACAAAGTCTTGCACTGCGAAGATTGTCTGCCGCCCCGAGCCTGCAAAAACGGTCAGTGCGTCTGCGACGAAACGTTGGTTGGAACGATGTGCCAAGAACAAATTTGCCCGAAGAATTGCTCGTATGCCAAAGGACAAGGGACGTGCGACAAAGCGTACGGCAGATGCCTCTGCTCGCCCGGATGGGCAGGTGTTTCGTGCAACGTAAAACAAACCAAAATGCAAATCGTATTTACCGAACTGTTCAACACGATCCGACTTGCAGACAATTTAGAGCACCTGCGCAAAACGCTGCCTAGATTCGGCCACTCCCTCATCTCGGACCGCCGCGGCTCCCTCTGGATGTTCGCCGGGTACTCGCTCTCGCACGGCCCTCTAAACGACATCCGTCTCTTCGACACCAGGAACATCACGTGGATGCAAGTCACGGTAGAATCCACTTTGGACGCCAAAATGCCGCAGGGCCGGTACTTTCACAGCTCCGACATCATTCATTCGCGACAGGCAATTTATGTGTATGGCGGGTTGACGAAGAAAACCAAGAACTGGAATAACAGGACTTTGAACGATTTTTGGCAATTCGATATTCATAATCAGAGGTGGAGCGAGGTGGAAAGAAGGGGGCTGTGGCCCCCACCACTTGCTGGACACACTTTAACATCTTACAGGTAAAAATATTATCTACTATTTTTAAAAATTTGGTAATAAAAAGGTTAAATCATGTTTTTTTTGTTTGATTTTTAAAATTTTATGAAAATTTAAAGATAAAGATAATTTATATTTTAAAAAGCTTTTAACTATTTTTAATAATGTTCACGCTTTTTCTATAACTAGGGAACTAATGAAAGTAATCTGAAAAGTCTCAGGAATACTTTTACAAATTCTCTACTTTCAGCATTAAATTGTACTTGCTCTCTACTTGAATTTAAATTATAACTATAGATAAATCAAAATAGACAAAGTTTAAGTTACCTAGTTACTAAATTTTTTTTTAATTTTTCTTCGATTTTTTACAATAATTGTAAAAAATCGAAGAAAAATTAAAAAAAAAATTATTTTAATCATTTGAATATTAAGAAAGATTTATTTTTATTGGTGTATTAACGATTTTTTTAATGTTATAGATATTTTTATCTTACCTTGCGTCATTTAAGGTTTTAGCTTTGTTTTTTCTAGTCATTATGATTTTTGTAATATTTTAATCTTTTTATTATTTTTCTTTAATTTTTACAATTTTAATTACAGTTTTCTGCTCTGTGGATCTTTTTGTGACTATACATTTGAATATTTAGAAAGATTCCTTTTTATTGGTGTATTTACGATTTTTTATATTATATAAACATTTTTGTTTTAACTATTACTAATAATTTTCGCTTTTTCTGTTATTCACTATGATTTTTCTTTATTTTTCAATTCTCTATATTTTGTTGTATTTTTTCTCTATTTTAGTTTTAATTAATTTTGGTGGTTTAATATTTCAAATAATTTTAAATTGTTTTTAATAATTTTCTTTTTTTTCTACAATTTAATATAGTTTTATGTTGTGTATGCTTTTGTAAGTTTAAACACTTGAATATTTATTAGGACATTCACCAAAAATTACATTTAATTTTATATTTCTTTTTCATGCTGTCATATCCCTGCTTAAAATACCCCATAGAGTCCTATATAAAATAATCTATAGGGCGCTACCGGATTCAATATGTGCATTTGTCCATGTTTTTTTTCGGATACGGCCCGATAGAAAATATATAGGAAATTACCTATAGGCACACCATAACTCAATAAAGAATATATAGGGATATCCATATAGAACAACCATAAATCATTTGGCAAAATTTTATTAAAACCTCGGGGGAAAACTAATTTCTACATTTATGTGTATTTTGCCCATTGAAACCAATAGCAAATAAATCAAGGGTGGATATCCCTATAGAACAACCATAAATCCCAACTATGGGTCCTATACATACCGATACACCCTATAGAAACACCATACATTCCGATACAAATATCTATCAGTTTGAACAGGGTCTTTATGGGGTATTTTAAGCCGGGATATTATTAACTTAAAATTCAATTTTTTAAATTTTAATGTATGTGTTTAATATTTAAATACACTCCATTCCTTTGTTAATGTTGTGTTTTTTCAAATTTACTTACTTTTTTACTTTCAAATACCTACATTTGATTTTTTTTAAGTTGATTTTTGTAGAATTTTTTACACAAAAACAGTTGTCAAATTTGCATAAATCTAATTCTCCATTCCTGCCTATTTATTCAGAAACTCCACCGTGGAAAGCTTGATAATAATAGGCGGCGGCTCCCCTCAATACGGTTTCCGCAACGTGGTATGGGAATACCGCCTGGACAAAGAACACTGGGTACCGTGGAACACCAAGGGCAACGGTCCGACCGGTATTTTCGGTCATACCACGGTATTCCACAATCCGACCAACGCCCTCTACGTGTTCAGCGGTTACACTTACGACAACGGCCGCTCATTTCTATCGAACAATTTGTACATGCTCAACTACGAAACCAAAATGTGGACGGCATTGCAACATTTGGGCGCCCAGTTATTCGTAAGTCAATGTTTTAAGTAGGCTAGGAATTAAGCATGATTTTCATTGGTTGTTTTATTAATGTCAGATACTTTGACATTACTTAGACCAATTTGATAAGGTTCAATGCCTACTATAGTAGGCATATATAGTTATGTTTGTTTTTTTTATTTTAGCCGCAACCAAGGGCTTTTCATTCGGCTGTTACTACAGATGAATATATGCTTATTATGGGTGGACGACTTTATCCTTGGAATATAAGTGATACATTGTATGCTTATTCTTATAGCTGTAATCAGTGGATTAATCTTATGGGTGAAAGTGAGTATTTCTTTTTATTTAATTTAAGATAGGTAGTTATTTTTTGGGTAAATATTTTTAATCATATAGCAGGGAGACCTTTTCTGAAAAAACTAAAAATCAGAGAATTTTGAGCCATATAAAAGTTTAAAAACGTAGTTTTTCTGAAAAATAAAATGAGTTACAAATACCATGATTAGAAATTTAGTAACTTTAAAATGCTTAAAATTTTTAATAAAAAATCTATACCGTGTCTTGGATTTTAATATGAAAAATTTAGTGTCTTTTGCATTTTTTGCTTAATTTTCAAGATAATAATTAAATTCGTTTATACGCTCGTTACCATAATTTTCCCAGTGGCGAGCAAATAAACAAATTTATATTTTTCTTGAAAATTAAACAAAAGAAAGAAAAAATATTGGTGTCAAAAGTTTTTAATTTAACATACTTAATAATATTAAGTTAATTATAGTTATTATAGTTTTTAATTGCTTAATCTAAACATACTAAATTAATAGTATTAAGTTAATACTAAACTTATAAAAAAGCAGTAGCTTACCCAATTTTATTTTTAAATATCTAATAATTACTTCATGGCTTCATTTGCACATTTCTAAAAACTTGATAGGTTTTATTAAATTCGGCCAAGAAGTTTTTGATATTTTTGAAAAAAATAATATTTTTTTTTAAACTTTACCACCCTATATTCTAAAAACGAAGGTTTAAAATATACAAGTTCATATTACATTTTTTATTATTTTTGCGAGTTCTATTTTCCCGATTACAATCTGATAATTACGATTAATAATACGATATTAAACATGTTATTTTGCTTAAGTAACATTGCACTAAATCAAGTCTGGTTAAGTAGTCATTATTATTATTATTTATCATAAATGTTTCCATGACACTATGTGACCTTTTAAATACACATTAACAAGTTATTTAGGGATTTGTGGCGTTTTAGTCACGGGCTGAAGTAAGCAACAGGTTTTTAGTCATGGGCTGAAGTTAGTTGACAGTTGTAAAATGTCATACAATCGTTAAAATAAATTGCTAAATGTAAAAATAATTTTATTATCTCCATACAAAAATACAAAAGTATTAAATAGTTTCTCAACGCCAATATTTAAAAAGTTTATATGAACATTGTACTGACCTTTTAATTTCGCCGGCAGTAAACTAGATTTAACTTTTCAGGGGGACACTCGACCCTAGTCCCCATAAAACTTTTTTTTACTTTTACTCTGAAAAACTGCTTCTATTTTGAATTTAAACGGTCCATTTTCAAGGTATACATTTCGATTTACCCCTAAAAATTTGACATTTTCACCGGCTCGCCGGTAATTGTGATTCCCAAGAATGGTTACTTTATTGTTTTATAGATGTCGCTCTATACAAATATTTAATTTAAGTAATTTTTAGATAATAAAAAGTATTTGTCGTAAACATTTCTATACACTCATTAAATGAAGCACTCGCTAGCAAGCTCTTGAATAAAATGGCGTTCATCAAACTTGATTCATAATATTCTATTTTCGCTTTCCTTTAAATAAATAAATATTATTAAATATACAATTTTTTAAATATTATTTTTATAATTTTCGTAGTTTTCAACGTAGTTTTCAACAAGGATTTTATAATCATGTTTTGTTTAACTTTTTTCTTTAATTTATGATTTGTTATAATTCTTTAAGGTTTTATAATAATATTTTGAAAACTTTTTTTCATTAATTCTTTTTTAATTTATTACATAATTTTTTATAATTATCCAAGATTTATGTATTTTTATAGTTATTTTAAGTTTTAACAAATTTTATTTACATTGTAATTTTTACAATAGAATTGTGTATATGATATTGTATAATATTTATTTCAATGGAAAACCGGGAAATGTCATGGAATTTATTTTGCCAGGAAAAAGTCAGGGAATGTCAGGGATTCAATTTAAAACAATACATTTTTATGATGTCTGGCTATAATAACAATGCGGAATTTGTCGGATTATATCGAGGATCCATATCCATATATCTCCCATCAAAATTTAGTTAAGAAAAAGGGACTACCCCTTTAAAGAAAATTCAATAAAGAAGTTAATTAATGGATAGGGTTATATTTGTGATTACTTATCTCCAACAGACGTGGACAAAATAGGCCCGTTCCCGGTGCAAACTTATGCTCAAGCCATGACAATAGAACCAGACGGCGACGCAGTCTACGTCATAGGAGGTTGGGGACAGGACACTCAAAGCAGCGTGCTGCGATTAGAAATACCCATCGATTTGTGCAACTTGTGGTCCACGCGCCACACATGCCTGAAAAACTCAGGCTGCGGATACTGCGCGAAACGTTTAGGAGACGAATTGGTGTCAGAAATTTGCCACAGTAACACCCAGGATTGTCCCTTGCAAGACTCGAATTCAAACAGTAAGAAGCCGAAATATTAACGAAAATAACCCTTAATAATGTCACTTTTTTAGCTTCTAATATTTCGAATCAAGGCGGCAAATGCAATGAGACGAAGCCGGTTGAAAATTGTTCCGTTCTTTCCGAGTGTACTTCTTGCATAAGAAATCACTGTTTTTGGTGCAACGACGCTTGTACTAGTAACAGTTCGTGTACTGCTACGTTGGCTGAATGTCCTTATACTCAGTGTTGGGATCAGAATAAGAATAACAACTGTATATCACGTAAGTGTAATATTTTTTAATATTTTTTTTGTTTTTAAATATCTAAATGTTTTTAATATCTGCATCATTTGGAAATAACTTTTAGAGTTAGTTTAATGTAAATCTAGTATTTTCCAACAATTTAATATAGATTAATGGATTAAATTATGATTTTTTGTAAGAAAATGTAAAAATTCATAAATTGTTTATTTGTGTCATAAATCTCAATTATTTAACTGTCAAAAGTTAACTTGTTTTTATAATTTTAATATTATTCTATAGACCAGGGTCGATAATTTTTGAAACCAAAAAAAATAACAGTAGGATGAAACCCATTGGAAAAGGAGAAGAATATAATAAAAATGAAAGGAAAAATAAATTACGGGCGATCTGACTTGAAGTGGGAGGGGGGGTTTAAGGGTAAAAAATGGTTTATCTCGATTTCCGGCAAAACTACAAGTCCTATGGAAAAAAGTTAAATGGCAAAGTTGTAGGTAATAAAAGGATCTACAACTTTTGTAATTACAATTTTTTTACATAACCTCAAAATTTATGTGAAAAATTCAAAAAACCAAGTTTTTGGTTTTTTATTTTTATCTTTTTCAAAAAAAAAAATTTTTCCACGAAATTTGGTGAAAACTTACCTTTTTATGTCCCAAATACACTGTAATTTATTTGATTTGAAATATTTATTATTTCGCCTTATTTTGACTTAATATCAAAAAAGCACCCTAATTTTCAATCGAAAATTCTCGCGTCAAAATATCAGCTTTTTGTTCGTTGAAATCTCTACTTTCTGATGGTGTAAAAAAATATACATTACTGTGGTAAATGTTCTCAGAAAATGCAAAAAATATTAAAATGAATAACGAAAAAAACTCGAATTCGAAAATTTATTTTAATCATTTTAATCATCAAAAAAATGTGATTGTTGCAATTTTTTTTAGTTAAAAAGTTTATTTATTAAATTCTAATAACATTTATGTCAGAAAATCTCATAAAATATAAAAATACATGTAAATCATACTATTGAATTTAGATACTTCATTCTGATTACGTTATTCATTATAATATTTTTTGTATTTTCTGAGAACATTTACCATAGTAATCAGAGCTGTCACAAGTCACTTCTAAAAAGACTTAAGTCATAAGTCGTAAGTCTTTTTTGAAATAAAAATGACTTAAGTCTTAAGTCATTTTTTCTATAAAACAGAAAAGATTTAAGTCTTAAGCCTTTCAAAAAGACTTAAGTCTTTTTTTTTAAGCCTTAAGTCTTATTAAAAATGACTTAAATCAAATATATAAAGACTTAAATCTAGAAAAAGACTTAAGTCATTTTTAGGGACTTAAGTCCCTAAAAATACTTAAGTCGTTTTTAGATTTAAGTCGTTTTATAGGTTTAAGTCGAAAAAAAAAGATTTAAGTAAAAAAAAAACAAATACCTTACTCATTTTGAGAGATTCAAAACAAGATCAAAGAGTATATATTTAATAGATACTCTTTGACAAGACTTTTAATGAAATTTATTTTTAAAATAGGTGCATAACATAAAGTTGATCACTTAATTAGTCAATTACTGTATTGTATATAATAATGTACTGGCACACAGTGTTGGAAATGCCCAAAAAGCTGGCCAAAACATATAAAATCTACATTAATATATTTGAGTAAATTTAAATTTTTTATATGTTAAAAACATATAACAAATTTCTTAAGTTTCATAACTGATTTAGTAGAGAAGGTCAAATTTGAACTTTCTTGAAGTGATTTTTTCCATTTCAAGTAACCAGTAAAAAAGGTACTTTTAATATTATTTTTTTAATTATCATTAAAGTATATGCTATTTTTAAATGAATTACTAATTTTAGGTGGATAAAACGATTTTTTAGTGAAAACATATTTAAAAAATGATTTTTTAAAAAATGATTTTGTTTAGGACCTCCACGAGCCGAAGCTCAAATTTTGTCATGATCAGAAAGTTAGTACCTTGGTGTGTTAGTACCATGAAAAATTGGATCCGGTTTGATCCGGTCCTGGGTGCTATCCATAAATTACAGTTTGCTTATTTTAAAACTTATGTGAAAATTGTTTAATAACTTTTAAAGTAACTTAATAATTTTTTAATATAAAAAATACTAGTTATAACTATAGTTAACATTTAAACACCTTTGGCGTATTTAGTTCGCCAGGGACGGACTAGCTTTAATTTGATTATGTCAATTTTTTCAAGCGTGTAACAATTTAAGCCTCTATACATGGTGTTGCATGAGAAAACCGACATAGCTTAAGGGTAGGTGTAGTATTCAGAGGTGAATCCGAATCTGGCTTTGAAAAAATTCGGAGGTCCTTCGTTTAAGAGTTACAGGGTGATTTATGTATTTTGTCGAAAATTTTGAAAAATCATATCTTGGGAATGGATCAATAGAATCGCATAAAATTTTATATACATACTTAAGTATAAAGTACCTGCACAGCGCTGTATCGGACATTCAAAAAAAAATCAGGACCGGACCTAACATTTTTTTTTATTTTTTTCCCACTAAAAACACCGCAATATTAAAACTTATATAAAGAAACGACACACATTTATTAAACGTGCAGAGACAATTTTTTAACATGCAATTTTACCTCGACGCAACGTCCAAACCATCAAAATAGTAATTTTAAAAATTATTAAATCATTATTTATTTATTTTTTTAAGAATTTAATTCTTACCTATTTTGTCATTTTAAAAAGAATTAAATCATTATTTTGACTTAAGTCATTTTAAAAAGATTTAAATCATTTTTAGACTTAAGTCATTTTAAAAAGATTTAAATCATTTTTAGACTTAAGTCATTTTAAAAAGACTTAAGTCATTTTTTTGTTTTAAGTCATTTTAAAAAGACTTAAGTCCTTACGCAAATGTAGAAAAAGCTTAATAATACAAATCATTTTGAAAATGACTTAAGTCTTAAGTCTCAAGTCGTCCAAAAAAAAGAGACTTAAATCAAATGACTTAAGTCACAAAAATGACTTAAGTTAAAAAAAAGACTTAAGCTTTCTGCTGTCTGACAGCTCTGATAGTAATGTATATATTTTTTTACACCATCAGAAAGTAGAGAGTTCATCAAACAAAAAGCACACCGACTTTTTGAAAAAAGCTGATATTTTGACGCGAGAATTTTCGATTGAAAATTAGGGTGCTTTTTTGATATAAAGTCAAAATAAGGCGAAATAATAAATATTTCAAATCAAATAAATTACAGTGTATTTGGGACATAAAAAGGTAAGTTTTCACCAAATTTCGTGGAAAAATTTTTTTTTTTTGAAAAAGATAAAAATAAAAGATAAAAAACCAAAAACTTGGTTTTTTGAATTTTTCACATAAATTTTGAGGTTATGTGAAAAAATTGTAAATACAAAAGTTGTAGATCTTTTTATTACCTACAACTTTGATATTTAACTTTTTTCCATAGGACTTTTGCCGGAAATCGAGATAAACCATTTTTTACCCTTAAACCCCCCCCTCCCACTTCCCGAACTCAGATCGCCCGTAATTTATTTTTCCTTTAATTTTTATTATATTCCCCTCCTTTTCCAATGGGTTTCATCCTACTGTTATTTTTTTTCTCTTTTTACCATTTTTAAAGGCTTCTGCACTGGTCTACTATAGGTATTTGTAATTTTACTTACTAAATCTTTAATTTTTTAAAATGTTTTGCTTATTAAGTTGCAATTTAGTTATTGTTCTCATTATACTGTGGGAATTTTTTCCAAATTGTCTCTATTTTTTACATTTTTAATTTTAATGATTTTTTTTAATATAAATAAATGTAATTTTGTAAAATACCATGGAAATGAATTTTTTATACGCCAAAACTTTTATAGTTTTTTTAATTTAGAAAATCTGTTTATTTTTGACCAGATTAGGAATTTTACAAATTAATTATAGTAGTTTAATATTTTGTTCAGTTTATAAGTTGGTCAGAATTTATAGGATTTTTTAAATTTAAAAAATTATACATATGTTTTGGCGTATAAGAAATCAATTTTCACGGTTATTTTTGTAAAAATACAATTATTTATATTTTAAATAAATTTTAAATGTAATAGGTGTAACTGTATTTTTATTACTTGACCCCTACTTCGTCAATTGACATTCAATGTGAGGATACCCAATAAGGAGTTTCCAGTCCCGGGATTTTACTGGCCCCGGGACCACGTTCGCTTCCCGGGACCTGCAAAAGTTCCGAAATGATTTTCTAACGCGAAATAAAACTTTACAAGTGAATATTACAAGAAAATATTGAAAGAACGAGGAGTAAGTGAGAGGGTGTTATAGGCGATTTTATAAGTATGAGAGAGAGGGTAAATATTGAGAGAGAAAAATGTAGCCATACCATTTTTATCTTTTGAGATAAAAAACTTAAGCTTAATTTTCAAGTATCCGTTTGTCCGTCATCCGTATGTCAGTTTTTCAATAAAATCGTCCGATAAGAAATGTTCTAATTTTCATGCATACGTTTTTTAATGACGTTTGACGGATTGATTTTGCGACAAATAGAAATTAAGTGTCAGTATATTCACTTACTAAATTTACTTAATGCTTAATTGTCATAGTTACAATTATGTCAACAATTGTAACTTTAAAAGTTAAGTAGCTGTCTAACAAATTTAGAGGTAGGTAAATATACCTTATAAAAAGACAGCTGAATGTCAAACGATGCTTTTCGGTTCTTTTCAAACAGACCTGTCACTTTTCACACAGAAATGTCACTTTACATTCGTGTTTTGCCTTGCCAATGAAAAGATTCATTTTCTAAGCAACGATGCCATCATGAAAAGTGACTTTTACATAGTGGTCGTAGAAAAAATTATTTAACCTTTCTCTGTCAGACGTACGAAGTTGAAACTTGACGGACCGATAAAATGTCATAATTTTCGAATTATAATTGGACCAATAAGAGCGCTCCCGGATGAACGGACTGACGGACAAACGGATACATGAAAATTAAGCTTTATTCGGTCTTTCTAAAAATACAAACATAACCAATTTCATTGACAGTTTTTTACTCGTTACAAAACCATTAACAGCGTTTTTTAGAATAAAGTTTATCCATTGTCAAGCACATTTTTTAATTTCTTCGGAAGAATCTACATTATAAATATAAAGCATATTTATAATTATACATTTTAAATGTAGGTATTCATATTATAGAACGAACATAATCAAAATTGCTTCAAAGTTCATAATAAATAATTTCCTAATAAATATGTAATAAATAATATAAAATTAGAATTAAAGCTTTTTTTATAATTTAGTACAATTATTAAGTAATATTACTTAAATATACAAACATGTATTTATTTAAAAAATCTTGTTATTTATTTAAATACAAATTAAACTGTAGTAAGTATAATATTGGCTTGAGCAGTATTTTCTGTTAAAGAGTTTACTTACAATATTATTTTTAATAGTATTTTTAACAATTTGAATGTTTTTATTGTTTAATTTTTTTTATTTATTTCGGGACCATTTTCGGGACCTTTCAAGGAGATTACGAAGTCCCGGAGGTCTCGGGACCTGGAAACCCTAGAAGTGATACAAAAGTCAAAAAATCGGTTTTTGACATTTTACATCAATAACGTAAGGGTCAAGTTAAAAAAATTTAACTATTTCTCAAATCCTAAAACAGGTATTCATTTTTTTTTGTAATACTGTATCAATTTTTTCTTGTTTCAACTTAGCTTTTTTTCAACAGTGTCACTTTTGTTTGTTAGGTTTTGCAAAACAACTTTCTTTAATTTATTATGCAGTATAATTATACATTAAAAAAATCAACCTGATTTGGATAAATTTCAAGTTATTATAACTTTGTTATCCAAATTTTGTAAATCTCAAAAAAGTTGCAATTGCACGGGATTATTGATAACTTTAAAAATAAAAAGTTATTACTTTTAAATTTAAAATATTGTCCTATATTTGTATGGTAGTTGTCGCGATTAAAACTTATAAAATATAAATAACTGTTTCTTTAAATTTTGTATTAGGCATAAACGAAACTTTTTTTATAGTTGCATGTTATTAAAATGTCATTTATTATTTATGATAAAATCTTAAATATACTATTTTAAATTTGTTTTAATTTAACACTTCCTTTGTTCGCTTGGAATATATAAAAATATTATCGTTAATCTATTACAATAATTAAAAATTAATATAACATCATTTTACATTGGTCTACTTTTTTAGCCAAATAGCTCGACGCGTTTTTTAAATAAAATTAAAAGTTTGCTAAAATTATTACTTTTGTATAATCGTAACGTTAATTCTGCAATTTTTTACCAAAGTATTCTTTCATTTATCTTTTTTATTTAAAGAGTTACAAGGTCGCTTAAATTAGAGAAAAGTTGCGTAATTACAAGTCTATTAAAATGACATTTGAATATTGGGAAAAAATCAGCGGTTCTGAAATAATTTAAAAAAAAACTGATTTTTTTTCGCCCACTAGATTTTGAATTACCACCACCATCCTTTTTTTTTCATTTGGCCGCTTATGTTCTGTGGCCGCCATATTGGAATTTTACATGGTTAGATAGAAAAAATCAAGTAATCTAATGATGTATCAAACTTACTGCAAAAGTTATGGCAAATCTCTATTATATAAATACAAGTAATTACATATTATTAAAGAACAACTTTGGTACTGCATAATACAAAAAATATACTTAAAACAAAAAAATCTGTTTAAATCGTTTATTGTTAAAACAAGCTTTAAACACATCGAAGGATACTTGGTGCACCCTGTATTTTGAATAATTCATCAAAAATTCATTTCGTCGGCAACGCCTTTCTAATACGAGAACTACCTTAATCCACGCTTCTTTAATGAATTTTCAGAAGTCCCAGACGTTTCCAAAAACGCCCCGTGCATAAACTTCACCGACTGCAACAGCTGCATGCGCAACAACTGCCGCTGGTCCACGCAGCTCGACGAATGCATATCCGAATCGTACCAATCGCTGTACTGCGCCGGCGGCGTGTGCGGCCTCGTGCTGCAAGACCTCGAGTACCAGTACTGTCCGGAGCCGTGCAAAGCGTTCGACGTTTGCTCGAGCTGCTTGAGGCACGCGCATTGCGGGTGGTGTGCCACGCCGGGTACCGGTGGCGACGGCTTTTGTACCGAAGGATCCGGCGAGAGGCCGATATCGGGGACTTGCATAGAGGCTTACACCGAGATGACGCCAGAGTTTGTAAGTTACTTGTTTTATGCTTTTAAGGGGTAACACCATTTTAACCATCTAAAAAAGTGCATTTTATTGATAGGAAGGTAATTAGTTAAAATTATTTATGCACAATGACATTATAATATGACAATTATAACAAAAATTCTTTGACGTAAACGTCTTTTTATAGCCCGCGGGCGTTATTATGACCCAGCGGGCTGTAATGAAACGTCAAAAATTAAAAACAACAATGTTACACCATTTGATATATTCGAAGTAAGTTTTTTCGTATAAAGATTTTGATTTGGCAGCAGGCCGCAATTTTTCGCCTTTTCAGCTGCTTCCTCAATTTCATTCATCTTTAAACTTTAAAACTGACTGATGTCAGTTGACATTATAATATGACAATTATAACAAAAATTCTTTGACGTAAACGTCTTTAAAAACAATAATATATTAAAAATAATAATATATTAATCGTGCAAGTTTTGTATGCATTGCTGGCATAACTGGTTTTTATGGTCCTACGACGCTTTTCTAGCCCTCGCGCTAACGCGCTCGGGCTCGAAATAGCGCCTCGGACCATAAAAACGTTATTATGCCCTTAATACATAAATAACTATTATAATAATAATAATAATATGCATAATAACCTTAAATATTATTATCTAATTACCTTTCCTTCTATCAAAAAAATGTATAATACAAAAAATTATTATACTCGCGAGACATCAATTAAATTTAAGACGCTGCACAGTGGTCCAAAAGCCCAAAAACATGGTCAAAATATGAAGGTTTAGTTATATGTTTACCAAAACAGGGACATTTTTGGGGTCACTGATTACAAATTTGATATCCTTTTTTTCAAAAACAAAATGGCGGATACAATATGGAGGACATTTTTTTAACAAATATTCTGATATCGATAAGCGATCGCTTAAATTTGACAACGTGTGGTTTTTGAGGTCGCTAATTGCGAATTTTATATTTATTTTTTGAAAAACAAAATGGCGGACCATTATGGAGGACATTTTTTTTTTCAAAAAAAATTTCTGATATCGCTCAAATTTAGCAACAAATTTGATATCCATTATTCCAAAAACAAAATGGCTTATCCAATATGGCCGACATTTTTCAAATAAATTTAGACTTTTTTTTGGTTTATGAAAGGATTAAGGATTAGAAAACACATTGAATTTAGGATGGATAAACAAAATAACGATGCAAAATAAACATTTATTCAATAATTTAAATTATATTTATTCAACGCAATATACTTTAATATAACGCAGTATATTTTAATATAATTTAATAAAATTTTTATCAAAATATTCATTATAAAATAAATAATACTAAGAAAAAAAACCACCACTTCTCAAAAAAAAATTGTTTAATATTTTTAAGATTCACTAATAATTCTCAGGAGTATTTTGAAAAATAAATGTTTTTATTTTGCTATAATAACTTATTTAAATCGTTAGGCAAAACATTTCTTTTAATACATTAAATTGTATAACAATTTCATTAATTATTTCCTGATAAAATAAATTCCAGAATGTTATGTACTAAAAGAAAAACGCGCGGCTCTACAAAATGTAATGCTACAGCCAAAACGGCAGAAAGCCGCAAGAAATTTTTGTCGATTTATATTTGTTATAGAGTCAAACCACGTCAAGTGGGACCAGAAAATTTCACGAAATCACCGATTTTGAAAATAATCACATTATTGTGTAGTAGGCATGACTCATATGTCACAGTAAAAAAATTGTTTTAAAATTCGTTTTTTTGGTAATGTTATTAAGGTTGACAATTTTGTCAAACTTTAGAGCACGGTAAAATTGAAAAAATAGAATCTCTGGGACCACTCTGTATAATTGAATTAAATTTTAAACACTATTGTAGAAATGTTTAGACTATATAATGATCATTTAATTAAGGTTAATTTGTTTAAATAAAATAATTTTGCATACATTTATTATAAACAATTGAAATTTTGTATGTGTTCTTCACGCTGAAAAAAAATTAATCTTGTGTCATAATATGCGGCAAACGTTCCCGTTTAATAAAATGTACTCAAAAATTTGTCCTTCATATGTCATTCCGGAGATATTAAATTTTTTGTCCCGCTGTGCGCTTGATCAGTACGCGGCGCGCTTCGCTGCTAGCTCGTCAGGACACGGTGTGCCTGAACGAAGTTTAAGTCGCATAAAAATTCCGCAGTTTCTTGTTCGGGACTCTTTGGTGACTTAAAAATAATATTTACCAAAATCCTAGCTGCTCCCCTTTTCGAAACATTTTGAAAAATCTTTTTTATGCATTATGCGTTTTACTATATAAAAAAGTGATTTTTGTCTAACCCTGTATAAATCTAATGATGTGCTCAGTATAAAAACAGTTTCTCTCGTTTACAATATCGGTGTACAAATGTGTACTCTGGCAAAGGTAGACTTTGCGATAAACAAATAATTAAAAAAAATGAATTTTTTACAAATTTAAACAAAAAACAGTTAGAATTTTGGTAAATATCTTTTTTAAATCACCAAAGAGTGCCGATCAAAAAACTTCAACCAATTTTTCGTTCAAAATTGAAAACTACTAAAAAGCCTAAATTAAACAACATTTTAAATACTCTCTAAGCGTTATTTTATTAAATTTTATTAAAAATGCATTTTTCTTGTAAAATGTTAATAAAAATGCAATTTTGTAACCTGATAGACGTAGAAATATCTAAAAAAAATTGGGGATAAATATTTTTCGCGTGTTATGCTATAAGTAATCATGAATTTACGCTTTTGCATTATTAAAAATAAGTGATTTTTGGCTAACCCTGTATATATCAAATGATGTGAACAATATTAAAAAGTATTCTCTAAGTCTCCTAAATAATTTACTCTAATTTTATAAAAATCGGTGTGCAAATGTGTACTCTGTCAAAGACATAAACAAAAATTTAAAAAAAATCATGAATTTTCGAACAATTTTGAAAAGAGTAGCAGCTAGAACTATGGTAAATATCATTTTTAAGTCACCAAAGGGTCCCGAACAAGAAACTACAATCAGTTTTTGGCGGCATTTTTAAACTTCGTTCAGGCACACCGTTAAAACGTTAGAACGGACGAGCTAGAAACGAAGCGCGCCGCGTACTGATCAAGCGCACAGCGGGACAAAAAAAGTAATATCTCCGGAATGACATAGGAAAGACAAATTTTTGAGTACATCTTATTAAACGGAAACGTTTGCCGCATATTATGACACAAGATTAATTTTTTTTCAGCGTGAAGAACACATACAAAATTTCAATTGTTTATAATAAATGTATGCAAAATTATTTTATTTAAACAAATTAACCTTAATTAAATGATCATTATATAGTCTAAACATTTCTACAATAGTGCGTAAAATTTAATTCAATTATACATAGTGGTTCCAGAGATTCTATTTTTTCAATTTTACCGTGCTCTAAAGTTTGACAAAATTGTCAACCTTAATAACATTACCAAAAAAACGAATTTTAAAACAATTTTTTTACTGTAACATATGAGTCATGCCTACTACACAATAATGTGATTATTTTCAAAATCGGTGATTTCGTGAAATTTTCTGGTCCCACTTGACGTGGTTTGACTCTATATCAATATTTCAACTTGAAATTTTACAACTGCATAAGATCTAGTTGGATGATAACTATTTCAATGCTTTTTATAGGACGAATCGATAAATGTTCATATTATACAGGATTTACAAGTGTGAGATTATTTTACATACCTTTAGAATCACCCTCCATCACACCGATTGGGAAACTGACACCGCGATAATTTGTTTGCAGTGAATTACTCTTGTAGTTATTTTAACACATATGGCGCGTCGAAATACTTACTCTGGCGGAGCTTAATTGTAACTGACCTACAGATGCGAGTACCGAAGCTACCTAATTTTCTCTGTAGCTTAATACGTAGAATAGGTCCATTTACTATTTTACATACTCAAACATCACAATTATTCATTAAATGTTTCGGCATTTGGCCAGCTTTTTTTGATTTTGGACCACTGTGCGCTGTGCGGTATGCAGTTTAATCTAATATTTAATTAAAAAAATGGCCTAATCTACATGTTTATAGCTAGTGAAATACGTAGGGGATTTTAGAAATAGGGTCAATACATATAAAATCGAGAAATTGAATTTAAAAAGTTGAAAAAAGTAATAATTTTAAATTTTTACCTGTTCGTCCTGTACTTAAATAGTTGAAAACGGGTATTCAATAATTTTTTAGTCCAATTTTCTGGATTTAGTCTTTATAGTACCACTACACTGAAAAGTTTAAGGCTTTTTTTAATAAGTCTTAAAATATTGTCTAAAATTGGGTTCCAATCAGAAATATCTCAGAAAGGACACACTTTAAAATGCAAAATTTTCAGAAAACATTCTTTTATTTACTGATTTATGTGACTGGTGAGAAACTAAATAAAAGATGTTAAATTTTCAACAAAAAAGCGCATTTGTTAATAAATAATTTTTAAATTAACTTATTTTAAAGCAAGAATGGCTTCAGTGGCTCCATTTTTTAATACTTGTTGATAATAATTTTTTGTATTATACTTGGATGTATGCCTAACAACTTGCAAATATTCGTATCTTATTATTCTATGAAAAAAGTGTCAAAAGGCGTTTTTAGATTGTTACAGTAGTGTAACCCCTTAAAAATACTTCTTTACGATTTTTAAATTAATCAGTTTATTTCATTATTTTAAATAAATTTCTATATTATATAAGCTGCAAAAAAAGTTTTTTGTGCATAATTTATTATTCCTAAATTATCATCAGTCATAGGTTGCAGAAAGAAATAATAAAGTAAATCATATTCTTGTGTAATTTCAATGGAACATTTTTAAACGAGGAACCTTTTAAAATTTAAAATGAACAGTTAAGATTTTAAATGAATTTTTATTCCGACATAATCTAAGGAATTTTCAAGTCTCAAATGAAAAGAAGATATTTATTTTTAGTAAACTCTAATAGAATGGATCTCTTTATTATTCTTTAGGATGAAGATGCTTTTAACTCGAGTTTCTCATGGCATTACGTAAAGTGTCCGCCCGAAAACGAATGCACCAACAACCATCACACTTGCGACAACAAGACGGAAATATGCGTGGATTTGGAGGATGGATTTGACTGCGAATGTGGTACAGGTTATAAATTAGGCCCGACAGGTTGCGAACCTATTTGTCCTCTAGGTAAGTTTGCTTTTTAATTTATTAATTTTACAATATTAATTAAAATAACTAATGTTTTTATATGGGCTCACTAAAAATAATAATTAATTGTATTTAATACGTTTTTGTGGTTAGATTTTATATAATAATTGAAACTTTTAGTTTTATAAACTTTTTAATATTTAGTTAATATTTTATTTTCTATACTTAACACATAAAAATAATAACGTTATAATTTGGCCACAAAAACGTAAATTCACAAAAAACATATTTATATCTAAAAACAGGGTGTCTAGCAATCTGGGTTTTCGTCAAGAAGTCATATTGTTTAAAAAAATCAAAGATTTTAAAAGCTTTATTTTTGACTTATTCTGTAGATATTTTAAATGTTCTTCAATGCAATTTTGCCCCTATAAATGGTACATATACACTTTTACAAAAATTGCACTTAACGCCATACCAAATTAAACTTTCGATGAGTAATAGTATATTTTTCAATGAGATTGTGATTTTGAGGGAGTAGGAACGGTTGTGGACGAAGCGTATTGCAAAACACAACTTAAAATATTCTAAGCAAATGAGCACTAAAACTATAGGAAATGTCTGCAATCAAACCTTGAAAAAATAAAAACTTAAAATCTGAAAATTTTACATTAAAGCTTAATTCAAACTGAAATTACGCTTATTATCAGAATGTATATAAAAATTTAACCCAATATTTTGATGTATAAATTTAAAAAAATTAGCAGTTGCAAAAAGAAGTAACTGAGGGGTTTTGTGGTGCTCAAAAGCAAATGCAATAAATTGAGCACTACCATAGATTTTAATCAAGACAATTTTGTAGTCAATAGAACAAAAATAGGAAGAATGTTCAGTTAATAAACTTTTATGTTTTATTTCAAAAATTTCAAAATCTTCATGGCCGAATTTAATGTAATTAAATTTAATTTAGTTAATCCAGAGGCGGCGCTGTGGCATCCAAACTAGATATTTAAAAGTTAAATTTGGGTACTATACTGCTTTTTGATATGTTTAATATTTGTCTCCTTGTTAAATTTTTAAGAAAAAATTTAAATTTGTTTATTTGCAAATTTAGTTTTTTTCTAAAAAATTAAGCAAGATAGAAAAAAAATGCAAGAAACCAAGTTATATTTTTAATTGCTTAATCTAAATATAATACCAAACTCATAACAAAGCAATGGGGTGACCTTAATTTTGTTTTTTAACTTTAACACCCTATATCTCAGAAACAAAGGTTTAAAGCATACAAGTTCACATAAACTTTTCTATTAACCATTTAATTTTCCCGAATAAAATCTGAGATACCCAAGTATCCTTAAATGTGTATACTCTGGGTATTTTTTTATTTAAAGAGCTACAAGTTTGGTTAAATTAGAGAAAAGTTGCGTAATTAAAAACCTATTAAAAAAAACTAAAAATCTTTTAAAACCAAAAATCGTTATAACCTTATTTATTACTGGGAATTTTGAAAAAAGTAAGTTTTACATGTAAACATACGCAACATTTTCATTCAATTTCTTCGCTTCCTTATTTTGAGTTACCATTACAATCTTTTGTTTTATAATGGCTGCCATAACTTATCTAACCATGTAAAATTCCAGTATGGCGGCCATAGAAACAACAAAAGATGGTGGTGGTAACTCAGAATCTAGTAGGCGAAAAAAATCACAAATTGGATGAAAATGTAGATAAATGTGTATGTTTACCTGAAACTTACTTTTTTTATAATTCCCAGGGATAACAAAGATATAACGATTTTAATATTTCACGGATCTTCAGTGTTATTAAATTATTTAATAATAAACTTTTTATAAATTTTGAAATGACATTTTAATAGACTTGTAATTACGCGAATTTTCCATACTTTAACCGACCGTGTAGCTCTTTGAATAAAATAACATCTATGTATCTATAGAAGGATGTATCTATAGAAGGATACTTGGTGCACCCTGTATTATCACCAACTTATCACATTACTTAAAACTCGACCAACCAGTTCAACGTAGTTACTCGCTTGTTTTTCGTCAGTGTCTACTCGATGGTAAACATTCAAAGTACGATCGCACAGTAAAATGAAAAGTCTCAACGAAATTATGTATTATTCAATTTCTATATAAGAGTCAGTTCTTGCGTTATCAATGTGAAATAGATTAGAATAGGATAAAATTGCTGAAAGCCAGTGCAGCAGATGTCTGTGTTTGGTTAATAAATTTATGACACCCAGCTCAAGAACCGATGTATAAAAATGTTAAAACTATATTTAAAAATACATTTTTAAAATGTACTGCGCACTTCGCATTTTACAGCAAACAGTCATGGTCAAATTCATTAAAGTCCAAAGAAAATAATGACAAGAGCTTGCTAGACACCCTGTTTAAATTTTCATCAAATATCGACGCTGTAAACCCGCTTGTACTTATTTTTTGCATTGCTTTGTTCCCGTCAGGGTGCGTGCGAGGGCACTGCGTTCAGCCTAACGTGTGCCAATGTGTGTTCGGCTATGTGGGAGCTAACTGCAGTATCCAGTGTCAGTGCAACGGCCACGCTAACTGCGAAGGTCCTGACAAACTTGACAAGTGCTTGTTTTGCCATAATAACACGATGGTGAGTCCCCTCACTACACTGTCCTGTCCTATGTCATATCCCCTAAAATACTAAAAAAACATGTTACCTTGAATAAAGAAAGGACCATTGTTAAAGTGGAAATTTTCTGTTAATTTTAAATAAATTGATATATGCAGAGGACTTGAAGACATGAAGCTATCGGAATTGATGTCTAACCAAAACTAAGGTTATATTTGGATCAATATTTGATAATCGGCCAAAAAGGACTACAAAATATGTTTTTTCGTATTTCATAAAGATTTAATATCTATGTAAAACAGTCAGGTTAAATCTACCTCAAAAATACCAAATCCATATACTTTTTTAGATTTGCAAATATTCAATTTCAATTCGTATAATATATTATATGGTAATATTAAATATAACAACAAAATCATTGGGTGCCACGAAGCCATTAAAATGTTTTGCAAAAAACAGAATTATTTATCTACGTTTATTTCCCTATTTGTCACACAAGTCAATAACAAAGTGTATCAATAACAATCCACAATAATAAAGCAACTGTCAACATGGCATTTACCTTTCTCTATCTCTCTCTACCAATCACAAACATGGATTTACGCCATGGTACTAAGACAACCAGGTATGATCAGTTGGTGAACGAATTTTAGACAGTCGCGCGCATGACGTGATTTCGTGAAAAATCTTACGGTTGGTATATGTATAAGGGAGTTCGATTTTATCCTTCAACGGCTGTACCCAGGAAGGATAAAATGGGGTTCCGGGTTTAGAAATATACCGGTATTTCTCGACAATATCGCTTTGACCTTTCAGCGAGGTATTTTGTGATTTGTGCAAATGATTTAATGGATGTTTCAAGATTTGAAATTCCACGTGTATCTACTGGTGACGGTTAAAAGAGCCACATCGGCTCAGACCAAATCCATTACTGAGGGAGAGGCTTATGGTACTCCGGACGTAGTGGATAAAAAATATAGAGAGAGAGAGTTGGTATATAAGGAATTTGCCTTTTAATTTAAAAGTTTCTTTGTTTCTACTGAATATTATTTAAGTATACTTAATAAAAAACAGTAATTTTACACAACCTAATATGTATTACATTTGTGTTTTTATTGAGTATTCTTATTATAAAATAATATTTGCAACTAAAAAAGAGATAAATCTGCATCTTTAGATAAGTTATTTCAATTTTGAAGATAGTTTTTCCTTTTTTTAAAACATTTCAGTTATATTTATTAAATTAGCAAAAGATACTAAAAAATACACGAAAAATATCCAAGTAACTTATTTACATCATATAAAAACACTGTTTACAGAGAAGCTAAACTTTTGCACTTAAGTTATAAAATATTACATTAAAATTATAAAAAAGTTCCGGGGACCCGTTTCGGTCGATTATCAAATATTGACTCATATATACAGTGCACCCATCCTTCTATGCAAGGGCGTCGTTAAGGGGGGTAATGGGGGTAATTACCCCCCCTCAATAGATAGAAGTCCTAAGAAAAAAATTACTACCAATATAATTTATGAATGCAAGTCGCCCTCTATGAATAGTTTTTAAAGTGTGGCATAATAAAGTGTGGCATAATAAAAATATTACTATTACACTAGAATCTAGTAACTAGATGGTGGTAAGGTAGATAGTAAATTTAATTCGCAAAATCGCAATGATTTCGCATCTTGTGCGCATCATATAGAGTGAACGTCCGCCCCCAGCATACTTAGATTAATAATTTTTCGCATCTTTTGCGCATCTCTGGTGTAATAAATTTGAATTTTATATTTAAAAATATTACCTAGGTACTTAAAAAAGAATATATGTTTATGTTTATGAGATATTTAGTTTTGGTACCTTATAATCCTTTTCCCCAATATACAAAAGCAAATAAACAATAAGGAGTTTTGCAAACTTATTTTCCTTATAAGATAACCCCCCAAAAGAAAAAATTATCGACGCCCTTGTTTCTATATGTGGTATACCCATATAGGGGTATATTGTTATGGGTATTTTTTTATTTGAAGAGCTACGAAATCGTCATAACTTTGTTATTCGTTGGAATTTTGAAACAAGGTAAGTTATACGTGAAAACATAATCTACATTTTCATCCAATTTCTTTGCTACCATGTTTTTAGTTGCCATCACCATCTTTTGTTTTTATAATGGACGCCATTACTTACGTAGTTTGATACATCGTTAAATTCCTTTTTTTTCTAACCACGTAAAATTCCAATATGGCGGCCATAGAAAAAACAAAATAAAAAACTTTTTTCAAAATTCCCAGGAATAACGAAGTTTTAAAGATTTTTAGTTTTTTTCATATTATTTGAGAACCGCTGTTTTTTTTTCAATTTTTATATGCCATTTTAATATACTTGGGCGATTCCTTGATTACTAACGGGACCAACAGAAAGAGAACAAAATGTTTTATGAACATTTTTGAAGATGTGTTGTTCCTATAATAATAATTTTATGATAGTTCTCAGCAATAAAATTAAGTAGGTAATAATTACTTAGTAATTATTACTATCATAAAATTATTGATATAGGAACAACATATCTTTAAAAATATTCATTAAACCTTTTTTCTTGTTTCTTTTTGTCCCGTTAGTAATCATGGAATCGCCCACTTGTAATTAAGCAACTTTCGTCTAATTTAACCGAACTTGTAGCTCTTTAAATAAAACAGATACCTTTACATAGAATGATGCACCCTGAAGTTTTACACACCATAAGTGCTTATTTTGCTGTTACAATTTCTGGCGGGGTTAAATTTTCAATTTTACATTCACTATCGCTCAAGTTTATTAATTTTGATTTAAAAAAACTTTACAGTTTAACGTATTTTATGTAAACAGTAAAGCTTAATTTTCATGTATCCGTTTGTCCGTTAGTCCGATCATCCGGGATCGCTCTTATACCAATATATTGGTCCAATTATAATTCGAAAATTATGACATTTTATCGGTGCGTCAAGTTTCAACTTCGTACGTCTGACGGAGAAAGTTAATAGTATATTACACCAAAATAATTTTTCTTCATACCTTGTTCGAAAGTACGTACTTTCGTCCCTGCTATTTACTCCCTGTGCTATTAGGGACGAAAGTACGTACTTTTGACCGAGGCAAACTTTCGTCCTTGCTATTAGGGACGAAAGTAAGTACCGATGTATGAAGAAAAATGGTATACACGACACGGGCCAAACGTTAAATCTCGGTCCTGTGCGTCATGGCGAAGCCGAAAATTCAACTTTCGGCCCTTCTAGTGTAATATACTATTAACGCATCCGTCACTACACATCTGTTTTTGACGCCTAACGTTATTTTAAATTAATTTATTTTCAAATCTTTTAATATTTTGTTAATAAGATTGTAAAACGGAAATATAACGTTCGGTATATGAATAATGTTCTACTGTTATGTTTTAATTTAATAAGAATAACAAAAAAAAAGAAAAGACAAACCAAAAAATATTAAAACCAGAACTACAAGGACCTGCTTTTTTAAAACTATACATTTTATTGTTGTATTAAGGCTAGTATATTCTTTTTATATGGTATATTTACCTACCTTTAAACTTATTACACAACTAAAGCTTAATTTTCATGTATCCGTTTGTCCGTTTTTCAATAAAATCGTCCGACAAGAAATGTTCTCATTTTCATGCATCCGTTTTTTAATGACGTTTAACGGATTGATTTGGCGATAAGTATTGTTTTATTCAAAGTACCTAAAAATAGCTGAGTATGCAAAACAAAAAACAATTATCAACAAGTAATGAATGATAAAACAAATGTAAATTTTTAATAAATGTAGAGTATTTCCCACTGTGCGAGAATGTTTTAGTAATTTGTCCTAGGTCAGGAACAACCAGTGGCGGCTCAAAATTTCTACTTTACTTATAAAAATTGTAATGATTTTTTTATTAAAAAAAATGGTACTAATGCAAAAATGATAGAGGAAAAACTTTCTTATTTTGGCATGTACTATGATTCTCTTAAAGGATGACAACTTATTTTGTGACACCCAATATATATATATATATATATATATATATATATATATATATATAATTTAAAGAGGAAGTTTTTTTCAAAGAATATATGGGGCAATCCATGCCAAATCACCGAGGTTTTGACCCGACCCCCTTCGATTTCGCTGAAACTTTTTTATCATTTTCTATCCTACCAAAGACATTTTTCTGAATTTTTTCAGATTTTTTTACCCAACCCAAAAAAAGTTACGAATTTTTGAAAAAAAACCGCTCTTTTATTTTAAAATTGCAATAACTTTTTCACAAATTGACCTTTCGGCACGTTTTTTTTTTTGAAATTTTTGTTTTTAAATGTAGTTTTCAGAAAAAAATACAAACAATTTTTCGGAAGTCACGATATATGAAATATTTCAGTTTTTTCAATAAAACCGTCATTTTTTCGAATTCTGAAACCTTCGATTCTCAATTTTTTTGTCTAAAAAAAAACTTCAACTAAGACAGTATTTAACCCCACTATTCCCATTTTGTGCCGACTTTCCATTCTATTGTTTTTTTTTTCGATTGAAAATAAAGAAATTTCTCAATTTGGCTTATTTTTTATGACTTTGCGTTGAGGTTTTTTTTATTGTTTTTAAAAGCTCAGAAGTTGAATAAAATTGGATAAAAACAACCGTAAATTTTTTATTAAAGTATTGTTTTTACATCGTTAAAAATATAAATATTTTAATTATTTTCCTCGGTTTAGCGATTGTTTTCTTGAATTCTTAACCGTACAATGTACGTAAACGTAAACTCTTTTTAAGAAACAAAATAGTCTAATTCACAGTTTAAAAAAATATCAAAACATTAGTTTATAAAAAGTGTTATTTTTTAATTCACATTTTTATTATTTTACCACCTCTTTTAAATAAAAAACAACGAAACGTCAAGTATACCTACTTTAAAAAACATATATTTGAATGTGATTATAATCGTCTTTCTTTATAATTTAATAACACAAATTCATTCTTTAACACAAGTTCATTACCATCAGTCACTGAACATCCACCATAACCTTTCGTACTTTCTTTATGTTTTTTTATTACCATAACCTTCCGTACCTTCTTTAATGCAAGTTCATTCTTTAACATAAGTTCATTCCTTAAGACACAACATTGTACGGTTAAGAATTCAAGAAAACAATCGCTAAACCGAGGAAAATAATTAAAATATTTAGATTTTTAACGATGTAAAAACAATACTTTAATAAAAAATTTACGGTTGTTTTTATCCAATTTTATTCAAGTTCTGAGCTTTTAAAAACAATAAAAAAAAACCTCAACGCAAAGTCATAAAAAATAAGCCAAATTGAGAAATTTCTTTATTTTCAATCGAAAAAAAAAAACAATAGAATGGAAAGTCGGCACAAAATGGGAATAGTGGGGTTAAATACTGTCTTAGTTAAAGTTTTTTTTGAGACAAAAAAATTGAGAATCGAAGGTTTCAGAATTCGAAAAAATGACGGTTTTATTGAAAAAACTGAAATATTTCATATATCGTGACTTCCGAAAAATTGTTTGTATTTTTTTCTGAAAACTACATTTAAAAACAAAAATTTCAAAAAAAAAAACGTGCCGAAAGGTCAATTTGTGAAAAAGTTATTGCAATTTTAAAATACAAGAGCGGTTTTTTTCAAAAATTCGTAACTTTTTTTGGGTTGGGTAAAAAAATCTGAAAAAATTCAGAAAAATGTCTTTGGTAGGATAGAAAATGATAAAAAAGTTTCAGCGAAATCGAAGGGGGTCGGGTCAAAACCTCGGTGATTTGGCATGGATTGCCCCATATACAAAAATGCTCTTTTTAGTTCCACCCTTACTTCCTAAGAAGTCCCAGAAGTCAACTGAATGGCTTGAGCGGGTTAGGAGTAGGAACGGACCGCGGGCTTAAAGTCCCCTCCGAAAGACTAATACATAATAGGACAAATTTAATGTACAGTTTCTAAGTTGGTCAAAAATTATTGGATTTTTTAAATTAAAAAACGTATAAAAATCTCTTTTCAAGGTTGTTTTTTCAAATTAAATGAATGTATATATATTATATCAAAAACCAACCAATCGCCAATGTGAAAAAATCCCGAAATTAGTATTAATTTTTTTGTAGTACTTTTACCATTTTTCCTGGTCTCAACCCAGCTATTTTTTTATTGTATTACAATATATAGTTTCTCTTTATTTTCGGTAACATATTTTGTACATAAACATACACAAATAACACAAACACAATGAAAACTATTACAAACTGATTATTAATCTAGGGCGCTCAATGCGAGAAATGCAAACCGTTGTTCGTTGGAGACCCGAAGGACGGTGGAGAATGCATACCATGCCTAGAATACTGTAACGGACAGAGTCACGTGTGCGTGGACAACAGCACCTCCATCGACATTGTCGATTACACCAGCATTATCAAGGAAGGCCCCAAGAAGAACGCCTACTGTCTGCACTGTTCCAACCTCACGACAGGCAGCAAATGCGACGAGTGTATACCGGGTAAGTCCAATATAAATGTACTGGTATATGGGTCATTATACTTTTTAGCCCCATCTACCTCCAAAAAATAAATATTTCCTCGAATATTTCACATTTTCATATCCATATTATTTAGGCAAACTAAAGGTAATTCTAATGTTACTTTCAGCAGTAAAGTTTCGCTTAAATAGTCTTTTATTTTTAAGTTTCAATGTCGTAGCGATAGCAGTGCAGTGTGACAAAAGAGACATGTGACGAAGGACATTTTTCACAATAAAAAAAATCTATTACTCACACAATAAATTCACATAAAACATTGCATTAATTAAATTTTTGTTTAATTCACATAAAAAAGAAAATTAAATACTGCAAATACTTACCGAGTAAAAGCCGTGACGAATGATAACCTTAAAAAACACTCGCTGCTTGTTTGTAACGCGCAAAATAACAATAGCGATACTATTGCCTGCAGCGGCGCCATCTTGTTATAAACTACATGGGTTACAGAGTTTTTTTATATATAATGCTAAACTCCAGTATATTTTATAACAAAGCTGTTTTTATTTAGGCGGTTTGTGACGAAGTAGACATTAAATATAAAAATTATTTACAGACATTTTATCACATTCTTTATTAGTACTGAGGAGCTACTTATTTGTTATTTTATTTTAATTTCATACAAAACCTATAAAATATATCCAAGTTTTTACTATTGCAATAAGATGGGGTTATAGAGTTAACCTTAATTAAGACATTAAAAATATTTTTATATTTAATTGAAAAATGGTTTATTAATTTTTGTTATTTTAATTTATGAATCTATAGTTCTATATTAGCTGTCTTAATTTATTATTTTTTTAATAAGAAAGTTTATGGACAACTGACAAGTGGCAGAGAGCCTTATTAGTATAATGACTCATATATATATATATATATATACTTAACATTGATGGTAAATTGATAAAAAACTGAAAAGGTTGGATTTTACACTGACAATAAATAAACATTTGTTTAGGAAATTTCCGAGGTTCCGAAGACCTGACCGACCCTTGCAGACCTTGCGACTGCCACGGCCATGGCGACACTTGCGATCCCATAACCGGAGACAAGTGCAATTGCAAAAACAACACCGAGAGCGACACCTGTGGCGGCTCTGGAAAAAATTCCGCCAACCCCTGTTGGAGCGTGCAGTGCTCCAAGTGCAAAGACGGCTACCTCGGTACTCCCACCTCAGGACATCAGTGCTACAAGCACATGTCAGTCGATTCCAAGATGTGTTTCGATGCCAAACCAATTGGTAAGTAAAATGTTTTGTTTATGATATATCAAATTTAATTATATTTTTTATCTTTTATAATTAATATTATTATTCGTAAAATTTCGCGGAAATCATGCAAACTTTTATAAATTTTTCGATAAATTCGTAAATTGTTAATAAAACGTATACCTGTGTATTTTTGAAGTAAAAACTACGCACTGTAGGGCAAAATCATTTTGTGCGACTTGCTATGGAGTAGAAACTCCCCTAATGATCCTGCGATTTTTAACGTTTCTGCACCGTTTAATTAAAAAATCATTAATGATAATTATATCCAATGATAATTATCAATAATAATAATTATCTCGTAAGCTATTTATGAAAAATAAACGAAAATTGGGAATTTACAAAATTAATGCAATGAGCAAAAACCTTTTCATTATTATGCTATTCGTCATTGCTGCTATTTTGTAATTAAATGTAATTTGTATTTTTGAAGTAAAACTTCTCTACTTACTGTAGGACAAAACCATTTCATGCGACTTGCTCTATGGAGTGGAAATTTACCAAATGATCCTACGATTCTTACCGCACTGCATCGTTTGAATAAAAAATCATTATCTTGTAAGCTATTAATGAAAATTTCGAATGAAGTTACAAAATAAATACAATATGCAACAATCTTTTCATTATTATGCTATTTGTTATTGATGCTAATTTTTAATAAAATGTATACATTTGTATTTTTGAAGTGAAACTTCTCTACGCACGGTAGGGCAAAATCATTTTGTGCGACTATTAAAAATGCCATATATATCGTCGTTTATCTGACAAAGAGGCGTATCTCATTTTTAAACAAAACGGTGTGAATTGAATTACGCCAGTTTGTACGGCACACAAAATGCAAAAATATTAGTTACGCCGAAACTGCTTTATGCTAAAACTTTATTTGTACCTATTTATTATAGAGCTACGCCAGTTTGTGAGATTATAAAGTCGATTTTGGTGATCATTCTGGTATAACTCAAAAACGAATTTTTTTGAGTTACGCCTCTTTGTCAGATAAACGACGATATAGAAACACAAAATAAAAATCGATATGGTTTTATCTAGTTCAATATAGGAATTTGAAACAGGCATTACACTATTGAACCAGGATGGAAAACCATATAGAAAAGTGATTTCTATATGGATTGCCATATAGGTTCAGATTGAACCATATTGGAGCTCTATCTGGCCCAATATGGTTTGGGTATGAAATAGTTATTTGTTTTACAAGTGTTGAAAAGCGACTTTTTCATGCGAGTTTTTAAGTTGCCCACGAGGCTGTCAGGCCGAGTGTGCATTAACACGAGCTTGAAGAAAGCTTTTCTCACAAGTATAACACAATGTTTTTTCTGCCACCCTTTTATTTTTTATAATTTTTAAATACAAAACAAAATAACCTAAAAGCTTTTTTGACAGCTGAATGTCAAACGATGATGTCAATTTCTTTTCACACAGACCTGTCACTTTTCACACAGAAATGTCACTTTACATTCGTGTTTTGCCTTGCCAATGAAAAGATTCATTTTCTAAGCAACGATGCCATCATGAAAAGTGACTTTTACATAGTGGTCTTAGAAAAAAATTATTACTATATAGATTCATATTTAACCATATAGGGGAATCTATATGGTTTAATATGCAATTTTCGTTTAAATATATATACATTTTTAAATGGAACTCCATATTCAACCATATAGGGAAACCTATATGGAAAGACACATAAAACAGAACCCAGATAAATCCATATAAAAATCCCTAAGTTGTGCATTTTAAAATGAAATTCTATATTAAACCATATAGATTCCAAAGTGTAAACCAGGTCGTTCCATATAGGACATATAGAACCATATAAAACCATATTAGTTTCTTTATCTGGATCAATATGGGTTCTATAGGGCATTTTTAATAGGGTTGCTATGGAGTAGAAATTTCCCAAATGATCCTACGATTTTTAACGTTTCTGCACCGTTTGATTGAAAAATAGTTATCTCGTAAGCTATTTATGAAAAATTAATGAAAATTTCGAAGGAAGTTACAAAATAAAGGCAATGAGCAAAAATGATGCTAATTTGTATTATTGTTTAATAAAATAAATAAATGCCGATTTCGCCCTGTTCTCCACACGGAATTTAATTTAATTAATTAATTAAAGTTATTGGCTGTATAGGAGATGTATTTAACTAACGCATATCTTATAACATGACAATAAGAAATCGATGTTTTAAATTTGTTATTTAATTATATGTAACTTCTATGCTTTTTTTGCTTTATAGACGAATGCAAGATAAAACCGAAACCACTGCACCCCGGCGAAGTGGTGTTTTTCGTCATCCAACCGCGGTACATGAACGTAAACATCCGAATCATAGTCGACGTCACGCAGGGCAAACTAAACGTGTTCATGAGCACGCACGACGACACCTACGTCGTGCTGCCGGACTACACTACCGGCGGAAACAAGATCGAAATCGATCCGCAGTACAGCGTCTGGGAGAATGGCACCAGCAAAAACAAGGTCGAGTTTTTGGAGAAGGAGGCGCAGGGCTTAAGGACCTACATCACGGTCACCAAGCCTAATACCATACTGCTGGTGAAGAATTTGCAGGATAGGCTTGTCATTACTCTACCGGAGGTGAGTAATTTTCTTTCGTATTTTATTTTTAACATATAATATTTTAATTTTGTTTCTATAATTTATGCAGAATTTGGGCAAATACCATTACTTTTCAGCGATTACATGGTTGTTTTCAACTCCAAAACCTTAATTATTAAACGTGTTTCGACTTCAAATTCAGAAGAATGACGTTCCGTTTTTTTCTCGAATATCTCGGAAACGGTTTATTTTATCGAAGTTTGAGAGGTACACCTTTTTAATAGTATCCGAACTGATTAATCGAGAAATTGCATCAAATGTTATAAAAACCTAACCTCAAAGTTTTTATGGGACAATAAGCTTAGAGCAACGCCCGTTTCTACGACACTGTGTTCACTCAAACAATTGGATAACGCTTCCAAAAGGAACCAAGCGCCAAAAACTTTTTCTAGGCTTGGTAAAATTATTTTTAAAATAACTTATTTTTAATAATGGTCAAAAGCAGTGGCGGCTGGTAGATTTTGGGCACACCCATATCTCAGTTATTAGACATGGAACCCACATCAACTTTATATGAGTTTATAATGACAATTTCTGCACAAGCAGAATTTAAATTAAAGTTTGCGAAAAAAAGTTAGTTTTTAAGTGCAACCCCCAGCCTCCTGCCCCTCCAAATTAAGATAATTTAAATTAAAGTGGTACAATATTTAATTCACTGAAGTTTATCGACAAATTTCAAATTTTATTAAAAAAATTCAAGAATTACAGGTTTTATACCATTTATAATTTTTATTATTTCTTTTACTAAATTTAAAGAAATTATAAATGGTATAAAACCTGTATATCTTGAATTTTTCAAAATAAAATTTGAAATTTGTCGATAAACTTCAGTGAATTAAATATTGTACCACTTTAATTTGAATTATCTTAATTTGGAGGGGCAGGAGGCTGGGGGTTGCACTTAAAAACTAACTTTTTTTCGCAAAATTTAATTTAAATTCTGCTTGCGCAGAACTTGTCTATATAATGTCATTATAAACTCATATAAATTTGATGTGGGTCCCATGTCTAATAACTGAGATATGGGTGTGCCAAAATCCACCAGCCGCCACTGCTCAAAAGGTTGATCATCATTTTCTGAAAAGGATTGAGAGGGTTCCCAAATCATTATTAATTTTTTGAGCAGCATTCAAAATGAGTTATTTTGCAAATAATTTTGTTTACCCTAGAAAAAGTTTTTGGCGCTTGGTTCCTTTTCGATAAACGTTATTCAATTGTAATTATGTGTGAATATATGTATTGGTAGTAAGTGAATGTTCGCAAAATATCACCGTTCCAAGCCTACCATAGTAGAGGTTTATTAGGTATTTATTTAGGTTTTCATCTTATCTGTTCCTAAATTTATACCAATAAAAACGCAAAAAAGCTTTTTTCCACCACTTAAAGTTTATGTAAAATTATAGTATTTCTGTGCAACTACAATAAGTAGAAATCATGGGGTTGTCAAGGAAAAAAAATAGGCATTGTTAAAAGTAAAAAAATATAGGTTAAATTCGGTTAAATGAAATTCTGAAATTTTGTCTCGCTTATGAATATTTTTAGAAAATTATTCCTTGAAATGTAATTTTTCTTTTAGTTTTAATGAAATTTTAAACCAGGGGCGAACGTAGCGAAGGTTTCGATTATGGGGGGATTTTCATTAAACAAATTGAATTTAAAATGTAAAGGAATACGTTAAAATTATTGCATAATTTTTGATGCAATAATTTTTTTTTTTCGATGGCTTATAACATTTTTATAAGCCGCGCGAATTTGCGATGAAATAAATTTGTCTGAAGATCAGTGGCGTAGCTACAACATTTTTCGCCCGGGGCAAAGAATAATCCATTATATAAATTCTGTAAAATGTATGACTTTTCAAAAGTTTGGCTTAAATAAAGTAAAGTTTTTAAGTCTTCATTATTTACTTTTCCGACTAAAAAATTTTACTGACATATTCAAATTTACTTTAGCAGCATCAAAATATTTTGTTTGTAAATAAAAAGAAAGCCGAGTTTCTGGAAAATCACTGAAAGTTGTGTATTTATTGTTTAAAATTACTACTAAACCATGTCATCTTTTCCGATTTTCCATGTAAAAGACGAGAATTTGCCCGATAATCCTTATAACCCTTCAGTATATTCAAATCGATTAGCTGCACTCGGCATTAGTCAGCAGCTAATAAAACTTTCGAAAATCCCAGAAAAATGAGGACCCGAATTCACTATCATATCTTATTATAATAATTTTCGGAAATCACGATTTTTTTTTCATAATCGCCGAATTTGGGTATTGAAAATATTGGAGTAAATAACCGATCGGTACTCCCCTAAGTAAAACCTAAAAAGTTATTCTAGACCAACAAAAACACAATTTGGAATATATTTTTTGTTAAAGTACAAAGCAAATTCTTGGAATGTCAAAAACACAAGTGTTCAGAATTGGAATTTTAAAATCTTATTTAAGAAGCTTGACTAATGTTAGTTAATAATATCAAAAACACAAGTGTTCAGAATGTGACCAAAAACAGCGAAAATGGCGCACTAACGGGGGGTGGATATTTTAATTATACAAAAAAATTCTGACAAGTAGGTTTGGCGTTATTAGGCATTTAAGTTAAAAAAAATTCGGCAATGCTAGCAGCTGTGTTGTATTCCCAAGGGGTCGTCCCTGTTTTATTCTTTTTTTTTTCAAAATTTGGTTAAATTGTATAAATTACATAAAATATTTATGATAAAAATATTCACTTTTTGTCCTATAAACATTTTTTGAAGAGTTGATTAGTTGAATTAGTAAAATGACATTTTTATTTAGTGTTGGAAATTATTTATAAACCATTTTTATTAAAAAGTTAAATTACCATTTATCAAAAAAGTCAGTTCACAAACTAAAAATATTTAAAAAAAAGAATAAAATGCAACCATTTCAATGTTGACGAAATTTCGTTACGCACCAAAAAGGACACAACAATTCCTGGAAATTTTGCTCCCAACCCAAAAATGTTAAAAAAATTAAATAAAATGCAATATTTTTCCGATTGGCAGTTCTTAATAAAACTTTTTTGTTCATAACAAAATAAAATATACAATTTGTAAGTTTAAAAAAAAAATTGTTCATGCAGCAAAAATGCCAAAAAATGTTTGCCAAGTTTGCTTTCTGGAGTTGTTTAAAAAAATAATAAAATGTAATTATTTTAAGGTTGGTTTATAACAAGATAAAATATACCGTTTAATAAAAAAATATATTCACGCCATAAAAATGCCACAATAATTTTTGCAAAGGGTATTTCCATTGTAACGGGTGCGACACTAAAATTGCGTTTTTTCATGATAATAAAGTATTTGTTCATATATATCAAGATACGTTAATATAAAAAAATATTATAAAAATTTAGGTATTTAACTCAAACAAAATGTCAATAAAAATAAAGAAAACCTTTTATAACGTCATGAATAGCGTAACGGGCGCGACCTTAGAAAATCGACAACAAAGTTGGCTTCTAAAGTTGATACTGTAAAATTTTGGATGAAAGCATATGGTAATAATTTTTTGTGTAAAACTTGAATACTAAACTTAAACAAGCACGTATTTTAAATGCACAAAAATTGCATACTTTATTTTCTAAAATTTTCTTAAAATGTAACGGGTGCGACATTTGAACATTTTATCGAGTACGAGAAACTTTTCCGTGTTTATTCTTAATGTTAGCTTCTCAGCATCACAATGTACGAATATTTTAAGGTTATAAATTACGTCGCAATTAAACTATATAGTTATATATTTGACTTCAGATACACATTTTATTTTTTGTCAAGGTGGGGTAAGGTTTCGTGGAAATACCCCAAAGTAAAAAATCTAAAAAAACATTATATTTTTCTCAACGTTGACAGTCTCTAATAAAACTTTTAAGTCGTTTTTTCGCGTAAATACCATGAAATACTATGGTTATTAAACTTAACCTTGGTTAATAGTTAAGGCATTTTTGCGTTTAGAGTGCGTTCAAAAATCCTAACTATGACGTCACAAATACCAGACCATAAAACTATATTGCTGAGCTAGTTATTCAACGTGGTTAATAGTGTTTCCCTTTTTAATGTATATATTTTTTTGTTTCGATCTGTCAAAAATTTGTTTACATTTGAAATTTAAAATATTTTAAGTAGGTACAATTGCTCTTAAACCGAATTTAAACTTTGTATTAAAATGGTAAACGGGGTGTTGTCAGTAAAAATAGATGATAGGGTGCTCCATATTGTGGAATCTCCACAAGTGGAGGAATTATATGCAGGTTTGTTTTATATTCTTCCTTATTTTGTAATAAACATGTAGGATAACGTGTATTGAAAAAACTAGTACCTATAGAAAAAGAATATACTAGGTATAAGAAGAGGCAAAGAAATTTATTTACACCGGTAAAAGCATAGAAATTAAATATAAATAGGTAAAAACACATTTCAAAAATTATAGGTTATGAACAAGTAAACAAAATTTGTTTAATGTCAAATGTTAGAAACCTAACCATGGTTATATGAATTAACTGTGACGTCATGACTTATTTAACCGTAGTATTACATAGTATTTACGCGAAAAAACGACTTTAGTTTATGCAAATAATTTCGTTTACACACCAAAAAGGCCACAATAATTATATTAGAATTTGCTTCTATACACCAGAAATATTTTTGTGTTATTTTTTTTGCTGTTGGCAGTTCTTGGTAAAATAAGAATTAATATGTTGTAATAAAGTATGTTTTGAGAATAATTTTTCCCCAAACAAAATTATACTATAACAAGCACCAATTTTTGATGAAAGGATTTTTTTAAATATTCTGTAGGGCTGTATAATAATAATATTATTTCAATATTGCACATAAAAAAGTATATATACCTAAATGTATATAATATCTTACATAAATACAATTATTTGTATATAAAAATATAACAAAATAAATATAATTCCAAAAATCATAACGAAATTTTTAGCATATTGATATTTCTTTGAGAATACAAAATATAGTCTGTAATTAATATAAAAATTCGACTTATGGACAGTAAAACATGGACGTTAGTTTTCCATTTTTGGGACACATAAGTAGTATTTATTAAATACATTTAAGAATTTCAAAAATTTTGACTCAAAATCCATTTTTTGAAAACAAGATTACCTATAGATTCAAATGTTTAGTTTTACATCAAACATGATTTCAACAATGAACTCATTGGTCTCAGTAAATTATTTTTTCACCCCTATGGACACCACTTTGGATTTAAACTTATTCCCTATTATTTTCTAGGAACATCACACCTTAGTGACAGCAAAATTCTTCCTCGTCCTTCAAGCGCTCGAGCCCACTCATCTGGACAAAAAGGTATCGTACGGCATCGTGTTCTCGCGCCAGGATCAGCTGCACATCGACCTGTTCGTCTTCTTCTCCGTCTTCTTTTCCTGCTTCTTCTTGTTCCTGGCCGCGTGCGTGATCGCGTGGAAAGCGAAGCAGGCGGCGGACGTAAGGCGCGCGCGCAGAAGGCACGTAGTCGAGATGCTGCACATGGCCAAGCGGCCCTTTGCCACCGTTACAGTTAACTTGAACAACGGTAGAACAAAAACGAAGAAAAATACTCATTTCGATTTGCGACCCGTCGCTGTCGAGCCAACAGGTAAGAAAAACCTACTTATTTGTTAAATTTTGTTTCAACCGGTGTTTAAAAAACAGTTTTTTTTATATCTTGGGAGAAAAAACGGAAAAACGACGAAGACGAATAACTAATTATTAATATACTAGTTGATTTACAATTCTTCATTACTTAATTAATGAGAGTGGAGGATGAATATGAAGAAGGGGCTGAAGCATATAAAGTTAATATATCTGATTCAAAATTATTTTCAAGTTTTAATAAATGTTATTCTTGTTTATCAGTTTCTTATAAATAGAATCTATAGTTTTTCCTCTTTTGAACAAATATTTTTTTTTGTTAAAAATGCATTACAATTTTTCTTTTAAAAATTTCCGGTATATTAAAACCAGAACCAGAAAATTTTTTATGGTTTTTTTAGAAGAAAACACAAAATGCAAAACAAATAATGATTTAACACCTTTAATTAATAATTTAATGATAAAAGTGATTACGGTACATTTTAAGTGTCTGAATCATTTTTAAAAGTAAATTAACTTAATAATGCGTAACTCGTATTAATAATCCAGAGCAAACTTCAAATATCACCCAACGCCGGTGAAGGGTCTACTGCTGAATTACGAAAACCACTTCTCCCACTCTTAAAAACCGAATGCGGCATGTCTACATGTAAAATGAAAGTACGGTTTATGTACGTGATTGTACAGTTCAGAAACACCCTTCATCAAGCCAAATCCGAAAACACTCGATTAAAAAAATTACGTCCACTTACACTTTTGGAAACATTTGCTCCTTTCAAACATCGGTAATTCGGTTTCGTACCGTGATATTGTCTAGTACGATATTCTAGGGTACTTCAAATACTGTACTGACATTCGATTTTTTTTTCCGCGTTTTGGGATTTTCAACCACTGTGCCTTGCTTGGAAAAGAAGCTATTAACATAAAATGATATAAAAGAAAAATATTCGATTCAAAATTGTTCGGTTTTTAATAAATTTAAAAACTGTTCATTTACTATTTTTTGTACTTTTTTTCAGGAGATGGACTAGCAGCTGTTGCTACAGTTCTAGTAAGTCTGCCAGGAGGAAATAATCCTTCAGTGAAGCTTGCCATAGCTTCCTCCCTAATTTTACTTGCCAGACAATTTCCCAATGGAGGGAGAATATTTTTGAGGCGGCGGTCCATACACGCCTCGCCCCCTACCTAATTATATCCTAGGTGTAATTTATTATGAATTGTTATTAGTTGTTAATATAAAACTCAAATAAACCAATTTTTATAAAAAAATAGATTTTTTTAAAATTTTAATATTACTTTACAACCTTCTTGACATGGGTATCAAATGAAAGGGTAAGTGGGTAACTTTTAAACTTTAAAAAACTTCAAAATTTCCAAAATATTCATATTTCCCACACTATGCTTGTACCAGCCAAATGTTTACACATCCTTTGTGACTATAATTCTTCTTAATGGTTTTATTTAATTACCATTTTTTGTATGATTGCAAATTATTTTAGGAACACAATAAAAACAAAAAATACATTTTTACACAATAAAAACAACAAATGTATTTGTGAAAAGGTTTATTTACAAAATTAAATAAAATTATTGTACATCCCTTGAAACGTTCTCATTCAAAGGATTCTTATGGTCCATCATATTTGGTCTGATTTCATAATTACAAATAGTAACACCATGGTGATGGGCCTCAAAAAATTCACCTTTAAGACCTATGTAAGCTAACCTTGTCACATCAGCTCCAAAATTGCTGGGAAAATGCAATGATAGGTGGTGTACATTGTTAAAAGTAACAACCCTTAAAACAGGTTTATATTATCAGATAAAGGTTAATATTAATTTAGTTACTTAGTTGCATATTCTAAAAGGCCCTGATTGTCCTGGGATATCTCAAATTCCTGGTCAGGTTTGGATGAGACATCGTCAAAAGTCATATTTGGTCGGTTTTTGAACCTATAAAGATGATTTTGGATGCTTAAAAGGATTCTCTAAGTTTAGGGACAATTTTTTGTAGCAAATTTTATATTTTTTAATATAATTAATGCACAAAATTTAGTTATAACTTTTATATTTAATCCAATTTTTTTTTAAATTGTTACTCAAAACAAATTTTACTATGCTCTTCCATTAATGTTAATAAGTATAATAATAAGTAGTAGTAGTAGACTAATGCTACTACTAGTAGTTACTTACAATCTAACCCTGTTGGGAAAATTATCAGCTTCTTCCCCAGCAATTATAATTCCTTTTAACTTAACATTACCAACAAACGGTATATTAAACAACAACTCTTGGTCAGCATCTGATTCAACAAACTAAAAAAATACAGTAGATAACACAGGCCATAGATAACACAGGCGGTGTTAACTCCCCAGTATTGTCATAAATATGATGTCATCTCAGGTCACACAAGATATAGGTTAACAATTATATACAGAGTGTCTCAAAAGTCAAGGACAGCAGGAAAGGGGTGGAAAGAGGGTGGGATTTTAAGTCTAATATTATTTCGATCAGAAGCACCATTAATTAATTATAATAATATAGTCACGGCCAAATCTGTATGGGTGCACGTCATCAACGGCATATGACGTCAGCGTTAAGGTCTATTCATACGTGCCCAGACACAATCTAACGCTCGTGTATTGTTGACTCCCAACTAGCATTTTTATATTTTATAATACTTGCCAAAACGCTTCCTACACAAAAATTATAAAACAAACATTACTCTCAGAAACGTTTTTAAAATGTTTATAAGATAGCTATAAATGTAAAATTGGCACCACTTTATAAAAATTTCAGTTTTGGTTAGTATTTTGTAAAAGCTTTTGGAAACATAATAAAATTATTTTATAAACATTTCGGCAAGTCTTAGAAAAACTTTACAAAAGCATTATAAAACAGTTTTGTTAAAGCTTTTTATACTGCGCTATAAAATATACTTTACAAAAGTATAAACATTTCTATAAAACAACTATACAATTTTATAATAGCTTCATGAAAATAATATAAAATAAAAATGCATATTGGAATTACAGTAACAAAATAAAAAGGTTTTTTAAAGATGTTCTGAATGCTGCAATTGAGGCCGAGGCGATTAGCAAAGAAGCCATTTTAATAATACCTTAAACACTATATCTATTATTTGGAAACTTTAATTGTGCTACAGGGATAGACATTTTTGATACCAAGGAAATTTTATTGAGAAATATATAGGATATTTCTAACAAAATTTAAGTGCGCCCCGTATTTTCAAGTGTTTTAGGAAATTTTTTTAAATAACAAAAAAACTAGCTTCCTCGCTATGATAATTTTATACAGAAAAACTTAAACCGATTGGTTGTAGAGGTAACTAATAATAATTTTTATGTATTTTACCTACTGCAAGTGTCATTATACGTGTGATATTTAGTATTTTAAATTCAACTTATTTAGATTCCTTGGGGTACACCCATTTTAAAATGGCGTTTTTCTATAAAATAATTTACTTTTAGGCGCAACCATTATAAAACAATTTAAACTACTAGGCAATCTTTATAAAACATTTTGTGTAGGCTAATGATACATATTGTCACAGGGTCGGAGTTTCTGAAATTTCTTTTCGCACTCGAATATTTTTAGAAAATTATTAATTTTAAAAATACTCTCAAACTTTTTTCTGTTTAAGGGCTTCAAAAATAGGCAAAAAATATTGGGTGGACCATAAAAACATTAAAAAAACATGAAAAAAGTTTTAAGAGGTAAAAAAAGAAGCTTAAAGAGGTAAAGTGGTACTTTATCTCGAGATAAAGTACCACTTAACTTCCGCTAAACTTTATAATAACGAAAGTGCTCAACAATAAATTAGCCCTTAACTAAACAAATAACGCCGACAAATTTCATCAAAATTGAGTAAAGGATAATCAAGATATACCTATTTAATAAGATAGAATTTTTTTTTTAACACCCTCTGTATCTTGAAAACTAAGCACATTTCCTAAGTTAGTAATCTTAGGAATCCTAACCCATGTTTACATTGATTTTTCATCTTAAAATCATCTAAAGAATTAGCCTAATGAAGTTTGAACATTTACTTAATTAACACCCTGTAGAGTAGTTATAATTAACTCCCGAATTTACTTTTCTTGCTATAGTTTTTTTTTATAAAAGAGGTAACAAGTTATTAACGATTTGATCAAAAATAGAAAAAAAAAATTTTAACAATAAAAATACGTAAAAAGTATACTTTCTATAGCAAAAATTGTATGACACCGCGAGTGCGCGCCCTCCTCTACTGTAGGTCTTAGGCGAGGGGTCACCCACACCTGGGAATCCCTGGACATTTTAGAGGGGGAATACCATAGGAATACAATGGAAATACATAGGAATACAATAAAATATAATGGGAATACTTGGGAATCCCTGGACGTTTTCCCTTTGGGTGGTTGACCCCTCGGTCTTAGGTAAAAATTAACATCAAAAATGGATTCCTCGACCATATTGTTAAAATAATTTTGAAAAATTAACATGGATTTATAAAATTTTACATAATTTTTTGGTACCAACTCTAAATATGAGGCGTGATCCAAAAAATCCCTGACAGGGTTTTGTTGTAGAAGCTATTAAATTTCATTTGCTTTTTGTTTCAAACCATTCCCTTTTGCACTGTGTTATTATAATACAATACTTAATAGCTATATAAGCGAGAATAAAATTATTTTTAAAAATTCGAAAAGCGTTATAATACCGCCCTGTTCCCAAAATATTTAAAAAAACCGAAACATGGTGAAAAAAACTTTGTCTTGTTTATAGTAATAAGAGAGCCTATATTGCTAAATGGCAACTTTTTTGCTACCTCGCGACTTTTTAGCGACTCTAATAAAACATATTTGTTGCCATTGATACATTTTAACACCACACGCCACTTTTATACAATCATTGCGGTGCAAATAAGAGTGCCTATATTGCTAACTGGCAACTTTTTTGCGAACTCGCGACTTTTTGGCGACTCTAATAAAACAATAAAATGTTATTAGTACTGACACTTTTTGGCAACTCTAATAAAACATATTTGTTGCTATTCATACATTTTAATACCACAGGCGATTTTTATACGGTCATTGCCGAGCAAATAAAAGTGCCTATATTGCTAACTGGCAACTTTTTTGCTAACTCGCGACTTATTGGCGACTCTAATAAAACAGTAAAATGTTACTAGTACTGACACTTGTGAGGTCTGAAGCACTGTTGTTAAAATTGGTAGATTCCTGCTTTATGTTTAAATGATCCGTTTTATCATTGTCGAAACTGGAATCCTTATTATCACTACTGATAATTTTTTCGTAACATCTTTTTAATCTTCTGCGGAAGGCGCCACTTTTCTTTTTTTTCCCACTGTGATAATTGCGACATTTTTATTTATGAAACATTGAACACACTGAACTAATGAAAATTATGTACTCCACATCAGCTAATTCAACATAAATTTGTTTTATTGTAATTAGCGATATCAAAATGATAACTATTTAGTTTTATAAGAACTTTGTTATTGCTTTTATATTGTAACCCAAATAACATATGTTATATAATATAAAGCAGTTTTATATTGATTACTAAAGAAACACTTTACTTGAAGAAACGAAATAGTTCTCATTGATACTTTAATATAATTGTTTTATTAAAGCTATAAAACGCGACTATAAAATAGTTTTATAATATATTTATAAGAGTCTTAATATTATCGTCAAAATTTACTAAAAACAATTATAAAACAATTTTATTTTATAGGTTTGACTTTTGTATTAGTTTTATTGTGTTGCTCATAGAAACGTTTTTACGATAAATTTATAAAACATTTCATTTTTAACAACAGAATAGAGTTCATCACTTCTCTTATAAAATTAATTAGTATTTTGGAAGTAATAATAAAATAAGAATAAAATAAAACAGCCGCAGTGCGATGAAATTATAAAATTACTTTGCTGGTTGGGCTGTTTATAGCGGTGGGGGCTGTTATTAAGATGGAATTATAACGTCCTTGTTATAATCTTCTGCACTAACTAATTAGGAGTTTGTTACAGGCAAATTTTTATTAAATGTGTTTAAAGAGAAAACAAACGGAGTTTATTACATTTTTATTACATATGCACATAACAAAAAAATACTAAATTATCAGAAACACAAAAATAATAAATTACCAGTCGTCCTTGTCATCAGAGCAAACCAGGTCAGAATTGAAGTCTGATTATTTCCCCAAATTTATTATTAAGGGCGCAATCTCTTCGAAATCTAATAACGGCTAGTTGCCAACAAGCCTTATATCATTGTTTGCACAATCCAGGGATAGAATCTTATAAACATAATGTATAATATTATTTATAATAATTTGCAACAAACGATGCTTCCGGACGAAATGTCACAATTACAAAAATACGTCAAATATAAAATGACAGCGACCCATCAATAATATTGAACGGTGCGCGCCAGCCTTAAGCTATTACCAACTGGCACACACAAAAATTACTAAGTGAATGGTTTTATTTTGATAATTTCGTGAAAAAACGTTTTAAAACAAGGAAATTGTTACAGTTCTTGATAAACAATACGCAAATGAATGATTTCTTTTTAATAACACATCAGAATTACGCCTTAAAAAAGCAAATTTAACGGCAGTAACTTTACAATTCAAAGTTGGTAATGCTGACGTCATTATATCTCATTGATGACGTGCACCCATATAGATTTGGCCGTGACTATAACATAAAGTAGCCAATCACAGGCGTGTTTTAGCAGAATGATTAGAGGTCGGAGACTAATATTAGAAATTCTATATAAAATCGTAGTGTAAAATGACCCTCATTATATGTTTAACATTGCCACTGTCAGTGTTTTAGTTTTTAGGTTAGTTTTAACTTAAGACATTCTTTTTTTAGCGAAAATTGGTGGCCCTAATACAGATTAATAATTGTTTTAAACGTTGTGTTTCTTACAGAGCCGCTTGTAAGCCTAAAAGTGCTAAGAACAACCGTTTTACTCCTCTTTTGGTAAAACCTTATTCTATCAGGGCTGTCATTAAACTGTCAAATTTCAATTTTAAGGTTAATTTACCATAACATACAAATTTAAATTTGATAGTTTGATGACAGCCCTGATAGAATAAGGTTTTTCTACTCCTATTACGGAATTTGACCCTTCTAATATCACTTTTATCTATGGAATGACATATATTGCGTAAAGTGTTACAGAATAAAATATTCATATGATGACAGAATAAACACTCGTGGCGACATCTCTGTTTTTAATATCTAACAAATTTAAGACCGATCCAACCTCACTTTCTTCAAATTAAATTATTTTTCTATGGTATTTTTTGGAAACGTAGAAAAAGTATAGTCTGAAACACGTTTGAAATTGCATATTCCGCTCTCGTGAAACCGTCAAACTCGCCTTCGGCTCGTGTGACAAACTCTTCACTCGAGCGGAATATGCTGTATTCCAAACTTGTTACAGAATATACTATTAAAATGGTTGTTCTTAGCACTTAAAGGCCTCATTTGAGGCTTACAAGTGCCTCTATAAGAAACAACGTTTAACAATTTTTAATGTGTATAAAAATAAAAAAGGCCGCCGTTACATTTTTGGATTGTGATTATTACATTTTCATTCAATTATCTCTAATTAAAAATAATGTTAAAATTAATTATTATTAATATTAATAAAATAATTATTTTAACTTATTTAAAGTATACCCATACTACCATATTTAAAGTATACCCATACTACCATATTACCTTGTATTAACTTATACTATAACAAAAAGAAAAGGTATTTCTATTTGTTCCTAGAGATGCGACTTGAAAAAAAAACGGTCCGTTTTTTTTATTTTTTTTTTCAGGTTTTTTTTCATTGTTTTTTTTCAAATGGTTTTTTTTTACATTTTAGTTTTTTTTTTTAAATTAGTCCCATTTGCCCAATTTTTTGTTTCCATGGACTAAAATTAGCCACTAAATGACAATTAGTAAATGTAAATACAGTCTCGCGCTTTGCACGCGCCACCACCACCAAATTGACCAATAAGGGCCGCGCTTGTTTTGATTTGGTCCTAAAAAAAGTAACTACATATAATATTTTTGATTCAGCGCTTGATTTTTCAAAAAGCTACCAAAAGCACTTTATTCATGATTTTTCAAATTCATGTAGAGTGGAATTTTTTTTCAAAAAAACAATAGCAAATTCTTGTAGAAAATTTATTCATTGGTGGTTAAGTCAGAACATTCCGTGGACCAAAAAAAGAAAGCAAAAAATATCGATTTTTTTATTACGGTATTCGTTAGGAATAAGCGTTGCACGTTTTTCATCTAAAAATCTCAATACTAGAAACTTCAAGCTTCAATTTTTTTTTCAATACGACCATTTTTAACAAAGATTTTTTTACCTTTTTTTTTGTATAAGTGTAGAAGTTTTACATTGCTATTGGTTTCTAATGTGAAAACTACCAAATAATAAGAAATCAGATTTTTTAGTCTTGGACAAAATTTTCAATAATCAAAAATGTAATATATTCTACATTTTACTTTATTATTAATATACATTTTACTCAAAATTTCATTTTGAAAAAAAAACAAAAAAACCCGTTTTTTTCTAGTTTTTTTTTCATGTTATTTTTCACATCTGAAAAAAACCGTTTTTTTACATCTCTATTAGTTCCACACAAAAAATGAACATTACTCCTGAACCAAAAAAACCAAAACCCTGACAGTGACAGGGAAAATAAAATTAAGGTTATTTCCCAATATTATACGTTCATAGCCGTGGAATCTCTACAAAACTTTGTGATGTCCCACCTCTAATCATTCTGCTAGAGCACGCCTGTGATTGGCTACTTTATTTTATTAATAACTTATTAATTAATGGTGCGTCTGATCAAAGAACGGCAAAGACTATTCGCCTTAGAACCCCACCCTCTATTCACCCCTTTCCTGCTGTCCTTGACTTTTGAGACACCTGTATATGTATTATTTTAAAAAATACGACGAAATTAACCTTAAACAGATTAAACCTCAATTTTTTTAAATGGCAACACCCTCTTGGTATTACCTCATTGGAAAGCTCTTAAAAATTGCTATTTATCAGTACAAAAAAATACTTTTTATGGTTTAATGGTTTAATTTTTGAAAAATAATTTTAATAATTATTTATTACAATTAAACTATTAAATATGAAATTAAACCATTTTGTTGTTATAAGAACATTAGTAAAAAACACAAAATAATTTTAACAAAAGTACCTATAATAAACTAAAAAAGTATAAATTAACAAATTCTTCTACAATTATAATTTTTAGCTTTTTTAAATTAAATGCTCAAAATGACTTTCATTATTTTGTAAGCAATAGTACAGCCTATTCTCAAATTCCCTTCAAACAATTTGAAACGTTTGTAGTGGAATAGTTTGGCATTCTTGAACTATTCATTGTCTTAATTTTTAGTACAAAAAATCCGTATATGGTATTATGTTTAGAAAATAAGACGAAATTAGCTTGACACCGACAGAAAATTTACCTTTTTTATTTGTATCAAAGTCCCGTGGTGGGACTACTATGGTAGATGTATGCCTAAATGAACTCACAAAAGATCATGGATTCAATATAAATTCATGAATGTGGTCTGTACACATTGTTCTTGCAAAGTACCTTAGAAAACTTAATGTAAACTCTGCAGCAAAATATATTCATTTATAGCTGTTGACCAGTGTAATTGTTCAAATATAACAAAATAAACTTATAACTTACAACTTCAAAATTAAGCCTATCCTCCCATGGTTTGAATACAGTTTTTCCAGACCCTTCAACGGCTTCGTTTAGGCATTCCAAATTTTCTGTATTTATTTTTGAATACAGACTGTATTCAATTCCCATTTCTGGATTGTCATGTTGATGATTATGATCTCCATTACAGTTACCATGTGGGGGCATAATGCATAAATTAAATGTTATGCAAAAGAACTTTAATTATTGTAAACAAGAAATAAGGTAAAATTCTTGAAAATTCAAAATATAAATATCACTTTGACGTTTAAAGTTTTAGTTTTTAGTGTGGTAGACATGATTTTACACTGTCCAACAAAATAATAATGTAACTTATTGTACGCAATTCAGTTTACAACTTGAAATCTGAGTTGCCTACTTACAGTAGCATGGTAGCGCTGTCCCTGTCGCTCCGTATGACGTCATGCTTGTCAAACATATCCACTTGTTCCAATGTAAGGTAATGTACCCTTTTGTATGTAAATCCTTGTATGTAAATCCTTTTTTTATAATGTAATTTTAGGGATAGCGTTCGCGTTTTATTATACAACTAATTGTGAGAAAATTGATTTGAGGTACGTATTTGTATTTTGTCATTGGGCCAATGTAGGTATTTTTTAAACTATATAGGTAACTAGCAGCGAAAATAAAATAATTATCGTTTTTTGTTATGGTTATTATTTTAAAAAATAATAGAAGTAATAGTTATTTATGTATTAAGGGCATAATAAGGTTTTTATGGTCCGAGGCGCTATTTCGAGCCCGAGCGCGTTAGCGCGAGGGCTAGAAAAGCGTCGTAGGACCATAAAAACCAGTTATGCCAGCAATGCATACAAAACTTTATGCACGATTAATATATTAAATATTTTTAATATATTATTGTTTTTAAAGACGTTTACGTCAAAGAATTTTTGTTATAATTGTCATATTATAATGTCAACTGACATCAGTCAGTTTTAAAGTTTAAAGATAAATGAAATTGAGGAAGCAGCTGAAAAGGCGAAAAATTGCGGCCTGCTGCCGGTAAAATCAAAATCTTTATACGAAAAAACTTACTTCGAATATATCAAATGGTGTAACATTGTTGTTTTTAATTTTTGACGTTTCATTATAGCCCGCTGGGCCATAATAAAGCCCGCGGGCTATAAAAAGACGTTTACGTCAAAGAATTTTTGTTATAATTGTCATATTATAATGTCATCGTGCATAAAAGTTATAAACACGAGAGGTTGTAGAACAGTTTTAAAAAAAAAATATTTTTATTTAGGCTTTTGAATTATCCAACTTGTTCTGTTTTTACATAAATCTTTTTATCTCCGTTTTATGGCCGGATTTAAATTTTTAATTTAATTTTAACAATTTTTGTGCCGGCAATGGATAATTATTTGCTCTTAAATATCTGTAAGCTTTTGGGCTTACACTCCATAGTGAAAAGGCTGAAGCAATATCTTCTGTGGACCAGCAAACCCTCATGTTTTTCTTTGAGTTTAACAACGTTTTTATTTGCCCCGGTGTAAACACTTTTGCTAAAATATTGTTATATTTTTCATAAGTAGTTGATTTAATTCCTTCGATTTCCTTCAAAAGATCTTTGTTCTGTGATTCCAATATCTTTACTTTTTGTCTGAGCTTAAGTAGTTCAGAGTGATCTCTCCTGGAAACAAAATAAGTCTGTAACTTAAAACTCCACATAACAATACATTCATATTTATATTAAGTTTTACAAAATAATATAAAAATACTATTTTTACTAAGATACAAAAATTCACAATAACCACATCAAAATATTGCAATATGTAGTGCTATAAACTTACTGATAGTTTTGTAATGTTAAACTTAATTCTTGTTTGACACGTGTTGGAAGCTCTGACTCCTCAGTAATTGTTTCAGTGTTATGTGCTTCTAATATACAATTGAAAGTATTGGCTGATGACTTTATGATATCTTCAACCTCTCCTCTACGTCTTCTTTTTGTGGTCCTTAGTGTTCTTTCTTTAGATTTCTGCTTTTGAGCAGTATCTAATGACCCTCCAGGTAAATTTAAAGTAGGTACTGCCTCAGCCTTTAAATTACGAGCATTCTTGGGGGAGTAATTTAAAAGCCTTTGTTTTAAAGGAATTTCAAAATACTTTTCCTCAAAATGTATTGAGCAGATAGTTGCTAAAAAAAGTGAAATTTACCAAAATGTGAACCTCATATAATGAGAAAACGTGCATTCTTTCTACGGTGTTAAATAAGTACTATACAGGGTGTTCCAACGAAAACTTGTACCTCCCCAAACGTTTTAACGGGTGAATGTGGCCAAAGTTCTTTGGACACTTCAATTTTTATTTCTGGGGGGACGCTTCACGCCCACAAAATTTTTTTAAACCAATATATATATATATATAGGCTACCTTGATTAGCCTGCTCTAATAGGACAAAAGTAATCGACAGTAACTACCCGGACAACAATCGGTATTTCCTGGTGAAGTCATGATGATATCACAACGTGATTTTTTTTATCACGCTGTGATATCCTGAGTGCATACACATGCTTCATCACAGTGATATCATGTAGAACTCACGGTGTGATATTTGCAAAATTTGCGCATGCGTGTGAGCTCTGCAAACTGCGAATTTGTAACCTAGTTTTTTATTCACATTACACCGTTATAATTTATAAAACGTTGTTTGAATATCACGAATGTTGTCTGGATAACATTCTTGATATTCATACGAACATCATGGCGTGATTTTCACAAATTTTATTCATACTGATATCATACGGAAGTCACCGCGTGATAAATGAAAATCATACGAACGTCACGTCGTGATTTTCACAGATTTTATTCATACGGACATCATCCAGATGTCACTGCGTGAGAAATGAAAATCATGTCGTGATTTGTTATGCCATCACTGTTTGCGATTGACCGATAGCCTAAAAAATCACGACATGATTTTTTATGCAATCGGTCTTTGGGCATAAAAAATCACGACATGATTTTTTATGCCATCGGTGCACCGACATGTTTGGATATTTATTTTTGCGCCACATTGAAAGAAAAAGTATGTTAACAATTGAATTACCAGTTTTTGCGGTCAAATACATTTAATATTTTCTTGGATGTAAATTAACTAATAATTTTAATCCAAAAAAATATTGAATGTATTTAACAACAAAAACTGTTGATTCAATATATATGTAGGAAGGTATACTTTTTCTCTCAATGTACGAATGTGGCGCAAAAATAAATATCCAAACACCAATGGCATAAAAAATCACGACATGATTTTTTATGCCATCGGTGTTTGGTCATAAAAAATCACGACATGATTTTTTATGCCATCGGTGTTTCGATATTCATTTTTGCGACACATTCGTACATTGAAAGAAAAAGTATATTAACAATTGAATCAACAGTTTAACATTCAATATATATAGTTAATTTAAATCCAAGAAAATATTGAATGTATTTAACCGAAAAAACTGTTGATTCAACATAATTTTTCTCTTAGTGTACGAACGTAGCGCAAAAATGATTATCCAAACACCGTTAGCATAAAAATTCACGACATGATTTTTTGTGCCATCGGTCAATCGCAAAGAGCGATGGCATAAAAAATCACGACATGATTTTCATTTCTCACGCAGTGACATCCGGATGATGTCCGTATGAATAAAAATTGTGAAAATCACGACGTGACGTTCGTATGATTTTCATTTATCACGCGGTGACTTCCGTATGATATCAGTATGAATAAAATTTGTAAAAATCACGACATTATGTTCGTATGAATATCACGAATGTTGTCCGGGTATAGTTACCTATACACCTAGAGGTGCTTGAATATACAAAAAATACTGTTCCCAATACACTTCTAAAAAGTAAATTTGCACTTTCTAAAGTTTCTCAAGACACAATTAATAGCAGAAGATTATCTATGAAGATCAAGCTCATAAAAATTAAGCTATTTACTAGGTAACACCAGGAAGGGAAAGCATATATGCTTTCCCTTCCTTCCTTTTATAAAAGGACGGGACCAAAAAAAAATCGTATTTTAAAGCCTGTAAAATAAAATTAGATTGATTTAGCCTAATCACAACCCTTGCGTCACATCAATAGATCCCTTCGTTACAAAAGAAAATAGTTACATCAACAGATGTTCAACTACGAAACCACCAAAATAGTTACATCAAGAGATGTTTAACTAATGTTTAGAAAAGTAATGAAACAAAAACAACTGTCTTCAAAGAAGATTCAGCTGCGCCCCCTAGCACTACACTTAGTTGCGCCCCTTAGTACATAGCTTAAGCTAATTAGCAGCTAATTAGCTGCCACCATAGACGTGATTTAGCTTTGTCCTTCTAGTACATTACTCCTTACATGTTTCGAAGTTAGCAAAAGAAAATTTATCTATATGGGTCATTTCACGTCAAATTTACCGTCAAAATTTAAATTTGTCTGAAATATTTTTTTTTTCGTTTACGACACCAAAAAAAGTGACACGTATTTTTTTGTTTCAAAATTTTATGAATTTTGTTAAAGTTACGATTTTTTTAAATTTCAGTACCAGAAAAAAAGAATTTTAAATATTAGTTTTTGAATAGAATAAGATTTAATAAACTTTAATTTTTTTTTGACCTAATTTTAAGGTTATGCATTGTTTTAAATATTTAAATTAAAAAAAAAATAATATTGTTTTTAATTCAATTTTTTTAAGAAAATTTTAAAAATTAATAAAAAAAAATGAAAATCGACATTTTTTTTTTAAATTTTTAAAATGTGTATTAACTTGTCAAAGTTTGCAGAACATTGTATAAAAATTTCAGAATGGACCGTTTAATATCGTAATATTAATAATTTTAGATATCCGCGTTCTTAAAATGAAAGCTGTTACAGAGACATATTTAGGATATCGCAAAATATTGACGATTAACATTCAAAATTACGAACAGAAATTTGAAATTTTACCATTTTATATTTTTTAATGCAATATTAATAAAAAATTATATTCCTTAAAATGGTTAAAGTGATAAGCTAATAAACTTTATTTATTTTCTTTGGGGGCAGGAGTAAAACACAAGCCTATAAAGCAAATTTCATAAAATACCTAGTTTTAAATTTTTTTTAAATATTTTATTCTAAAATAAAACTAATTTATTGTCCCCTGGATTTTAAGTTTAATATTGCTTAATAAATGTCTGCCACTTCTTATAACAAAATTAGATAAATATACCATTAATTTATAAAATTGACAGAGAATTGCAAATATATACTTTTAGTAAAAGCCACTCTACGACGATTTTTATTGTTAAATATTTTATTAGTCCTAGAAAAAGTTTTTTTTACACTAAGAAAAGTCTCAACGTGTATATTTTTATCATATTTTTTTACAGCGAAGTGGGCGAGTTTAATGAAATGTCGTTAAATTAGTTTGACGTATCATATAGTTTGATCTTGAGTTTGATGTAGTTTGATTTTTGGTGTCACACAAGTAATCTGTTCTTACCCTGTATTTGTTAAATTTGTAATTCTATTTTATTTATTGTTTGTTCATCTTTGGTAAAAATGCCTGCAAATAAGAAGTTTTCTGATCGGTGCTGTAACCCTTTGCGTAAAAGTTCGCATAGTGCAAAAAACAATAAAACAAATTTGCGAAAGGCGTCCAAATTAATGTTAAAAAAGTTTGATTTTTTGGAATCATCAGATCTTTTATGTGCCCCTTGCAGAAAAATCATTAGTAAAAATAGTGTTGGTGTAAGTAGCCATTCAAAAATACAACGTCAACGAAATTACTCATATATGTTTATAAACAATGGATTTCGAAACCTCGAACAGGACTCGAAACCATAAAAGTCCCAGTGGAAATTTACATACAAAATTTTTTTTTTTTTAAATAAAAATGTATTCTTCGAGTTTAATATTCCAAACTGTTAGTTTTATAAAATAAAATATTATAAAAGCAAGTAATTTGTGTTGTAAAATAATAATAATAATGTGAGTTTAATTTTTATATGATTTTTTTATTTTGGAGTAAATTGCATCTCCTGAATAAAAAAATGTAAAATTTTGTCAAATAAAAATTGTTTGCACCCATTTTTTTAACACATGAAATATCGATGTGCAACTAACCATGAATTAACACACTGTTGTACATTTGTTTAAATTATTAATCAGTTTTTAATGGTAAAAAAAATATTAAAAATTACAACCTTGATGCAATTTTAATTCTAAAATACATATAATATAATCCAATATAATCTAACCCATCCCTAATTGTAATTTTAATAGCCCATCGGGCTTTATCTTAAATATGCCTCTGTAACAGCCTTCATTTTAAGAGCGCGGATATCTAAAATTATTAATATTTCATACGATATTAAACGGTCCATTCTGAAATTTTTATACAATGTTCTGCAAACTTTGACAAGTTAATACACATTTTAAAAATTTAAAAAAAAAATGTCGATTTTCATTTTTTTTTTATTAATTTTTAAAATTTGCTTAAAAAAATTGAATTAAAAAAAATAATATTTTTTTTTAATTTAAATATTTAAAACAATGCATAACCTTAAAATTAAGCCAAAAAAAATTAAAGTTTATTAAATCTTATTCTATTCAAAAACTACTGTTTAAAATTCTTTTTTTCTGGTACTGAAATTTTAAAAAATCGTAACTTTAACAAAATTCATAAAATTTTGAAACAAAAAAATACGTGTCCCTTTTGTTGGTGTCGTAAACGGAAAAAAAAATATTTCAGACAAATTTAAATTTTGACGGTAAATTTGACGTGAAATGACCCATATATATTTCTTCAACTATAGTTGAAGAAATTTTTGAAACTAAAAGGAACAACACAAATCAAAATAAGCAGCTGGCTTCAAGAAAGATTCAATTACTTATACCAAATACTGACTTCAAAGAAGACTCAGCAGTACCAAAAAGTGATAACAACTTATTCAAGTTAAACACTTAGGTACTGTTAACGGTTGGGGTACAAGTTTTCTTTGGAACACCCTCCTGTATCTAGTTTTTGAAGCACATTACCTCCAAAAACTAAATTTTAAAAAAATATTTAATTTATATATAACCTTTCATCTTAGTTGTTACCTACTTACCATTTTTTAAATTTATTTTATCTTCTCTACGGCAAGCTATTATCCATTTTTTTGCTAAATCTTCTTTCTTTGGAAATGTGAAGTATTTTATGTCGGTACCTTTCGTAGATTTATAATAATTTTGGCATATAGCCACAGCACAGTTTGGCATTGTAAATTACCCATAGGTAATAAATCATAAAATTAACCCCACTCATAAATAATTATAAAAACACAATACAAATAATAATACTCTCTGCTTATAAAATAATAATAAAATCTAATAATAGTTACTAAATAACACAATAATTATAATCTATGGATTTACGAATGTGACGTAAATGCGCGTGGCGGACGAAATTTGGTTTCAATAGTAGCATACCATCTTTCCTTCTCATGATTCTACACTGCCCAACAAAAAAATAATGTAACTTTTTGTAGGCAATTTACACAACAACTTAAACTCTTAGTTGCCTACTTACAGTTTTAAAACATTAAGGGCCGTTTGCACTGGTGAAACGTTCCCTTTTTCTTTGTTGCGCGAGTTCTGGGACACCCTATAGGTATATTGTTTTTTTATTCGTATTGCATATTATTGACATTATTTGTGTTTTTCCGTAAATAATGGTAACCAATATAACCGCCCGGCCTAACAACGTGAATAATGAACTCATTATGCACGTTGTTAGGCATCAGCTAATGCCTAGTCATGCCTAGTCATTGGCTGATTTCAATATTCACTGTTATTTGAACCAATCGGGTTTTAAATTGGGAACAAGTAAGGTAAACAGATTTGTATATATACCTATACGAGGGGCGACTATAATGATCTTTAAAATCTGGGAAAGTAAGGTTATTATAAATTTTTTCTACGACCAGTGGTCGACCACCATGTAAAAGTCACATTTCGTATTGGCATCGTTGCTTAGAAAATGAATCTTTTCATTGGCAAGGCAAAATACGAATGTAAATTTACTTACTTTACACTTAAGTGACATTTCTGTGTGAAAAGTGGCAGGTCTGTGTGCAAAGAAATTGACAGCAACGATATCGTTTGACATTTGTTTGAAAATTTGTATTCTTTTTGTATATATATGTATGTCTATATAGATTTATAAATATCATTTAGAACACAACTAATTGTATTTGTATAATAAATTCTAGTTTTTAGTGCCTTAATATAATAAATTTATTTAAATTGAGAAGGTAAGTTTATTGGTTTAAAGTAACTTAAGTTAATAATATTATACCTTAAAAATTAAAAGAATAAGATGAAAGTAAATTTAACAGCTGTCAAACACGTTTTTAGGTTATTTTGTTTTGTATTTGAATATAATAAAAAATAAAAGGCTCGTAGAAAAAGCATTGTGTTTCACTTGTGAGAAAAGCTCTTGTTAATGCACACTCGGCCTGACGGCCTCGTGAGCAACTTAAACACTCGCATGAAAAAGTCGCTTTTCAACACTTGTAAAACAAATAACTATTGTTATCAATGAAAATTACATAATTGGAGTAGAAAAAAGCATGGTATTACACTCTAAATAATAGTATTACACTCTAAATAATAGTATTATACTCGAAATAATACGCATTTTTACTCGGATGAATTACGTCTCTCTATGTATTTATGTATGTATACATGAGATCTCGATGAAGAAAATCGCTCTATTTACCAAAAAATAAATTTTCGGGTTTTAATTATTTATAATTTAATTATGCAAATTAAATACAAAAATATACAATACAATTTGTACCTCGATTTGTACCTAATGCAAATTTAATTTTTAATGTTTTTTTACATAATAAAAACTTTATAACTTGCTTAAGCAATAATTATAAATGTCACAATTGTGACATTAATACACAAGGCAATTTTTTTTAGACTATAACAATTTATCCTAATACCGTTAATCAATGCTAATACCTATACTTATACGTTATAACACAGCAAACGGAAAATTATAGAAGTGTATAGGATGACGCCACGTTTGAATATTGTTTTCTAAATCTCCCCACGGTATAGATTTGTATTCGTCAGTCGAGCGTTTCAGTACTCTCCACAGTATAGAGGTCGTAATTTCACTTTTGAACTAGTATTAAAATGAAAACTATTTTATGCTTCAAAAAAAACTATATACGACATGATTTTTTTCATTTTATTAATTAATTAAACTGTGTTGAAAATTTTTCCTAAAGGAATAATTGCCAATGGGCCATTAATTCATTTGTTCGTAGATGCTACAATAACCTGCACTGGTGTATATTTTTTGATTAACTAGATTTAAATATTGCTGAACTAACATAAAACTTCCAGTGGAGATGTGCAGGATCTACCAACAGACCTCATTACTAAATTATTAAAGTTTAATAGCATATCGATCATTTTTTCAACATAACCTCTGAAATTTTTAATACAAATATAGGTACTTTATATAATACATAAATATACTTTACATCATATCCTCTGTGCTTTACATACCTAAGTTGTAACGGTAAATAAAAATCAGACAAAGGAACCAAAGAAAGGAATTATTTTCAACAAAATCATATGCAGAAATGAGAATAATCAAACTACTTGCATCCATCAAAAGATCAAAACTTCTTGCAATATTACACCCTCTTTTTATACTCTCAGAAATATTGACTAGAATAGTATTAGAGAGACTCCAGTTTCTATAACTTGGTAGAGTAATTACTTTAAAGAGAAGTCGAAACCGTTGCGATATTGCATTGCGCTGTTTTTGTATAATTCTCGGGGACATTAACGAAAATCATTGCCAGTAAAATTCGAAAAGCTTGAGTTTCTATGTCTCTGAGGAGAATAGGAATCCGAAGTTGCTGCACCATTGGACTGAACCCTTTTTTAATAATTTCTAGAGACATAAATGACTGCACCATTCGACAGGGTCGAGTTTCTACCTCTCTGTTGAATATAGAAAATCAAAATAATGTATCTTGTAAGACACCATTGAGTTTGACTTTAAATATAGTCGTGCATAGGTATACCTATATATAGAGCCGAAAAATATAAAAACAAAGCACGATTCAATACAGTTATGATAAAACTTTAAGATTTGATATTCAAACGCGGAGTCATCCTATACACTTCTATAATTTTCCGTTTGCTGTGAAGTATAACCGTACAAAATATACGCGTATCAAATTTAGAACAGTTTAAAATTTTGATTCTAATAAAAACCTTAGCAAAAAGTTGAATTTTTGACCCGCATTGTCCAATTCCATTATTTTTTTAATTAATTCCAAACACAATGCTGTTTGCATTAAATTCCTATGTGGGGAAACCCCAGCATGAGGGGATTTCATATGTCTTATTAGAGGGTCAACGAACCCTTTTAGTACGAAATCAAGAGGGTGCGTTTTAGAAAAGGCAGGACCGGGCTCTATAGTTAAACTGGAGTTAATAGGAGTAATACTGCCCTACAACGCTAAAATGCAGTACCTATAGGATATAATATATCAGGGTGTCCCAAAAGTCAACGATATCCTTTGGAGGACAAAATTTCGTTTTGACTTCAAATTTAACCTTGAATAACTTTTGATGGAGTGAATTTAGCCAAAAATGATAAAAGACTTTTTTTGTAGAGCATTTGATTTCCCATAAGAATATTTATCGTTTTTTTCAGGGTACTGATTTTTAAAAGATCAAATTGTAAAACTATACCAATTTTTAAGGCATGATTGTAAGAAAACGGTTCATCTGACGGGAAAATCCAATCAAACCTTTTTTGTAGAGCATTCAATTTTCTTCAAAAAATATTATTAAGTCAATTTTGTTAAACTCAATGATTTGGGAGTTCTGAAACAAAAACTCGCTCAGGAAAAAAAATCTAAAATTGCGCGCAATTTTAGATTTTTCGCGATGATATACCTCTTAATATTAATATTATGGACTCAAACTTTCACCATAATTTTGTTTTGTCACCCAAAACAATATTTTCGATATAGGGTGAAGTGGGGTAAGTGCGCTTTTGGGGTAAGTGCACCAATTGGGTTTTAAAAACAAACTATTCAACCTGCGGTGGCACCCTCTGGTAAATGCGAGAGCATGACTCTTTTCCACTAAAATACACATTCCTTCTTTAACGAAATCAAATTGGTTAGCAAAGAATGGCGACTTTATTGAGTGTTGTCGTTTTTACTCGCGTGTTAAATGCGCAGTTCTGTGAAAAAACACATGTATTACTGGAGCTAAGGTATGTGTAAAGCTACTAGATATTTATTTTGAAAGTTTATATGTGTTTTAAGTAAACTAATATGCAAAATTACCTTTATTGTAAAATAAGCTAACTTTGAAGGGGTAGGTGCTCTAGAGCTTGCCCCAAAATTTTCTCTTATTGGGAAAGTGCACCTACCTTCATGGGGGAAAGTGCGCCCACTTTCCCCGGAGTTAGTTTCGGCCTACGCAGTTACGTAATACGTAACATACTATGTTCTTGTTTCTAAGCACATTTTTTTTCATAGATACCATAGGAAGAAGAGGCGAAATGAAGTTTGACATCAGTTTTTCGCATTATAATATCAATTAGATTTACGTACTGTATGAAGTTTGTTTTTCATTAGTATTGTATTTTTGTTTGATTATTTCATAAACAGTTGAGAATAAAAACTCAGAAATCAGTTTGTAATCATGGATTTTTTTTTGCCAGCTAATTTCCCTAAATATTCGAGTTAAATGTAATAACTTTATAACCAATAAGTCAATTTAATTGCGGTAAATTGCAAAAAATTCACAAAACTGTGAGTTTGTTGCACTTGCCCCGTGGATACGTTCGTACTTATAATATGGGAACTAACCTGTGGTGGTGCACTTGCCCCAAATATGGGGCAAGTGCACCTACATGTATATATTTTTACAAAAAAAATAGCTGTGGTGGCGTATTAAGTTTAACGCAGAGTTTAGATATGCCATGAGATACACCACTAAGGGAGTTGTTTATATGCCAAAGACTGGACTCTTACCATTGTTCTAAATAATTTTATTAACTATTCAATTTGTATTTTGCACTTGGGTGGGTGCATTTACCCCACTTCACCCTACTTTAAAAAAAATAGTCGATTTTTTTGGCCGTCTACTTAATAATTATAAATAATTTTAAAAAATTTACAGTTTTATTGGGAATAGAACAGTTTTAGACTATGGTTTTAATAAAAATTCCACAAAAAGACAAGATATTTATTTATTTTGCATTTAAAACTTGTTAAAATAAACAAACTAAAATAAACATTCACCCCTATGCAAACAAATCTTCAGTTACGGTTCTGTTAGTATACCACCCCTATTAACAATAGAAAAAATGTTGCATTGCCATGTTATCATCCGAGTTACGTCACACACGACGACGTCTGGGACGACGACGACGACGCACCCTCGCACCGCGAGCGTCTTCGGCGTCTGCGCGCCAGGCCTACTGCCACTTTTGCAGTCGCCCCTTATCGTTGCTGGAAAACAAGTGCACAGTAATCCGCGGTGGCCTCTCCGCCTCAGTTAACTACGATTTTTAATTTTCACAAAAAATGACCGAAGTACAGACACACACAAGAAATAATAGTTTGGAGCGGACGAGGAAAATCAGACGGTGAGTTGAATTCATTTAATTTAGGTTTCTTGCGGTTTTCGGTGAACATAATCGATAGAGCGACTGCTGAGTTACGGTTTGTTTTTGTGTACTTTGGGGTAGACATTTTAGGGCAATATTTACGTGTACTGTAACACTATTCAAATGTTTTCATATTGTCTGATAAAAATAGTTTTTATTTTATATCCAAAATAGCGTAAAAATATTTTCCCAAAAGAACTAACGATTAATTAATTTTTAAAAGGCCTATCTAATTTTCAGCTGTGTTAACTATTTTATCTATTGATTTATGCCTACATGTTTCTTATCTACTTGAGTGCTTAAATATACATACAATTTTAACGCTCGATAATTAATTTACATAGGTACTTCATTTTTATTTAAGCCCTAAGATAATAATATAAATTATAAATTTAAATAAAGATACGAATTTCTCTTATTTGCCCAAAATATTTATTTAGTTTGAGACCAATTTATGTTTTAAAACATTAAAAAATAAATATTGGTATCTTTTTTTATCTACTCCTATTCATAATATAATATGGATAATCATAAACATTATAAATTCCCTGCCTAACAACGGAAATAATGAACTCAATATTCACGTTGTTAGGCATTAATTAGTGATTGTCCAATTTCAATATTCACTGTGATTTAAACCAATCGGGATTTAAATTGGTAAAAAGTGAGGTTAACCGTTTGACAGATGTTAGATTTTATTTATTTATTTTTAAAAAAACATTTAGGTAATTATCCACTTATTGGAGTAAATAAAGTATATTTTTGCCGTTAATCACTGGTATTACACTCGAGATTATGCGCATTATTCACTCGGATGATTTAAGTCTCTCGTCTAGCGACTCGAGACGCAAACCTTATCCTCCTGCATAATAATATACTATTATGCATTTCTTAAAACTTGCCATAATATGTCACTTGTTTCAAATATAAGCCTTCCATTGGGAGACTGGAGTCCTAAGTTTTAAGAAATGTCAGCCTAAAATATAAATATTTTATAGAAATTAAACTGTTTTTATAAAAAAGTTCTAGATAATTTTTTATATATTATTTTGGCATCAAATTTTATTGGGCTATAGATACATTAATAAAAGTAGAGATAATTTGAATCATGATACAATCATGATTTTATAAAATTATTTATTATAATAATTGAAAGGTGGGGACGGGACAAAAAAAAGATTTATCTTGTATAGGGCTGCCAGCCCTCCCGATTTAGGCAGGAGTCTTCCGGTTTTACAGCAAGCCTCCCGATTTTAAAAGGCGTTTTAAATTCCCCGACTTTATTGCAAACCTCCCGTAAACTCCAGTTTTTTGTCAATCTTAAGCGTAATTACGAAATGATCATATATTAATAATATTATAATCATTAAGTTGTTTTAATCAAATCAATTTATTTTATCCAATTTAGTTTATAAAGTTGTCAAAAGAGTGTGCTAGCATGGGTATTTAAATATTTTTGTATTACAAAATTGTAGATAATTTTTTATATTATTATATTATTATTTTGGCATTAAATTTTATTAGGCTATAGATACATTAATGTTTAATTAAATTAAAAAACGCAAGAAATATTTTATAAAAGTAGAGATTTTATAAAAGTAGAGATCGATAATTTAAATCATTATACAATCATGATTTTAATAATTGAAAGATGTGGACGGGACAAAACAAGATCTTGTGACAAAATTTTTGTCCCGTCCACACCTGTCAGTTTAAAAATCATCTCTACTTTTATCAAATATTTCTTTCGTTTTTTTATTTAATGTATAGCCTAATAAAAGAATATATTTGACAATTGAATAGGTCAATGCAGAAACTGAATATGTCCACTTTTTAGGGAAATTGAGTTAAACATGGATTTACTATAAGTAAAGGGTGCCCGATCGAATGGCGTAGAAATTTTCATGTCACGGTAATCTACATTATACAAAGGCGTTAATATAGTACAGAAACTGAATATGTATTCAGTTTTTCTTAGTTATCTCAAAACTACCTAGTAGGACATATTCAGTTTCTGCATTGACGTATTCAATTTTGATGCAAAAATAATATATGTCAGAGATTAACGAGGGCGACTGAGGGTTAGACTGCCTAGACATTTTAAAAGAATGCACAACGCTTTTAATATAAAGTTATTTTATAAAACACGTAGTCAGAAAAATCCGCACAGAACACAAAATTAATATTAATCGTCCCAAACTAATTATTAGCTATAAAAAGGAAACCAACGATCCGCGACCCGCTAGATTAACAATAGTCAATCAAAAATCAATTCAGAGATTCGACTTGTCTCAAGCCAACTCAAAATGTCTCTCTGTCGGGTCCGTTCCGTTTACCAAGTTTTTATGTTGGCGGTTCCCAAAAAAACTAGGGGGCGTACCCCTAACACATTTTCTACGTTTTAAAAACTACAACTATTTTGTCTAGACAAATTCACATAAATTATATCAACTAAAATAAACGTATCGTTAATTCTGGGTTCTCTCGTAAAATTTCTGTAAATTCGTAAATCTATAGCTTAGGATGATCTGTAACTATAATGCTTATAGAAAATTAATAATTATAAACACCCAATACGAGGAAAATGACATTCTCCACATGCTTGGGACTTTTGGTTTAGCCTAAACATCGTCACACAAATCTTATCAACAAAAATAAACAAAAGGGTGAGAAAGAATCATTAGCGTAGACCAATAATTAATAAGGGCGCCGACATATACAGGGTGGTCCAGGATTATTCTGAAAAATGAATGAATAATGATCGATAGAGCCTGAAAAAACAATAAAAACAAACCCAAAAACATTTTTTAAAAATACACACTAACACACTAATAGCTCTTCAAAGGCAAAAAAACGTTTTTTTTTTTAAATAACTTCTGCTCAAATTTTGTGTACCTAGGTAAAATTTCTTACAAAAGGCCCAGCGGCGGATATTTTGTGGGGGTATCCCCTTTTTACCCCCATAAAAAAATCATCAGATTTCTTATTCAATTTAGAAGCAAAACTTGTGTGTTAAATTTTCATAAGATAATTGTTTTCGGAGACTTTAAAATTTCAAAAACACCGAGTACACGGAATTTTATCATATTTTATTTTAAATCGGTAACTTGGTAACAATTATGCCACGTTGGATACGAATAAATAAATAAATAAATAAAATATTATAAAAATAAACTAGCGTCCAGGAGTCATCGTGCAGTTGTTACTGATCCCGTCATATTTTTAGGTTGTTTTATTGTAACGTTGATTGAGGATAACAATCAACGTCTGTAATTAATAATTTAATTGTATTATAATACAAAATCAAACCAACCCAAAAACCACCCTATTGAAAGTGATTATTCCATAATTTCATTGGTAAATTTTTATTGGCCCAATAAAATCGTTCAGAAAAAAAATAATTTTTTATTACTAAAATAATAACAAAAGTTCCGTGTACACAGTGTTTTTGAAATTTTAAACTGAAATATCTCCGTTGATCTGATAAAAAATAAAAAAAACATAAAAGTTTTGCTTTTAGATTGAAAAAGGATAAAAATAAATCTGATGATTTTCTAATAAAATCCAGTGGCGTCGAAAATATGAGGGTAAAAAGGGGAAACTCCTCCCAAAATCTCCGCCACTGGGCCTTTTGTAGAAAATTTTCATTATATTATCGACGGAAGCTTAACCTACACAAAATTTGAGAAGAATCGGTTTAATGGTTTAAAAATTATTTTGAAGGAGAGTCAAACCACGTCAAGTGGGACCAGAAAATTTCACGAAATCACCGATTTTGAAAATAATCACATTATTGTGTAGTAGGCATGACTCATATGTCACAGTAAAAAAATTGTTTTAAAATTCGTTTTTTTGGTAATGTTATTAAGGTTGACAATTTTGTCAAACTTTAGAGCACGGTAAAATTGAAAAAATAGAATCTCTGGGACCACTCTGTATAATTGAATTAAATTTTACACACTATTGTAGAAATGTTTAGAGTATATAATGATTATTTAATTAAGGTTAATTTATTTAAATAAAAGAATTTTGCATACATTTATTATAAACAATTGAAATTTTGTATGTGTTCTTCACGCTGAAAAAAAATTAATCTTGTGTCATAATATGCGGCAAACGTTTCCGTTTAATAAGATGTACTCAAAAATTTGCCTTTCATATGTCATTCCGGAGATATTAATTTTTTTGTCCGGCTGTGCGCTTGATCAGTACGCGGCGCGCTTCGCTGCTAGCTCGTCCGTTCGAACGGTTTAACGGTGTGCCTGAACGAAGTTTAAGTCACATAAAAATGCCGCCAAAAACTGATTGTAGTTTCTTGTTCGGGACCCTTTGGTGACTTAAAAATGATATTTACCAAAGTTCTAGCTGCTCCTCTTTTCGAAATTGTTCGAAAATTCATGATTTTTAAAAAAAAAAAAATTTATCTCTTTGACAGAGTACACATTTGCACACGGATTTTTATAAAATTGGAGTATATTATTTAGGAGACTTAGAGAATATTTTTTAATACTGTTCACATCATTTGATATACACAGGGTTAGCCAAAAATCACTTATTTTTAATAATGCAAAAGCGTAAATTCATGATTTTAGCATAACACGCGAAAAATATTTATTCCCAATTTTTTTTTAGATATTTCTAGGTCTATCAGGTTACAAAATGGCATTATTATTAACCTTTTACAAGAAAAATAGATTTGTAATAACATTTAATAAAATAACGCTTAGAGAGTATTTAAAATGTTGTTTAATTTAGGCTTTTTAGTAGTTTTCAATTTTGAACGAAAAATTGGTTGAAGTTAAAAAATATATTTACCAAAATTCTAACTGTTTTTTTTTTAATTTGTAAAAAATTCAATTTTTTTAAATTATTTGTTTATAGCAAAGTCTACCTTTGCCAGAGTACACATTTGTACACCGATATTGTAAACGAGAGAAACTGTTTTTATATATATATGCTTAGATTTATACAGGGTTAGACAAAAATCACTTTTTTATATAGTAAAAAGCATAATGCATAAAAAAGATTTTTCAAAAAATTAGGAAAAGAGAAGCAGCTAGGATTTTGGTAAATATCATTTTTAAGTCACCAAAGGGTCCCGAACAAGAAACTGCGGAATTTGTATGTGACTTAAACTTCGTTCAGGCACACCGTGTGCTGACGAGCTAGCAGCGAAGCGCGCCGCGTACTGATCAAGCGCACAGCGGGACAAAAAAAATAATATCTCCGGAATGACATATGAAAGGCAAATTTTTGAGTACATCTTATTAAACGGAAACGTTTGCCGCATATTATGACACAAGATTAATTTTTTTTCAGCGTGAAGAACACATACAAAATTTCAATTGTTTATAATAAATGTATGCAAAATTCTTTTATTTAAACAAATTAACCTTAATTAAATGATCATTATATACTCTAAACATTTCTACAATAGTGTGTAAAATTTAATTCAATTATACAGAGTGGTCCCAGAGATTCTATTTTTTCAATTTTACCGTGCTCTAAAGTTTGACAAAATTGTCAACCTTAATAACATTACCAAAAAAACGAATTTTAAAACAATTTTTTTACTGTGACATATGAGTCATGCCTACTACACAATAATGTGATTATTTTCAAAATCGGTGATTTCGTGAAATTTTCTGGTCCCACTTGACGTGGTTTGACTCAGGACTATATCTCCGTTAGTATGCATTTTTGAAAAATGTTTTTGGGTTTGTTTTTATTGTTTTTTCAGTCTCTATCGATCATTAAAATTTTTCAGATTAATCCTGAACCACCCTGTATAATAAATTACCTACCTACAATTTTTTTATAAAAACAGTTTTGTGATTTGTTCCGACCGTATGCTTGGAATGACCGTGTATACAAGTTAAATTTTGAAGCATTGATACACAATTTGTACTTATTGCATTTTTGTTTATTTTACTTAAAAATATTTAAAGTACCAAAAAACCTTAGTACTTACTTAAATAGTTTATAAAAAATCGTCAAAAACTATAGAAAATATACCTACTTACTTACTTCCAAATTTTGTATACATGTAATTTGTTATTTTATGATATTTATTAAAATTTAATAGGGATTGTGTCGTCAGAAATATATGGTGTGTGACTTCTGGGAACCCTGAATAATCGTTGGTGCGTCTGTTATTATTATTAATAACAGGCGAAATAACGGTCCCAGAAGTCGCACAACACTTTAAAGGTGTGTGATCTACAGGCTCCCAGAAAATTGTTAAAAAATACTTGAGATACCATAATTATTATTTAAAAAAAATATTTTGAAAATATGGCCTCAATCGGTGGTCGTCCAGAAGTTACACAATTAATTATAATTTACCGATTTAGATTCCTACAATATTTGTTTTGTCAAAACCGGCGATATATCTCTGGTCAAGTCCCATCGTCAAAGCTATGCTAGGATCCGACAGGTGGCGCTGTAGTAATTAAATAATCCCGGCGCCGATATTGCGGGTCCTTAAATTTATTGAGTTTTTCTATTTTTTTATGTCAGCCTTTTTGTTATTTTTCAAATTATTTCCAATGATTTATTTTTTCAAAATACCTATTTTAATTTATTTTGTAAAATCATTTTTTTACAAATATTTTCTGCTGACCAAATTAAAGATTATTATTAAAACTATAGTTTTAAATTGTCTTAATTGTATATTTTACAATCCAGTTGCAATATCAACAATAACAATGTCAACATTTATATATAAAAACATGTCTTTTGTAGTGTTGAGAAGCCACCAGACGATTGGACGAAAATATAGCATCAGGACCAATCGGATGGCGAGCGTACCGACGAGAAAAACGACGCCATCCGACACCGTCTTCGGAATTCCACGGTCGACTTCTGGACGTGGAGCCGAAGACAAAAAAGTCCGGAAGTGCGACTTTACGGTCACAACTTCCGGATAGCCTACTTCCACCCGGACTGGAGCAGCGGCACGGCTGGGGTGAGGGGCACGAAGGTTTTGAACAACGGGAGGTATTATTGGGAGGTCGCTATTTCAAGGAGGATTTTCGGGACTAGCATGATGTGTGGAATAGGTATGATAAAACATTTTTTTTTCATAATTATCATGCTGCACCCACAGGAAATAAAAAAAATTTAATGCATTTTCCATGTCAAACTATTAAAAACCAATGATTTTTTCAAAAACTTAAAAATGTGTCCAAAGTTATCTGCTCACCATCGCTATCAACCTAACTCCGTTCTTATTGGAGCCACAAGGTCGCTTAAATTAAAAAACTGGTGGCATTTTTTCTTCTGATTTAAATGGTAAAAACAGAAAAACAATTTAACACCAGGTTTCCGAAATATTCACATAAATAACATTTTTTTTAAATGGGACACCCCCTATATTTTTACATACTTTAAAAAACATTTAATTTGGAACAAATATGTAGTATATTATGTATTAAGTTTAATAAACGCCATTTAAGTTACGACTTTTATTAGGCATGACCGAGGATTGCGAGCGAGTGTTTAATAAAAATGAATGTCTAGAGAAGTATATAAAACGAGTTGCATACTATACTTTATCTACGACGAAAATAAATAAGAATTTAAATTTTATTTCTTAAACATTTAAATGTCAATTGACATATGTCAACAGCTTCATAATTAATTGGATTTAACCTCACTTTTAACCAATTTATAATGAAGCTAACTTCGGCCCATGACTAAAACGCCATAAAAGTCACAGCTTATCAATCAAAAATTATTATTGCATAACTACCCTAAACCAAATTTTCTAATAACGTTTCAACAATAAAAAGTTAAAAGTTGTGATGAGTAAATTAAAACACAAACCATTAAAATACTCAAAATGTTTATGCGCCATTTTCGGAACAACCTGTAGGTATATACCATTACTAACTTCGTTAATATTAGAGGTAGTCGGTTGAATTGACAAATTGGTGGTATTTTTTCCTTCGATTAAGATGGTGAAAACAGAAAAAAAAATAATATTTGGGTTCTTGCAATATTCACAAAAATAACATTTTTTAAATGGAACAACCCTTGTATATTTTTACACATTTTGAAAGACAATATAATTTTGAACAACAAAATTTATCTTTTAAAATGTGTAAAAATATACAGGGTGTTCCATTTAAAAAAATGTTATTTTTGTGAATATTGCAAAAACCCGACTTTGTTTTAATTTAATTATTATTGCATAACTACCATTAACCTAATTATAATAATAGACAATAAAGAAGCATTTGAACTTTCTGATTTTTGCTAAAATAAAGTAATAATTTGGTTACTTTAACCTTTAACCAATAAAAAATAAAACTCGTTAATTTTAAAAAGTGCTCGATATTTTTGTTTTAAATACATTTTCTCATCATAATAAACTTAATAATTAAAGCGTTTTAAAATGATCGAGCATTTTAATTTTTAAATTATATAAAAAATATCACATAAGAATCTTTATTCTGCGAATTAATAATATCATAGCAGATATTTTAAAATTAGATTTAATTTTTATGCCAAACTAATAATGTTAATTTAGTGAACTTAAAATATCTTATATTTTTATTTTTGTGTCAAACATACATTTTTAATTCGCTTTAAAAAAATTAGATTTAATTTTTATGTCAAACTGATATTTTTAATTTAGTTAATTTAAAATACGCTATGGCTCCCGTCCCGAGGCGGGACTTAAGTTCAGTCCCGATCGATTGACGTCATAATTTTAAGATTTGTTATGTTACAATAAAACTAAAACAAACCAACCAAACGAACCAACCCAACCCAATCCTACCCAACACATTTTATCAAAGAAACAAGAAATTTATAAAAAAAATAAAAAAAAAATTGACAACTTCTAGTAGAATCGAACCCGGTACCTCTCGCATGCCAAGCGACCGCCCTACCATCTGAGCAATTTTAAAAGCTCGGGGAATAAAAACGGATTTACAGTGTGGGACGTCAGTCGGGATCGAAGTTAAGTCCCGCCTCGGGACGGGAGCCATATCGTTTAAAATATTTGCTTCTTATATTTGTATTTTTTTGTAAAACACATATTTTTAATTTGCTAATTTAAAAATATAATAGGAGATATTTTTAAAAATATCATAGGATTTATTTTTAATTTCGACTGATTGAGATATATTTTTAATGCATTGAAAAATGTCTGCTAAGATATTTTTAATTTAGCGAATTTAAAATATGTATATACAGTGTGGCCCCTTTAAGATCGAAACCCCCACAAAACTTTTTTATTTGTAACTCGATTTTATTGAACAAAGGCTCAAAAGATAGAGAATACAAAACTCTATCTAAGCTATAAAAAATATTTTTAATGTCACTTGACAGATGCCTACTATAAAATTTTTTCTATGTCAAAATTCGAAAAAAATTATTAGGGTAATTTTTTCGGAAAAAAATAATGCGGCATGCTTGAAAATGGACACAAACCAAATTTCATAAAAACGAACTATTAATAACTATTTTAGAGAAGTTTTTTTGAGCTTTCATTAAAATCGCGTAACAAATAAAAAAGTTACGGGGGTGTTTCCATCTTAAATGGGCCACACTGAATTTGTAAAAAATACAAATATAAAAAACAGATATTTTATATTCACTAAATTAAAAATATTAGTTTGGCACAAAAATTTAATTTAATTTTTAAATACCTACTATAATATTTTTAATTCGCAGAATAAAAATTCTTACTGTTATATTTTTTATCTAATTGAAAATATCACATTAGGAATTATTCAGGAATTATTAACATGTTAATAATTCCTGAATTAAAAATAAAACGGCGCCCCAAACTTGAGCTTTAAAGCACTTTTCGAGCATTTATAAAATTGGGTTAGTTTTTTTTAAGAACGCTCGAGCGCTTTTCGAGCATTTATGAGCATTATTAAAAGTGGTTATCCTTCTCTACCAATTAGCTATATTATAATATTATAATCGGTTGTAAATTTTGATAATAAAATACTTTGGTCGTTGTTGGGTTTCCTTACTTTTCAAATTGATTAAAAACTCTTCTTTCAACCCTATTTCAGGAACTAAAAAAGCCCGTCTTCATGCCGACGCGTTCACAAACCTCCTGGGCGAAGACGAAAACGGATGGGGTTTATCCCACAAAGGCCTTCTATGGCACAACGGCCGGTGGACCACATACACGAAACCGTTCAGGGAAAACGTCGCCACCACTATTGGCATTCTCTTTGACGGCATAGCTGGCACTTTAACATACTACAAGGACGAAAAATGCCTGGGAGTTGCGTTCAGAGGTCTGGACTCTGTAAAGGAAGAGTTGTACCCAATAATTTGCTCCACAGCTGCCAAAACCCAAATGTATTTGACCTCGACACGCAAAGATTTTGTCAGTTTGCAGGATCGGTGTAAAGCTGTTATTGTCAAAAGGATTGAAAATAAGAACGATTTACAGAAGCTGAATATTCCGAATTGCATAATTAATTATTTAAAGGAGGATGTTGTTGATAAAATACCCCCGCCATAAGTTTAAGATTAAATAAATTGTCTATTAAATGATAAAATATCGGAAGCAACTTTTATGTATGTAAAGATACTTTTATCGCTTACGTTATTTTATCTGATTGTGAAACCCTTTCCGTGGATTCAACCCAGCCATATTTTGTATATAAAAGTTTGGGACAAATGCCAGTGGTGTCATGTTACCTAAATATTTCATGCATTTGAAAATTATAAATGTGTCTTCTTTCTATTTCCAATATAAAAATTGTGGCGTTGAGCCTTAAATGTAAGGTGTTATACTTATTAAATACACTTTTTATTTATTTTAATAATTGTAGTACTATAAGGTTTTGTATTGCATTTTTATACAGTTTTAAGCGAATTTTGACTGACATATTTTGAAAAATTTCGCCATAAGATTATTTTTGTTTACTTTATTGTGATTTATTTAATATTTAAATAGTTAATTTTTATTATACCGTAATATGTATTTGTTCTAGTCAATTCATAATTTTTCTAGTTAATTGTTGTGTGATATTTAGTTATTTTTAAGCATTAGTATGTAGATATTTAGAATAATATTCTTGCACAAAATTTTGTGTATATTTGGCCAGTTTGTGCAATACCAAATTGTAAATATAAAATATTTGTAAATAAATGAGAAGGTAATGAAATATATATTTGTCAATAAATGAAATTTTTAAAAAGACTTATTTATTTATACATTTATTTTAATCCTTTTCGAATTAAAAAAAAATATCCATTAATTAAACAACAATGTAGTGGAATTTTTTAAGTAAAAACTAATAGTATTAATAATTTTATTATGAATTGCTTAAAATTAAAATACATTTAAGGATTAGCTTTGGATTCCTTAGCATTCTGGAGAGCCTGTGTAATGTACAACTTGGCCAAAGATTGCGAACAAAACTGAGAAATAGCCTGGCTGTAAGTGTTAATTTGTCCAGCGAAAATCATGGGGTTCAACCTTGGGGGCACAGGGTGGGGCCTGAACAGTTTGTTTATGTCCTCTTCAGGAAGTGCAGGTTCGTCTTTAGCAGCCCTGGCGGCATTCTCTTGGGTTCTTTTTTGCAAGTACCTGTGTTTATCCTGTTGCTGCCTGCTGACCAACTGTTGGTACCTGTTGAACTTGATGGCTTCTTGGTTAAGTTCATCAACATGGTCCATTAAACAACGTAGTTGACCCTCCAACACTGAAGCAGTACCCAAATCCAAGAATTTGGAACCCTCTTCTTCTGGCACAATGTCTGCCAATTCCGACATCATAATGTTGGTCAAGGGGGAGTTCTTGATGCAGAATGGAACTTCAGTAAACAAGTTTTCAAAACCAACTTTTAGTTTTACCAAAGCTTCTGGGGTGAATTCACCCTCCTTATACATTTCAATGGCTTGTGGTGTCAATCTATAAGCTTTCAGAGTCAAGAATCCTCTGGAAGACTTTTGTGTGTCGTAAATCACCACAACTGATTCCTCAATGGATGTTTGATAATGGAATTGCGATTCAAGCAATGGTAAGCTCAAAAAGTTGCCAACATCTGCACTTTGGTACCAACCAACATGAAAATGATCCACATTTACTCTTCTTAATCTGCGCATCATGGATAATTGGTATTCATCTTCATCCATTGTCTCATCTGATGGTTTTGGGAAAGGAAAGCAATTTGTAATTTCCAAACGGTTATCAACCACCAAACCAAGCAGAGCCCCTTGGGCAATGTCCATATTCGTAGTCGATTCTTCATGACAGTGTTTAACTATTTTCATAACGGCCTAAAAACATAAATAAACTCATTAGTAACGAATGACATATTGCCGTATGTATAGGTTATGTTAAGCAAGTTCATACATTAACGATTTAAAAGTAAAAAAGTGGTTTGTATGGTAAATAGAAGGTAAACTTACGAGACCATCGGCTTGCACGTAAGCAATAGTTGGCTCATTTTCAGGCGCACGCCTCGAAACACCCGCACGAGCAGCCATATTTTTTGATTTTATACAAAAAAGAACTGTCAAACCTAGTTACCAATCTGGTGGTATTTTGTTTCCACCAGGGGTGTGATTGTAGCTACAAGCTAAAGAAGATTCGTTTTACCCCAGAAAGTGAAAAAAGTGCACTAAAAGTTTTTGATATTCATAGAAAACACCAAAGGGGCTTAGCGCAGGGTAGTGCAACAATCGTAAATCTTAGTTAAACAAAATCTAAGCACGGCACTGGATTCACACCCCTCAAAACGACCCTATACTAAATTTTATTAAAAAATTAAAAATGCACAAAAATAACTACAAAACTCTATTTTGTCAAGTTAAATTTTTGTAGTTATTTTTGTGCATTTTTTTTCTTAAAATTTTTCAATAAAATTTAGTATAGGGTAGTATTGAGGGGTGTTGAATCCAGTGCCGTGCTTAGATTTTGTTTAAAAAAATCGCTAATATTTATATTTATAAATTTATTCTTAAAAACTGACATAGTATGCCTTGTATTTTGTACTAATATGACGTCTTTTGCTCCAAAAATACAGTTTATCAAGATCCAATATACAATAAATAAAGATTTTACAGGGGTGAATCGCAAACAAATGGGTCACAATGTATATATATACATATATATGTAACAATTGTTAATTTAAATTAACAAAGCTTAGTTGTGTACTATAGCGTCATTACTGGAGGAACTGCGAATAGAGAATAACATAGAAAAAGAATATGATCAAAGAACACCGTTCTTTGAATACGATGTTTCCAAGCTACTACCAACATACCGGCAAAATATCCCTGGATTCCCTGCGAAGCCGCAAAATTTGTCAGCTGACAGACCAGTGCTGCCAACTTAGGGGTTTTCCCCCCAGATTTAGGGGGAAAATAAGTGGAATAGGATTTTTTTAGGGGCTTTATATTTTTAGGGTTATTTTTAGGGATTTTTTTACTATTGATATTTATTTTTTTAAATAAAAGAAATGTAAGTGTAAAAATATAGAACCTGTGATAACCCAATTTCGTCAATCCTATTTTTTTGTTGGCCTAGTGGCTTGGCGACATCTATTACAGTTCATCATTACTAAAAATGCAGAGTAAAATGAAAACAACAAATCAACATAGTGCACTGTAAGCATTGAGATTTACTCACAAAACTAGTTTTGTGGATTTACTCAATGCTGTAAGTGTTTACCACCCTGGTGGTGTTTACCATAAACATAGGACGATATATTACAAGCACTAATCTGTGATTACAAGTTATTTGCGGTAACTGGTGGTTAGTGTGTCTATTGAATAATACATTTTATTGGATGTTATAAACAATTTTTGAATAAAGAATATTTAGTACTTTATTAGGTATTAATTATATTAATTGACGCGTTTCTCGGAAAAACATCATTAGTCCAAAATTAACATATTTGGGAAAATGAAAAAAACTCTCTGACAATCCCATTTTTGACTAAAGTACTTTATTGGTCTATTTACTACATGTAAAAAAATGTAAGATAAGTACTTTGTCCAGAATTCCTCATGTTTTTTTTTTCAAACGAAAATGAAAAAAACACAAAAAATTCATGAACATGTGAGGTTTTTAGAAGAAAAAAACGAACAATTCTCCTTACTACAAACACTACAAACTAAATATTAACTCTGAGCAACAAAATAAATGAAAAAACTAAAAACTGTATTACTGCCACACTCAGTCTTCACATCCACTGCTGTTCATCATCGTTGTCGACTGTGATATCAGGACTGTCAGGTGCAATGGTCTTCTGGTCTTTTATCAAGTTATCATAAAATTTTCTATTGCTGTGGTCATGTAAAAGAGGTAGAACTTCTACCTTCTACCGTAGTAGCTTTTCTAGAGTGTCCAAAAACGTCACATGTTATGCACATGTGACTTTCTTAGATGAAACGGAGTGGACTTGTGATGTTTTTAGAAGAACAAGCTAAATTTCATATTTAATTATTATGGAACCTATGACATTTTTACGAGAAACACTTATTTGTATACGTATATATGGAGCTTAGGAAACAGTTGGTGCTAATATCTAAATTTCGACGATATTGGACTAATGATGTTTTTCTGAGAAACGCCTCAATTTATTATATATTATTTTTTAAATAATATTATTTGTTTAGGGGGATTTCCAAGTAATTGTGACGATTTTAGGGGGTTTTGACTTGGCTTTAGGGATAAATATTTTTGAGAGTTGGCAGCACTGTGACAGACACTGACAGTCGAAAAATAAGTGGTGAAAATGGCCCGGCCAAGTTCAATATCGTGTATTTCTTGTTTATTACTTATTGCTGGACTTTCTTTGCTGGGATCATGCAGCGATTTGATCAACGACGATATACCATTAACGAAATTAAGCCAAAATGTCGGCTCTCCAACTTTGAAAGTACTTTATTGGTACGTAGATATTTGCGTTATCTTGTTTATATTTATAAATCCTTATAATAATATTGCCCAAAATAGTATTTTTTACCAATTACCAATAATATTGGGCATTTTTAAAAGCATTTTTAACAATTCTGAAAAATAGGTAGGTATATGCTTGATTAACTAATTTTTGTTAAAATATTCCACAATAATCGTATGGAACTGCAGCATAGCTGGGAAAGTTACTTCTGAAAAGAATCTAGTTACTTTTCTTAGATACTTTAAACAAAATAACTTAGTTACCTCTGGTAACTAGATACTTTGTGTAGTAAAGTATCTAAGATACTAGGTATCCGAAAGTATCTAAGATACTTTTAAGTAACTAAGATACTTTTAAGTAACTAAGATACTTTTGAGTAACTAAGTTACTTTTAAACTATAAAATTATAAAAATTCAACAAGTTGTAGGTTAGGAATCATTCCGGAATTCCCCCAATTTTCTCTAAGAATGTATCTAAGTTACAACTGAAAAGTATATAAGTTATTTTAAAAAGTATTTTAGTTACTTTAAAAAGTATCTAAGTTACTTGAGTGTTTCTTAGTTACTTTACTGAGTAACTTAGATACTTTTTAAGATACAAGTTAACAGATACCTACTTATCCAAAGTAAGTCAGAGATACTTTCTGTCCAATATAAAAAGTATCTAAGATAAAGTATCTTAGATACTTTAAAACTAAGTTACTTTTAAGTATCTTTTTTTTTAAGATACTCCCAGCTCTGAACTGCAGTGACTTCTTAAAAAAGTTATCTTAAAATATAGCTTAATTGGACATTCTTAAAACCATAAAAATAATAATAAAACAGTTGATTCTTGGACCTAAACAAGGATCAACTGTTTTATTATTAAACTTTAGGTTGGTATTTTTTAATACAGTTATACCCAAAGATAATAATAATAATCTTTGGTTATACCTAGTTGACATGCCCAAGGCCTTGGGCAATATTGAAAAAGCAGACCTATTTAAAATTAATACATATTTGACTGTATACTGGGTGTCCATGATATACTTTGTAGGACTGATGGCCTGCTCAATGAGCAGTGCTTATGACTAATTAGAATATCAAAACCAATCAAAACATTACCTTGGTAAAAAATTTTAAGTTGTTGAGATTTTGACACTTCCAAGTGCCAAAGCTACAAAATTACATGTTCTAAAAGTCTATTTTTTTGCATAACCATTACATTTTAAAATAAAACTAATAATAAAAAAACGGGCATAAATGTCTGTTTTCAACAGCAATCTAGCTTACAGTTTTAGGTCAGGTTTACCTAGGCTTGTCAGTTATGTCTCTTTTTCTACATAGACCAAGGTTTGGGTGGGTTGAATACCGTCTACATAACTGGATAATAACATTTTTAAGACATTCATAACATTCTTAAGGCATTTATATATAGATTTAAGCTTATTAATTGCCTTATACAAAATCTACTGCCTCAGAACTGAAATGTATGCTTGGCTTTATACTTTATCTCCACGCGGTCTATAATTTAAACTTTATTGTTGTCAACATTCGATAAAGAAATACCTTGTTATGGCCTAGGCCGATAAAAATTTTTATGAGGCAAGTAATTAGTTCGAATTTTTCTCGCTAGGGGTATTGTTTTGACAAATTAATCCTTTTCTAAGAAGTTAACGTACTAAACTGGTTTAATTTATTTATAATAAGCACGAATTTGTTTGTTTTACTGTTAATGTTTAATATTTTTCATTAAATTATTGTAAAATTAAATATGAATAATAAAACAAAAAGTGAGGTTAGGCAACCAAGAAAACGCACGATTCTTTTTCTACGATTTAAATTATCTTTAAGTTTTAATTTGCTTTCAGTGAAATTAAATGTTGAACACAGCTTACACATTCCAAACTACCTATTTTTTAAACAAAAATCCAAACAAATTAAAATTAGATACCTACCTATTTATTAAACAATTAATTGAATTGAATGTAATAGCAAAAATCCATTTCTACTTAAATCATGTTGCTAGGGATTGTCAAACTATTACTGCTTCTAAAAGCAATAATAATTATTGTACATTTAATGTAATCTTTAGCTAATAAATAAATGAGATTCTAAAAATGTGAGGTTAGGCCGCTTTGATGTTGAATTAAATTGACCTATGTATATAAAGTGCTTTGAAGATAAAATGTTGTATGCCATTCGGCCAAGAAGTGCCTTTTTGTGCTTCGCTCAATTGTAGGCCTCCGCTACGCGTCGGCCTTCAAACCTTGAGCTTAGCACAGAAAGCCTTACTTCTTAACCTAATGACATAAATAACTATTGTTATATTGAACCAGATAGGAATCAGATAAAAGCTAGATATTTATTTATATGTTTGTATATGGCATTTTCAATAGGGTAGTATCTCCATTTGAAGAGTACATAGAATGTCTTTATAATTCACATTCACAAATAATTTCAGATTTTTTTATAGCACAGATTCCAAGGAAATAATTTTTAAAGTTACATTTGTTTTCATACGCCATTTTTTATTTTGTATCTCACGATCACGCATATAAAATAAACTATAATAATCAAGCTATCAACAATGTTGATCCTATTGGGTTTTACGAGTTTGGAAACGAATTTTTAAAATAATTTACGTTTTATGTTGTTAATTAATTTGTTAAATAAAATAAAACGTTTTATTTTTACTACATTGGCACCGCTGAATTTGCTGTAACGGCCTACTGATATTTAATTTTAAACTCTTCAAATGAAACCTTGAAAAGAGTTTAATTAAGCATTTTTTGTTCTTTTGTGTGATGTTACTTTTATTTATATTTTAAAATCAACACTCAACAAACAGTTTTTTTTATCATATTAAAAAATTTGTAAATTTACTATACGTTTTCAATTGACGACCTTGCTGCAAGAAGGATGCAGCTCCAAAAATATACATTCTGAGAAAAACTAAAAAACGTCCTGAATTTGTATTTCAATGGATATGCAATTTTTAGTTCTACCTAACAAAAGTACTTACTTTAAGTGAAATAAACACCAAAAATCTTATAAAAAAATTAAATACAAAGCACATAATTCTGATTTGTTTATCGGAGCTACCTCCTTCTTGACCCAGCGATGCAAAATTATAATTTATAATTAATTTCAAAAATAAAAAACATTTTAGAAACATTTTTCAGATTATTTATTACAATTTTTATAAAAATATAAAAAATAAATAATTCTAGAAACATTTTTCAGTTTATTTATTACATAATATGATTATATTTATTCATTTTTATCATCGTCAGTATATTTGACTCCACCGTTATCATCAGCTTGGTAGAATGTTCTTGGGAACGTATTGTCTTGCCAATAACATTACGTTGTCATATTTCAATTTTTTTAAGGGTAACTTTTGATATTCTTAAATTTTCGTTAAAAGAATAATAAAAAATTTATGGTATAAAATCTGTAATTCTTAGATTTTTTAAATAAATTTTGAAATTTGATAATAAAATTTATTGAATTATGAATTGCACCACTTTAATTTGAATAATCTTAATTAGGGGTGGCAGGGGGCTGGTGAGGCGCGCTGAAAAACTATTTTTTTTTTCTCAAAATTTAATTTAAATTGTTAAATTAACTTGTCTATTTAATGTCATAAAACTCATAAGTTTGGTGTGGGTGACCCACAGTGGGTCCCATGTCTATTAACTGAGATATCGATATACCCAAATCCACAATCCGCCACTGATAGGCGTTTGGGGCAAGACAGACGTAGCTCCTGGACCTACGTCTTTCTTGCTCCAATCGCCATCCTATCTGCGTCGATTTTTCACCAAACCATAGAGAACATTTTGTAGCCTAGAATTGGCCTACAAGCTTAATTTGTGCAAAAATTGGAGCTGCATCCTTTTTACAGCAAGGTCGTCAATTGTGAAACTGCTGTGGAAAAAATCTCTTTCTTCACGGTTACTGTCCAATAAGACGACGAGATTTCAATTTTCTCCACCGCAGTATTTATCATTACCATAGCGATGGTGTGGTTTGTGTTGTATTAGCGGTGGGTCATTATTTTCTTAAAAATTAATTGACACTGAAATTTGTGTGAATTCTAATTCGAACTTGCATGATACCAACCGAAGAAAAGTCTAATAATTTATAAAATATTACACAAAGTACAATTAAAATTAAACTTGGCTCCTTCCACAGGACATGTATATTATGTAATAAAATTTAGAATACAAAGAAACAACATACAAATGACTTCAAAAAAAAAAACAAGCGTATCTAGGGAATTTAAAGTGTTGATTGGTATGAAAAAAGTTACCAATTTATCCCCCAGACTTGCATGCAACTGGCAATAAAAACCGAGCAGGGCCGATAATTTGAAACGGCAATAGACTTGCACGAAACGTCGCTATGCGCATGCCTTCGTGCAAGATTATTGCGTAGTTCACGTAAAATTGGAGGCTGTAATACGGCCTTTAAGGCCGTATTACAGCCGGCAATTCTTCTTGCAGCAATTATTCTTGTTATCAAGTTTTCAAGGCCTTATTGCATGTTGTTTTACAGTCAGCAATGGCAAGACAACTTGCTGTTTATTAACCGAAGAAAAATATACGATTTTGTAAACACCAAGTTTATTTGTTATTTAGTAGAGATATTTAAAAATTAATGAGTAAAATGGATACTAGAACTTTGAACAAAATGCCAATCATAAAACAAATAACCTTAAACTGTTTAAGTCAAACAGCGTCTATCTAGGGAATTTGTAGTAGGGATGGTAACATAAAAGTTACCAGATTTCACCCCAGAATTGCCGTGAAACGGCAATAAAAATCCATCCGGACCTATTTTGACCATATGCAAGGAATGCGGTCGATGTTGCCAATGGTAAAAAAATAAAATTCCCAATTGGGTACATTCAATTATAATACGTTGGCTACATTGAAATTTTGAATTTCCCGCACAATCTGACACATTCTAGTAGTTCCCAGAGATAAAGAAGGTAGTTTCAATGTTGTATAATAAATTAAGGTGCGAATTTCAAATGTGGGAATTATTATTATTTATTATTATTAAAAAAAAAGATGGAAATTAATTTAGTTTGTGCGGGAAATTCAAATTTTTAATGTAGCCAACGTAATATAATTGAATGTTCCCAATAGGGAATTTTATATTTTTACCATTGGCAACATCGACCGCATTCCTTGCATATGGTCAATTGCAAGAGATTCGTCGAAATAACTCTACCGCGGATGCCTACGGCAATTTTCATTGCAATTGCCAAAAGAATTTCCGGCTGTAATACGGCCTTAAAGGCCGTATTACAGCCGGCAATTCCTCTTGCAGCAATTTTTCTTGCAGAAATTATTCTTGCATTCAAGTTTTCAAGGCCGTATTGCATGTTGTTTTACAGTCAGCAATGGCAAGACAACTTGCTGTTTATTACCGTGCTACCAACCGAAGAAAAAAATACGATTTTGTAAACACTTTGTTTATTTGTTATTTAGTAGAGATATTTAAAAATTAATGAGTAAAATGGATACTAGAACTTTGAACAAAATGTCAATCATAAAACAAATAACCTTAAACTGTTTAAGTCAAACAGCGTCTCTTTAAGGAATTTGTAGTAGGGTTGGTAACATAAAAGTTACCAGGTTTCACCTCAGAATTGCCGTGAAACGGCAATAAAAATCTATCCGGACCGATTTTCGGCAATTGCAAGAGATTCGTCGAAATGTATCTACCGCGCATGCCTACGGCAATTTTCATTGCAATTGCCGAAAGAATTGCCGGCTGTAATACGGCCTTTAAGGGCCATTTCCATTCGGCTCTTGTCGCAATATTTCATCCTTATGAACTTTCACAATCATTGATCATTAGACTTGATTGTCTAAAAAACTCATTTCAGGCACTTACAATGTTCCAGCATAGCATTCATTTTAAGAAACTCTTTCCAAAAATGTTTTGCCGAAATTGTTGAACGACAAAAATACTGATTTATTTGCAATAGATTTCGTTTTTACTATAAGTCGTTAGTAATTAATGCGTTTTAGTTATTCATGTGGATACAAGAAAATGTTTGATCAGTATGTGCAGATTATTAACCAGAAATACCCACACATAAACATAGATGGAGGCAATTATGATCCCCCAGGACTTAGTTTGGCTATTGCCAAGTTTATTGTAAGACTTTAACCTAAATATTAATAATACTTATTGATTTAATAATTTTATTTGTAGGGAATAGCAAAGATGTTAATAATAGTTTGTATTATTGGAGGAGTAAATGTGTTTGAATACTTGAACCAGCCAAGGCCGTCATGGTGGGCATGGTGCTTGGAAAACAAGTTGTACGCCTGTATGATGTTGTTTTTCTTGTGCAATCTTCTAGAAGGGCAGTTGATACAGTCGGGGGCTTTTGAGATGACACTCAACGATGTCCCTGTCTGGTCAAAACTAGAAACTGGTAGAGTGCCACAGCCAAGTGAGCTGTTCCAAATTATAGATAGTCATATGCAGTTTACGGCGGAGACTAAGTTAGAGTTTAATAATTTCGCGAAATAAATGTCTGAATCATTATTTTTAAAGATAATTGTAAGATACTTTTGATAAAGCAATTTAATAAATAAATAATTGTGTTCTTTGTCATCACATAGGTTATAAAGAACAAAAAACTATTGTTTAATTATAATTATTTTGTTTATTTTATTGTTATCTCTTATTTAGTTGTCTTATTGTATGACATACAATTCTATTTCTGTACTTTAATTATTTTTAAAAATGTTAAAAGATTTTAAAAAAATGAATTTTTAACGAAAAATTTTAAAAATAAACAAAAAATATGAATATTTTTACTTGTATATTTAATTATAATATATTATGTAAATACACATTTTTTGAAATTGTGTATTTTAAACAATGAATTTTTTATTTGTATCATTTGTTTTATTTAAAAATAAATTATGTGAGATCAAAAATATATTTTGAATTTTTACTTTGTAAATTATTATTTCCTTTATTGGGAAATTCTTTTTATTATTTAATCTGATTTACAATAATATATAAATTAGTAAAATCGACTGTTATTTTTTTAGTCCCCAACAACAAAACACAAAGTGCATTGTGTTTTGTTTTGGTGTTGGGGAATACTTGTAATATTTGTTTGATGAGTATGATTATAAGAAGTATATAGCTGGCTCCATCAGCATCGTCATACACTGGTCTCCCAGAGCTATTACTCCCCCTTTCAGTTCTCCTACGTATCCCGCAACACCTTTGTTTAATGAATAAAAAGTTTCATCCCGGGTGGTAAATCCTTTGGAGGTCGTGGACAAGAGTGTCGATAGTCCCCTCCCGAAATTTCGAGGAATACCTTTTTGTTTTCAGGGGACGACTGACTCAAAACTAAGTAAAATCCGAAATCCCCCTAGACCCTGGATTTAGTAACACCCACTTTAAATTTAATTGGTAATTGGTTTACACACTATAGGGCCTATCGTGCTTCTTGTGGTACTTCTTGTTCGTCTGCGTCCGTGTCACTGCTAAAAATTCGGTAACCGCTTTAAAATGGGCAAACAAGTGTTACTGTGCGAAAACTGAATCTTGTCTTCAGTACCGTCCAGGACGAGCCGTTTGCAGTGTCCCTCTGCCTTCGTGGAAAATTTAACTGCTCATTCCAAGTACTGACTTCAGAAAATTTACCTTGTTGCCAGTCGTTTTGCTTGCTGAAAATCACTTATCTACCTTAGGGAAAAAAGCTGGCCAGAATTGAAAAAAACAAAATACGGTATTCTATAAAAAACATATTTCTGCACCAACTGTCAAAAATATGTGGCTATGTTTTATCCATTTGGGTTTTGACGTTTCGAAACGTCAAATTTTACGATCTGTTAAAAGTGCTGTAGATTTTGTTTAAACTGCGCGATTTCTTCGACGATACATGGAGCGAGTTGCTGAAGGTACGTATAATAAAAATTTAATACGAGGTTTATGTTATGCATGATGTATTATAATAGTGACCTCAAAGTGATCTATTCAGAAACTTTTAGTCAGCAAAAAAGTAAATAAAAAACATGTTTTTAAAAAATGCGCCGCGCCGCCCCGATATAATTTCTATCAAAATACAAAGTTAACAAGTTACTTAACATAATATTAAAAATTTGACTGCGACCAATTACGATTTTTGTTTTAAGGACGCTTACAAGGTAGGTAAGCGTGGATCGTGCTTAGGCGCATTAGCAGCCCAACTTTACAATAATAACGAGCCTGATGTGGAATATCCGGGTGATGTGGATGAAGTTCTAAATGAATATTCTATTTGAGAAAATTAATTTAATATTAAAAAGTAAATAAAACAGTTTTTTTTATTTTGTAACCTTAAATGTACATAATGTATATAACTTGACCTCCGAAAACATTTTGTTCTCAATCATTTTGACCTCAAATTTGAGGTCTCTGACCCCGAAAATCCCTTACTAGTACTTTTTCGTCAGTTTTTTCAAAGCTCGTCCGCCATTTTGTTTTTTACCAATTTGACCTTAAATTAGAATTCTAGGACCCCAAAAACATAAAGGTATATATTTTCAAATAAATTCGCTCTCTATTTAAATTTTGGCCAGCTTTTTGTGCGTTTCCGACCACTGTGCTACTGTGCGATCTTCTAGTTTTACATTTTTATGGAGGTGGCCACTTTATTTGGCAGGGTGCCTTGTAGTCTACAGATGTTTATTTCTTTGAGACAAGATTATTTTCTTTTGCCGAGTGTTTATTAAAAGGCTCCGAGTTGCTTTTTGTCTGCACTTGACTGAATTGACTGTTTATTTGAGCCGTTTTTTTGTACGAAATTGTTGCTTTGGCTAGGCTTGCAGTTTTTTTTGGGAACTGTTGTGGCGACTAATGGTTAATTACCTGGAGGAGTTCTTTGTTGCGGTTTCGAAATTCGAGTTAGGGTTAAGTATTGGGTATTATGTTAAGGTCATGCAAATAAGGTAAGTTCACTTATCCGGTTTAAGCCGATTTGGAATTTAGGTGGAATGACACCGTTTGGCAGGTGCCAGTGACGCTCCGCACTTCAGGGCAACAGGTCGCGTAGGTAAGGTCTCGCTTAACGCGTAGTACTTCCATAGTGCCATCACCGCTAAACTTGTTCAAATTAAAAAAAAAAAAAACAAAAAAAATCAATAACGATTCTACACGTCATCTACCAGACCCAAGTGTAAAAAGAGTGCAAATTGCGTGTGGTACCTTATCCAAGGTTTTTTACCTGTGAAAAAGGGTGTGAGTGAGACGATTAGTTTCAACAAATAATTTCCTGGAAAACCATGTGCTAAAGTGGGCGGTCGAGGTTAAGGAACAATTTCATCACATCTGCCTGTCAATTCACCCGAAGTCCAAGTCTCCATAAAACTTAATTTTCATGTACCCGTTTATCCTTTATCCGTTTGTCCGTTTTTCAATAAAATGGTCCGACAAGAAATGTTCTAATTTTCATGCATCCGTTTTTTAATGACGTTTAACGGATTGATTTGGCGACAAATAAAAATTAAGGGCCAGTATATTCACTGCACGAAATTTACCTAATGCTTAATCGGCATAGTTACAATTATGTCAACAATTGTAACTTTAACAGTACCTGTCTAATAAATTTATAAAAAGAATATATAATCCTTAATATACATTAAAATGTTCATAGAACATTATTCACATAACGAACTTAATTATTCCGTTTTACAATCATAATTTAAAAAATATTAAAAGATTTGAAAAAAAATTATCAGAAAATAACGTTAGGCGTCAAAAACAGTCACGGATGAGTTAAAATTATGTTAACTTTCTCCGTCAGACGTACGCAATTAAAACTTGACGGACCGATGAAATGTCATAATTTTCGAATTATAATTGGACCAATAAGAGCACACCCGGATGATGATGATACATGAAAATTAAGCTTAAATCGGATAAGTAAAATTCATCTATGTTAAAATTTACCAAAATTGCATGACCTTATAATACCCAAATAATAATAATACTAAATTTTAAAACGAAATCCGCAAACTTTAACTAAAAAAGAATCCAACAGTTTCCATAAAAAAGTAAGCATGGCCAAAAAACTTTTAAACACAAGGGCACACATAAGAAGCCATTAATCACTCAAATTCAGTTAAACATTAGGCAAAGGAAACTCATCCTAAAGAAATAAACATCTGTAGATTACTAAGCAAATTAAGGGGACCATAAATTGGGTAACCAACCGAAGTGGCTGACCCCTCAAACGTTCTAGGCAAAAATAAACAACCGCAACCGCACAGATGGGTGCAAACTTAGAAATGATACTACTAATAATAGTATTGTTTATATGGGTGCAACGTTATCGATAGTCAGCAAGCTGGGAACTGGTAGAGAATCTGAGGCTTAATCTAGGTGGGGTTGCCACTAGCACTATTTACACCTTTTTTTTAAATTGATACTGGTAGACCCATATACTTACCACATACATGATTGGTTAGTATATGGATAGACCAGTAGACGAGTATATTGGTAGGTTTGATATTCTTTTTCTATGGGTTTGATTCTAACTGCTGTCACTATTGGGAGAAGCTTATACGTTCCTAGTCACGACCACTTTCCTCGAGGTGTAGAGCGCAATCCATACAAATCTAAATATCTAAATAAAACGCGGTTATAAGAGAATATTATTTATTTATTTAAATTAAACTTCACAGTAGGAAAATTGTTTAATGTGGCAGTGACTTTGTATTTAATTTAGGCGCAGTGGATCATCACATACATTACAAAAAGCTTATATAAGTAAAATTAAAACTAGTTAGCACCATTTTTTAGTGATTATGACTATACAGATATAAAAGTATTTCGTAATATAATTTAAGTATATTTCTTACAATTTACTAAATACGAACTAAACTTAAACTTAAGTGGTTTGTCGCGGGCCTAAGCATTAAAAACGTTAGGAAGAAGTTTATAACAAAAATTAACTATACACATAATTACAAAAATAAATGGCACATTTGGATCACGTATGTTGTACTCTTTGTACTTTATGTTTGGGTCGCCTTCTTCTTATAGGAGCGCCCTCTAGACTTTTGTAGTTTGTGGAACCAGTGGCGTTCGGTACCGGTCCTTTATAGCCGGGGGATCCCCACTTGTACCCACTGGACCAACTGGTCTGCCCACTTCCGGGGCCCGTTTGCTCCCTCGACCTGTATGGGTCTGATGATGATTGTTCTCTAGATCCATACGATTGTCTTCCTCCTGGTTGTTCTATTGAATTATATCCTGAGCCTGTAAAGAAGTGATACATTGTTAGAAATTATAAAATATTTTTTTGATAAGAAATACCTCCTTGCCAGCTTGTTTGACCTTGCCTACCACCATAGTATGGTGGCCTGTTTCTTGCATAGGATGACGATCCTACGTATGATGGTTGTCCACTTGATCCATACGAGGATGATCCTCCAGATTGTCCACCTCTTCCATATGATGATGATCCACCAGATTGTCCACCTGTTCCATATGATGATGATCCACCAGATTGTCCACCTGTTCCATATGATGATGATCCACCGGATTGTCCACCTGTTCCATATGATGATGATCCACCAGATTGTCCACCTCTTCCATATGATGATGATCCACCAGATTGTCCACCTGTTCCATATGAGGATGATCCTCCATATGAAGGTTGTCTATCTCTTTCATAAGAAGATTGTCTATCTCCTCCATACGACGGTTGTCCATAAGATTGAGAACCGCTGGATTCGTAACCGGATTGCCTAGAACCGCCGGTTTCGTATCCTGATTGACTAGAACTAGAACGGCTTCCATAAGCATACTGACTAGGAACTTGTCCATGAAGGATTTCTTGTCTTCTAATGCACACTGAACACCTGCTTATTTTACTAGTCAGTGCTCCAGGCTTCAAGGTTTGTGGTTGCGGTTTTCTAAACATTTCGGATTCGGAGATAATCGCAAGCCAATAAGATGTGGCAGTTGTGTAGTAGTTGCATCTTCCGTGGCCGTGGCATTCTATAAAGGGACTTGGTCGGAAATCTTTCAAGCAGGAGCCTGGCGATACGAGGGATTGGCCTGTACCGTAAGCGCCGTTATCACTGGACTAAAAAACAAAATAAGTTACCTAACTTGATATCTAATATCACTAATATATGAATAAAAACAACACTGTTTTAAGGTTTCAATATTTTATTTATGTTTTAAAACAAATTAATTTATTATTTTTTTTATAAATTAACAGTTGTTTCGCTACCTGGTAGCTTCTTCAGAATAAGTAAACAATTGTTAATTAAAAAAAAAACACAAAAACAATAGTGAAACTTTAAACTTGTTTTTGTTCATATATTAATAATATGGAGTTTTATCAAGTAAAGGTCGAAACCATCATTGATTGTTGTGACTTTGTGTACTTACCATAAGGAAACTGTATCCAAACCAAAGTTCATCCCACCCGTAAGGACACTCAGGAGTCGAACTGCTTTGACTGTGTATTGCTATAACTCTAGTTTTTGCTTCGCAAACTGAACACCTGCAAGAATTTACAAGATTATTAAATTATAAAAAAATGATTTAAACATTGATCTTGCCTTGAAATATACTTGGGAGTATCGGCCGCTGGTATTGGAGTCATCATCGTTGGCATAGGTTCACTGGTAGATAACCAGTAGCTGTAATCGTTGTTTTGAGCATAATTACATACTTGGTTCACGTCGCACATCAAGAACGGCATTGTATTGAATCTTCTTAGACAACTTCCAGCTGTACCCAAATCTTGTCCATGTGGTTTCTCTGATCCACCTGTTGTCATCAGTGAAAATCCGTCCCACATCTTCGAGGTTCCTCTTGGACATTCTGGTATTGACATACTCTGAGAATGCGTTGTGAAGTAGAAACCTCTACTTTTGGGACCAGGTGGTAGTGGTGCCGGGTCTCCCTGAGGCCCCTGTCTTCCTCTCTGTCCTGGAGAACCTTGCCTTCCACTATAACCCTCATCGCCTCTAATTCCCTTTGGTCCCGGAAAACCAGGTAAACCATCTATACCTACTTCGCCTCGTTCACCTTTTTTTCCTTGTAACCCTACATAACCAGACAATCCTGGAAGTCCTTGTTCGCCACGGAAACCTGGGAGTCCAGGTTCACCCTGTGGTCCATGGTAGCCGGGGCGTCCAAGAATTCCTATATCTCCACGTATTCCTTTATTTCCTTTGTACCCCTGTATTCCATCAAATCCAGGTAAACCACGGTCACCCTTTAAACCGGGCAAACCAGGCATGCCAGGTTGTCCTGGTAAACCATCTAAACCAGGTTCTCCGCGTTCTCCTTTTATTCCCATAAATCCGTCTTGACCTCTAAAACCAATGTCTCCCTGTTTTCCTTTCAAGCTATCAGCACCATGGCCATAGTCGCCGGGTTGACCTTTTCGGCCAGGCGCACCAGATCTTCCATCCAAACCGGATAGGCCTTGCAGTCCTGCTAAACCTGGGCGACCCCTATAACCGTTGTCTCCTTGTTCTCCTTTTCTTCCTTGTAAACTTATACCCGGCGAACCAGGTTGGCCGTCCTCTCCGGTTGGTCCAAATTCACCAACAGCACCCTTTTGACCTCGTCTTCCAGGTATTCCACTCTCTCCAGGAAAACCAGGTGTACCTTCTTCTCCTGGTTCTGGATTTTGACCAGGAAGTCCGTCAAGTCCGGGTAAACCGATGTCTCCTCTTATTCCTTTTAAACCAGGAAAACCCGGTTGTCCAGAAAATCCTTTAAATCCAAAATCGCCTTGTTCTCCTTTAAAACCATATGGACCTTGATAACCTTGATTTCCACGTTCTCCTTTATTACCTGAAATTACCAAAAATTGTTATTATGTTATGTAGTTATGTAAAAATTTATATTACCTTGTAATCCCCGCATTCCTTGGTCACCCTGGTCTCCTTTATCAGGATTTCCGTTTGATGGAAAACCTGGCAAACCTCGGTTACCTTTAGGGCCTTTGGGACCTTCGAGGCCAGCTGGACCGGCTTCTCCTACATCACCTGGAATTCCTGGTCTTCCCATTCTACCTGGTTCTCCGGACATTCCTAATTCCCCTTTAGGTCCATAAGAACCGGGTACACCTTGATCTCCTATTTCACCTTTTGGTCCGTCAACACCTGGTATACCATTTTGACCATCTCGACCTCTAGAACCATCTTCTCCTCTTTCTCCTTTAATTCCCAGATATCCAATATTTCCCAATTCTCCTTTAATTCCAGGAGCTCCATTACGACCAGGAAAACCTGGTTCACCAGCTTCACCTTTGAATCCACTGGGCCCAATTACATCATATCCTGGTTCGCCAGGTTGACCTTTCGGTCCTGGCAATCCAGGTAATCCATCAAATCCTACTTCACCAATAATTCCTGCATCACCTTCATCACCTTGTTGACCACTAAAAGCTCCTTCACCTTTTTGACCATGAATACCAGGTGTTCCAGGTGTCCCTCTTTCACCTTTTAGACCAGGTTCACCCATTAATCCCTGCAAACCCTGTGAACCAGAGTCACCGCGCCTTCCTTGTAAACCTTTCTCTCCGAAGTACCCCTTCATACCCATGGGTCCTAAACTACCTTGGAGTCCCAAATCGCCTCTAGGCCCCTGACCGCCTGGTGACCCTATTCGTCCAGTTAAACCTGTATAGCCATATAATCCTTCTTCTCCGGTGTCTCCTAAAATAACATTATATTATATTTTTAAGTTTACATTATTAATATTAGGTATTTTACCAGGAGCGCCTTGTAATCCAAATAATCCAGCGTCACCTCTGGCACCTTTTAAACCCGTAGGACCATATGGTCCGATGTCTCCTTTTAGCCCGCTATCGCCGTAACGACCTTGCATACCTTTCGGACCTCGACCACCATTAAGACCAGGGTATCCTTGCCTCATAACACCTATTTGTCCCTTGGAGCCGGCAAATCCTGGTAAACCAGACAAACCTATCGCTCCTTTAACCCCTTTGTATCCTTTAATGCCCGGCCTGCCATCCATACCGGGATAACCATCCGGTCCAAAATCTCCAATATCTCCTTTTTCACCAGGCGGTCCATCTTGTCCCATTTCACCATCTAAAATTCTTAATCCAAGGTCGCCACGATCACCTTTTCGGCCATTGATGCCCAAAAGTCCATCTTGTCCTGGCTTACCCGGTATACCAGCAGGACCGCGTGGTCCTTCATCTCCGGGAATTCCAGGGTGTCCTTTAAAACCCATTGGACCTGGATAACTTGACCCACTTCTTCCACCTGGACCTGGTGGACCAGTGAATCCCAGATCTCCTTTGTATCCTTTTTCACCCTTCCGTCCTCCCAAGCCTAAGATAAGTATATTATTTTTTAAATTTAACTAGGTAAAAACTTTATACCGTCCTTTATTTTAATTGTAATTCCATTACATTTTTAACAAACCTCTATCTCCTTGATATCCAGGCGGTCCTTGATCTCCCCTTATATTTCTTATTTCTCCAAAGGCATCACCACTTTCTCCCCTAAAACCTGGGTAACCTTGGTCACCCTCGTCGCCCCTAAAAAAATTATTATGTTAAATGGTAATTAATTAAATGCTTCAATGAAAATAAAACAAATATTCTAAAGAATTCTGAACTAATTAGTTAACGTATATATATTAGGGTTGGGCTTATTTTTGCAAAGTACTAAATGTCCCTCCCCGGCCTAAGAAGCGAACAAAAAATTTTGTGTAAAATTTTATAGAAGCAACTTCATCGTACCTGCCAAATGGTGTCATTGCACCTCAAATCCAAATCGGCATAAACCCTTTCGCAACCGCAACAAACAAAGAACTCCTACAGGTAATTAACCATTAGTTGCCACAAAAGTTTCCAATAAAAAACTGCAACAATAGCCAAAGCAACAATCCTTATAAAAAACGGCTACAGTACAGACAAACACTAGGAAAAAAAAATCTCATCCTAATGAAATAAACATATGTAGACTACAAGGCACGTTTAAGGAGGCTATAAATTAGGTAACCAACCGAAGTGGCCGCCTCCATATAGACTTAATTTTAAATGACCGCAAAACTGTTAGTAGGTACTTAGAAAGAATTTCCACGAAGGCAGAGGGGCACTGCAAACAAATTGTCGTGGGCAGCAATGCTTCGGTACTAAAGACAAGATTCAGTATTCGCACAGTGGGGCAAACAATTTAAAGCGGTTACCGAATTTTCAGAAGAATTCAGCTGACATGGACGCAGACGACAAATCTACCACAAGAAGCAAATAGGCCCTTACAGCGTCCCTCGAAAACCAAAATGTTTTTCCTCCTTGTCCCGAACTCCCGGCGACAAAATTCCGGAAGGGTCTAAACATCGACATTGTCGTCCACGATCTCCCAAGGAAGATTTACCAGCCGGGGAGTTCCTTTGTATCCATTAAGCACAGGCAAAGCAGTGAAGTTGGGATACTTATGAGAACCGAAAGGGGGAAAATATCTCTGGGAGACAGGTGTATAACGATGCGGATGGGGCCAGCTTTGTTTACCTATACTCATACTTAATTTTATAGAAACTGATTACCATTAACACGTGCATAGCACTTAAAATTTTAAATGGAAAGTATTTTCACAGAATTCCATTCACACTTTTCTTTAAATCATCGAAAAGATTTTTTTTCGAATACTGTTAACAGTTTTATGAATTATTAAATAGAAAACATTTTAAAATATATTATAAAAGTAATATCCTAAATATTGAAAAACAAATTACTTTCAACGGCGTATGATTTTAAAAAATTTACGAAAAGTGTGAATAGAAGGTTGTAAAAATGTATTTTTCTACTCGTATTACGGAATATGACCGTTCTAATAATATTATATTAGTAAGTGATCACTTTTATATATGGAATGACATATATTCCGTAAAGTGTTATAAGTGTTATGAAATATTCATCGGATGACAGAATAAACACTGGTGGTGACATCTCTGTTTTTAATATCTAACAAATTTTAGACCGATCCATCCTTACTTTCTCCCAATTAAATTATTTTTTATGGTATTTTTTGGAAACGTAGAAAAAGGATAGTCTGAAACCATCAAACCATCAAACTCGCCTTCGGCTCGTGTGACAAACTCTTCACTCGAGCGGAATATGCCGTATTCCAAACTTGTTACAGAATATACTATTTCCCTGGCGAAAATGAAATGTGCAAAAAGTGTGCAAAATTATTTGAGAACAATGTGCAATCTTTTAAAAAAAATGATGTGCGGAAGGTGGGAAATGGAACAATGTGCAAAACCAAAAATTTAAAAGTGTGAATAATCACTGGACCATGTTCTAAAGGGAACTCCTTTTGATTTTTCACATTGTTTGCACACTGTTTCTTGCCACCTGTGTGCCTATTACAAAAACAGATTCTTTTTGGTGACCTATAAAGTCTTAAATTTACACATAATTGAAATATAAATATCCTGATAATAATATATTAATTAATTTATTAATATATATATATATATATATATATATATATATATATATATATATATATATATATATATATATATATATACAGGGTGGTCCAGGTTATAGTAGCAATAATTCACCATTCGATAGTCCATCAAAAAATAAGTCGACACGCATGGTAATTTTTTTCTCCAAAACCCCTCCTAAGGGAGATACAGCCCTTCAAAGTTGAGTTTTAAAAATCTTTTTTTTGCCATAACTCTCAGGAAAGCGTTTTTGACCAAATTTAGTACAAGTACTTATGAAATAGGTACTCGTTACCTGACGTACGTAACTTTTGTCAAAATTGTCCAGTGACGTAGATACAGGGGGGTTGTTTCACTTTTTCCACCCCATTTTTTACGCCACTGGATATTGGTTTAAATTGACCTATTTTTCGAATTCCTTGTTCAATTTTGAGAAAAAAAGCACTTTTGTCAAATTTTGATTAAGGCTTTGTTTACGAGATAATTGAGTTTAAAAAAAACATACAGTACTGCAAAGTTTAGTTTTAAATATAAATTGGGAAAACGCCTTTGATATTCTTGAACTGCTTGCAACGCGTTCCCATCACAAAATCCATAAATGAAGTGAATATCGGCGTATTCTTGGTTCGTGAATCGAAAAGGCATATTTATGATTACAGGATACTTGTATTAACTCTAAAATATCTTAACAGACTGTAAAAAATAATAGAAAACCTTTATTAACACTCTGACAGATATTTCAGTTGTTTAAGACTGACAGTTCATACTAGAGTGGAGTGTTGATTACCTATTTTAAATACCTATACCAAATTTAATCAAATATTCTTAAACGATATGAGAGTTATAACAAAAAGATAAATCCTAAAATTGAATTTTGAAGGGCTTTATTTCTTTTCTGAGGAAGTTTTGAAGAAAATAAAACAATGCATGTCGAGTTATTTTTCAGTGAAATCTTGGGCGGAAAAAGTGAAAAAACCCCTGTATGTACGCCAATGGACAATTTTGACAAAAGTTACTTGGGTCAAGTAACGAGTATCTACTTCATAAGTACTTGTATCAAAGTTGGTGAAAAACGCTTTAGCGAGAGTTAGAGTTATGACAAAAAAAAGATACTTAAAACTGAACTTTGCAGGACTGTATGTTTTTTTTAAACCTAATTATCTCGTAAACAAAGCCTTAAATCAAAATTTGACAAGAGTGGCTTTTTTTCTCAAAATTGAACAAGGAATTAGAAAAATAGGTCAATTTAAACCAATATCCAGTGGCGTAAAAAATGGGGTGGAAAAAGTGAAACAACCCCCCTGTATCTACGTCACTGGACAATTTTGACAAAAGTTACTTACGTCAGATAAGGAGTACTTATTTCATAAGAACTTGTACCAAATTTGGTCAAAAACGCTTTTGTTTCCTGAGAGTTATGACAAAAAAAAGATTTTTAAAACTCAACTTTGAAGGGCTGTATCTCCCTTAGGAGGGGTTTTGGAGAAAAAAATTACCATGCATGTCGACTTATTTTTCGATGGACTATCGAATGGTGAATTATTGCTACTATAACCTGGACCACCCTGTATATATATATATATATATTATATATATTAATATATACACCCTGTATATAATATATTATATTAATTAATATATTATATATATATATATGGGGCGATCCACGCCAAATCGGCCAAGATTCACACTTCATGTTTCCGATTTACTTCAAATTTTCAGGGCCGACAGAGGAACATAAATAAAGGAGAAATCCAAAATTTTAATTTTTTTTATGCATTTTTGTGGATTTTATATAATAAATAAAAAAAAATGTCACGTTTCTTATTTTTCGAAAATTAAAAAACTGAAACGACTGAAAATTTCGAGATAAATTTAGATGTACATATTTTTGGGCGCTCTTTAAAAAAAAAAAATTTTTCAAAAATTTTAACCTAAAAATTCATTAAAAAAATCATTTTTTTTAAACAAATTCAATTATCCAAAAAATGCCATCTCAAAAATTTTTCAAAAAATTTATGGTGATAGCCCTGAATCTTGCGCAAATTTTGACTAGTTACTTTTTGGGGGGACTCAAAAATTGTAGAAGTTATGAATTTTTTTATGAAGCGATGCGTTTGAAATCGTTACTCCCAATGCAATGGCTCCGCGCGACTTTTAAGCGCGCTTAGTCAAACGGGGGATGGAATGGTTTCAGACCAAACAAACAAGTAATTTTATGTATTTTATCAAAAACCAAAATTCATTTATTTCATTCTTAATTAATTGCAAAAAATGCGATGTAATCTCCTGATTTAATATTATAACTGTTGAATTTGTAAAAAAATAACTTTTTCTATCTTTTATGGTAAAAATTTTATTAGGCAAATTCTGTGTTATATAATTAATTTACAAATACTAAAAAAGTCTTTGACAAATACTGTCCTAGTATCCATGACAACCTAAAATGTTGATTTTAATTTGTTATTAGATTGCCATGCATTTCTGACGTTAGTCTAAAAGTAAACCATAACATTATTTAAGGCGTTAAATTTGAAACACCCTGTTTGTTGTTAGTAGTTATTATTAGTTATTATTATTGTTATTATTGTTAGTTATTATTAGTTATTATTGTTATATTAGTTATTATAGTTATTATTAATTATTATTGTTAGTAGTTATTATTAGTTATAATTACTAATTAGTATAATAGTTTTGGCGCATTAACCCGAAGTTTATAATAATTATAGAATTGTTGAGTTTAGTAATTTCTTGAGTGAGTTTATTAAGGAAAGCTATCAACATGAGTCCATCACACAAAAAGCGTTGCTGTAATCCATTTAAGTATCCCAACCGTAAGTGATTATTAATTAATTTTATACTTTATTATTCAAATTATTGTAAATTAAGTAAAATTAACTTAAGTTTTCATAGAGTTTTTAAATAAATGTTTTTTGCAGATCCTAATTCAACTCAACTCAGAAAGTTTTTACGTTTTCATAGGCATAAGTTTGAAAATATTCCCAAAGATGCTTTGATCTGTAATTCATGTCGAGTAAAATTAACAATCCAAGAAACTCCTGAAAATGAAGATTTAGGTTC